ACAAATCGACGTGTCCGGGTCGTAAGAATGATCATGAATGAGCTGACGAAGTAGATATACAAAAAATATGGATTGTACATTTTTTTCCTCTTCATAAACCAAATCAATATGAGAAACTGTACTAAAAAACACCTGGGAACATCTATGACTCGATCTTTGATCAGATTATGCTATGTATGTAGTTTTCATACATAAAGGCTTGAAAAACAATTCATACAAAAGAAAATTTCGGTAATCTGCTTGATCGTAGCCGCAAGGGATAACTAAGGTGATGGTAAAACAGCTCGTTATCTAGGCGTTCTGCGGAGAAACTGAAGTAAAAGTCAATGCAGTGAGAGCACAACCTGCAAGAAAGTAGCATCAGGAAGACCTAGAAAGTAGCATCAGGAAGACTTTTATAACTTTATTGACATAACCTCCAATCCGTTATCAACTATCTACTTCATTATTGATTGTTTAACTTTTAAGTTCGGTACACCTCTCATTCCATATGTAATCTTCATTTATTGAAACTATCCTGTATGTTAGTTTTACTTGCTAGCAACCTCAGCTAAATAAATACAACCACAAAGATAATAACCTCTTGAAGAATAAAAATGGTTGAGAATATTGAAGTTGAACGTATACTAAGAGGTGTAACAATATAACCTGCACAAACCCTCCAGGTCATCTTCCTACAGATATAACCTGAAAGATTGCAACCTCTTTTAACAATGTAATACGTTTGAACAACATTAAGGTAAAGAACGTTTACAATATAACCGAATAATGAGTAGAAGGTATAAGAAACTATAACCTGAAACGATGAAGCCTTCAAGGTGTTCATTGCACCCTGGTTAAAAATTTAAATCTGATTAATTCCTCCTTATCTGAATGTAGGTTACAAATCAACCAAAAGAAGCAAAACATTCATGTCACATTGCTGATGATATAACCTGCGAGATGGAAACCTCTTCGATGTTCAAATGTAAGTGGTATACAATTTATGGTCACGTATGTTGTGTCTAGAAAATGAATTTGTACTATAACTTGATCCGATGCAACCTCAAATTCAGCGGAGAATACGAGCTGATAGTTTAACCTAAGAATACGTAACCTCTTGGATATTAATTATAACTAAAAGGAAAAAAGCAAATATAACCTGATAGAATTTAACATCTTGGTAGTTAAAATCTGGCACGAAGTAACCTCCAAGATGTCAAATGCAAATCGTAACCTGGACAAATATAACGTCTAAGAAGGACGCATGGTGTTATATGGGTAACATATTGCTGAGAAACCGCAGAAAATAGGTGTCACATGTTCATCGGACATAACCTCCTGTAATATTAGCGATAGATAATACCTAGTCGTTTGTAACGTATTTACTCCGGAAATGTATACAAATCAATTGTAATATTTGCAAATCTTATCATTTAACTGGAATGGTCCCCCGGGACGGATGAAAGTTTTGGTGATATATTTTTTTTTTCTTTTTGTAATTGCAGCAACTAGAAAAAAGTCTAATCGGTCTTCTAAGAGGTTACATGAGGAAATAATAAAATTCCCTTTGGGAGAAATAGCAACTAGAGATGCTTTATATAAAGGTTTCACACTCGATATATGACCGAATAACAATGGCAGGAGGTTACGCTATTTTAAGCAAGAACGTAACCTCCAGCGGGTAAATTTAATGGAATTTTAACTATGGAAGATTTAAGCATGTTAGGGCAAAACCATCGAATAAGATTAATTTTAACACAGCTTGACAAAAAAATCTAACCAAAACATAACCTCAATATAAACAGCGGTTTTAAATAATCTTCATAAATTTTAAATAAAGATTGTCTTAACTTTTGTAATGAGGATGAACTGCCAAAAGATTATGTACTTTTCTATTATAACAAGCTAAGCTAGACAAGTAAATCATAAAATGAAGTTATCAAAAAATGAATAATTACGGTAATTTAAACTTTTGACCAACTGACTAAAGAACTCGTCGAGGTAACCCTCACGTAACCTTGACAAGGCAAAAGAGGTTGTAAGGTTTATAAATTTTAAATGATTGCTTTAGAAGTTAATTTAAAGCTTTTTTCCCATGTTAAAAGTCCCGCAGTGTGCCCAGGTTACAATATATTGAATTAGCTCATAACCAGCCTCCTGGTCTTAGTTATTGTATGAAAGAACGATTAGTAATTTCGGTTACATCCATAGTAAACCTAAACATCCCCATATAACACTCACATAACCTCCTAGAGTTGGATAAAGTCTGCAATAATATGATCTGCATGTTATTGTGCTTTAGAACCTCACCCTCCTTGATAGAACCTTCACATACGACGTTCCTGCACGTAACCTCCCAAAATTTTACTTACGTTGAAATTCGAGACATATCCACCCGTTTTGCTTTCTGGATTTTAAAAAAGAAAATAAATAAGAATTTATTATCCATTATCTTTTTTAATCTTGACATGTTAATGGCCAGGAGTAACAAACAAATATTACGATGAAAGACGTGTTTGTAAACTTTGTCGACATGTTATCTCCTTGTCCGGCCTAATTTCGTACCGGGACACTCCTTATCTGATACGCACAACTATTTATGACATTCGAGACGTGAAAGGGTGAACTAAGAGAAACAACCGAAAATAGAGCAACCCGTCTGGAACTAAACCCGGAAGCAGGGAATTCGCTGCATAACCTGCACAGTTGTAACCTCTGAGAGGTTATGGAAAGGCTGAAATAAGCTTATAACGATGTACCGTATGAAAATTCGACATGTCAGCAACTACAAGACATACAATTAATTCATAAGACGAAACGACGCATTCCGCCGAATACTTTATAACGAAACATCTTTGAGGTTATGAAAGGTTACAATAAAAATAAATGCTGTAAACATTTTGCAGCAACTATAAATTAGGGTAATGTAAAGAGTACAATGTGAATCTCGAGTCGCCAAGACGTGTTTAATGTGATAACCTGCGCGAATTTAAAACCGCGGAGGTTACCGATTACAGTTACCGATGACCTGCAGCTATAACCTCCACTGGTGAAACCGCCGAGGTAAAACCAGTATTTAAGACATTTTTTATGCTGTCTCTATTGTAATATGCACGACTCCTCTACATCAAACCTGCTCATGGGCGTGAGGTTTGAGGTTTTAACCTATCAGAGTAACACTTGGAGGTTACATATAACTGATAGTATGTAAAATACTTGTGATAGTATATCCTGTTTTATATTATTATAACCTGTTTTTAACAACTGTTGTAACCTGCTCGGATGAGACCTCCTAGAAGGTTACAACAGTGTAAAACCTAAAAATGGCAGATAATACGAACGAACGATCAATATCTAACAAAAAAACATTTATGTAAACTGATCGAAATAAAAGCTGCATTATCAAAATCTCCAATTGATATATAATCTTTATAATAAAATTGTCATAATATGGCCAGTACAAAATGACTCCAATTATATTTGTCAATAAGTATTGCATATGTATTATTTGTTTAAAGTGAATAGGGGTAACAGTGATGTAACCACCTGGAAGAGAACGTTTTTGCCTTCTGGTCTATGGAGTGGAAATAAAGTATTTTGGTAAAGAACTGGGCTCTTTTTTAAATTATAATTATATATTTTTTAACTCTATTTGACCTGATTTTTCAATTGACTTGAAACGGACACGGATATCTTTTTTTGGATCAGCCTGGACCAGCTCTAGAGAATACGGCGAGACCAGGCGGACCCTTCCGGTTAAATGGTTAATTTACAAAATCCCACACAGCCCATGGAAAAGAATTCGGTATTTTTTTAGCCAATTGAACTAACTACACATTTTGTAATTAGGAAGGCCTGGAGAATTTTTTTTTAAAAAAGAAATAATAAAAAAATTGGGTCTGCAGTTTTTTTACTTGATTTTAGAGATCTGTACTGATTTGAAATGGTCACCAATTCTTTTTGGGTCCGCCTGGACCAGCTTGAGATGGGAATGCGGCGAGAACAGACGGACCCTCTGGCTTAAATGGTTAATATTCAAAATCCCGCTGGTTAACATTATACTCTTCGTTAAAGAAATTCGGCTTCTCGACAAACATCGAAAGGTCCACGAGGAAAGAAACTTCGGTTTACTGAGAAGACACGATACTCATGACTTTGTGTCTGACATGAACTAACCAACCTCGGTGAATAACCTTCGGGTCTGACTCAATCCCGCAAACATTCTTTACATCATATCATATATATGATGACAGTCATATCTTCTCAACAGAGTAAAGTTAGAACTCAGGAAAGCATAGATACCATATGGTATGGAGGTATCAGATGACTACTCCAAAACAAACGAAGGAACCTGATCGGGTGTTTTCTGATGAAACACTTAGCAATTTATTTGCATAGCATAGTAGCTTGCATTTCTCAAAATCCTTCCTGATAACCTAGGGGACTCAGGACTTCCCTTCATGTAGCTTTGATTTAGACAAAAACCTTCTCTCACTGCCTTATACACCAAAAAATAGACAGCTTCGATTTCCTGCATACTAAATCGTGCTTTCCTGAAAAATAGAAGCTACTTTCGGAAAAACCAATCCTGATACTAAGAACAAGGGGTTCCATTAAAAAGCAGGAGCTTAGTTTCTGAAAACCGTACCTGATACACTAGCAACTCAGATCTTCCCTTGAAGTAAACCCATTCTGTCATACCAGAAGGTTTATTTGAATCTTCGACTTGAAAGGGTGGATTTTCCGAAAATCCAGTGATATCCTGCTACCCTAGTATCCCTTGGACAGGATTAGGGTGGAAACGTATGACACAACTTTCATACGAAAGGTAAGGAGCTTTGGCTTCCTTTGACATCATGATACCACTAATCAACTTCAAGTAGTAGCTTCCAATTTTTTAAAACGTTCAGATCGCAAGTTTTACGCATCGTCGTTCGTCTTCGAATTTCGGAGGGAAAATCTCCCGCGACTCATTGCGCCTGCGCTCGCGCCTGCCCGTCACCAGGTTCCGTATCGATCGATCCTTTTGGGAATTTCCGTCCGGGGATTGTCAGCACTGGTCCGAGCCGCTTATATGGCAACGTTTTGTAGCCCCGGTAAGGAGAACAAGCAGAGCGGAGGTGAGACCTGTCCCAAGAAGACGTCGACGAAGAGGCTGCCAACGGACAAGCTGGCGATTAACGAGGACGACGAGAAGATGACGGAGCACGTCGCCGTCAAGAACTTCAGAGAGTACCTCAGGATACCCTCGGTCCAGCCCAATGTCAATTACGGTCAGTCAGATTTTTCCATACATTTTCACCAAAAAATAATAAAATAAAATAAATAAAAAATAAAATATATGATGCAAACCAGACCTGGCATAATAAAAATAAAAAATAAGAAAAAAAACAGTATAACGACCAAAAGGTACACACAAAAAGACAATAATTGACAACTGTTGAGCCATTGATTGTCAGCTTAGTCTCGCTATGTCCGTGTCAAGAGGTGTCACCTTGCCCCAGCAGTGTAACAACCCGCAACCGCAACCGAGACCCGTGTCTTCCTGCATAATTGTCAATTTGATTATGGTGCAATACCGGCTTTGGGTCTGTTTAGTTTCGCTGTTTTTACTTTTTTCTTATTCTTTACGAAGCAGACCATTACTCCATAAACTGATCTGGAAGGTTTTCCGGCTTTTGAGGGCGAACCGTACAAAAATCTTGAGGTTTCTTCAATCCCGTTGGTCTCTCTCTTTCTTTTATGACCAATGAATGGCCCAAAACCAGAAAACGCCACGTTTTCCCTTCCTGACAATGGCCAAAATTTGTGATCATGTGATGATGACCTTTTGGGTGCGGTAGATCTCATAGTTTTCTTTTTTAGGGAAGAAAACAAGTGGCCAATAAAACTGGGTTATTTTGGCAACAGCGGGTCCGCCCGGTCACGCTTTTTTGTAACTAAATCATGTTCGAACAGAAAACCGTACAATCCCTGGTTCCTTTTGGTCCGACACATCTCATTTAAAAAAAAAACTAATGACCTCTCGACTGAGTAGTTTTTTTAGTTAAAACCTAGGTCCGTATCGTCTCGCTGTTTAAAACGAGTACAAATCTGACCTTCGACCCTAGAAGTCACATAGAATAACCTTACACTCCTGGTTAAAACCGTTGGGACCACCTAGTCTCGCTCCCTTTTTAAAAGATTCGTACAAGAACTATGAACTGAAACATATTCGCACTTTGTCCGTGCGCTATCGCTTTATCACATCGTGATAAAACTTCGTCGATACATCCAAATATGGTTGGATGGCTAACACAGCCAAGTCGAACGCCTTGAATGATCCCTTGTGACCGCCTGGAAACGCTATTTCCGATTAAAATTGTTTGCTCTGATCCAACAAATAATTGGGGTGTTTCGAAAAAAAAAATTAATAAAATAAAATTGTCCTGGCGCCGTACGTCCTCGCTAGGCGTCGGAACGAAGCACAAAACCTGATATTTTCCGTTTTTTTATTGTTATTACCTATAACTTATTAATTTACTATGTACTTTTATTTCAATCAGGTATGATCATCATTCCAGTAACTGGAGGTTTCGATTTTTTATTTGCCTTGAAATAAATAAAAATTGCCTAAGCATTTGGACTAAAAACCAAACAAATGTAGCCTGAAAACACGGTTTTACAGAGATCTTTCTGAAAATGCGCCATCCCTTTTACAAAAAAAAAATTAAAATAAACAGAACTTTCAGTCGTAAATGTAAACACCTCTTTTAAGATAAGAAGCATAAAACATTGGAGATTATCGGGCCAGATAAGATCTGAGGCGGTATGAAAACAATACTTTCTCATTTTCCTTTACTTATAAAGGTATAAAAGAATTAACATTTATTCATTATTATTATATTTAAAACTTTCGACGTGGAAAATAAGAAATCGAAACCTTTTCATTTTTTAAAAATAAATTATAGGAACTATCTCGTGTTCAGACACACCAGATATTTAAAATTTGAGAGATAGTGAATATTGATAATTTATTTTCGCACTTAACAAACAAAAATAAATTATCAATAACGATAAATAATTCTGTACTTATGTGAGTCGATCGGGGCAATAGATATAGTCATTATTAATTTCATTCGTTTTGTAAAGAAATGAAGTTATATAAACAGTTATTTTATCGATTGACAAACAGTAACTATTGACAAGCATCGATATATATACCGACCGACAATGTATCGATTGACGAATCAATTTATCAGTGTGAAAATATCGATTACCTGACATCGATATAAAAACTTCAACTGTGAAACATAGATGGCAACTTCGATATAATAACATCGATATATACCGACTGGCAATTTAAAAGTATCGATTGACGAATCTATTTATCAGTGTCAACGATAGATATAAAATGTGTCAAATATTCAAGTGAAAATGTACACCGACAAACATCGGTGTTTTTATCGATTGGCAAACAACGATGTACATCGACTGAACGACACTGTGAAAAAGATCGATTAACTAACATCGATATAAAAAATTCTGCTGCGAAACGTCGATAGCATTTTCGCTTGACAAAAACATGCGTATATACCGACTGTCGATGTATCCAGTAACAAATCGATTTATCGTCAACTATCGATATAAAATGTGTCAAATATTCACGTGAAAATGTACATCGACAAACATCGGTGTTTTTATCGATTGGCAAACAACGATGTACATCGACTGAACGACAGTGTGAAAAAGATCGGTTAGCTAACATCGATATAAAAAATTCTGCTGCGAAACATCGATAGCATTTTAGGTTGACAAAAACATGCGTATATACCGACTGTCAATGTATCCATTAACAAATCGATTTATCGTCAACTATCGATATAAAATGTGTCAAATATTCACGTGAAAATATATATCGACAAACATCGCTGTTTTTATCGATTGACAAACAGCAAAAAGATCGATTAGCTGACATCGATCTAAAAAATTCTTCTGAGAAACATCGATATAAACTTCGATTGACCAACATCAATGCATATCGATTGACAAATATTCACTCGAGAATATCGATTAACAAATATCGATACCACCGATAGATAAATGACCAACATCGATTGAGTTGTATGTCGATGTCGTCGATAGTCAACTATCGGTATAAAAATATATATATCGATTGTATATTTGAATCAACGTCGTCTTTTAACTATCGTTGACAAACAATCGATTGCTAAACATTTCGACTTGCAAACATCGATCTGAAAATATCGATTGATGGGTTTTGTATACTTTTTATAGTATCGATACCAACTAATAGTTTCGATATCAACTAATAGTTGGTATCGCTTTAAAACTGGCACATGGTTTTTCCAAATTTTCTTCTAGCGGTTTTAAAATTTATGCTGTTGTGCAACCGTGTTTGACTATAGACTTAAATAATAAAAGTCTGGAAGGCATGTAAACAACAAAATAGAGTAAACAACAATAAATTACCAGGAAGAAACATTGTGTACTTTAACACAGATAAAACTAGGAAAAATAGTCAACAAGAAAAATTGTTCGAGTTTATCGCCTGTCAGTATAAAAAAATCGGCGCCCCTGGTGTATTAAAATAATATGTATGAATTTTTTTTTTAATATAAAAGGAATATTGTGCTGTAGGGTAGAGAAGGAACAAAATCAAAAAGGTTCGAAGTTCCGTCGAGGTTGCAGCGAGGCAGGACGGATCCAATGAAGTTCAAGACATTTGATTTTTATGTCAGGTTACAAGGCTCTTTATAACAAATTTAGAATAAACTGACAATTTTTAGTCAAGCTCCTTCATGTAGTAGCATCGTGATATCATTTGCTTTAGACCAATTTCAAACGAGCTCCTGTTCATTGTTTTCCCCTGTACGAAAACCGACGGATTTTGAACAAGAGCTCGTTTTTTTAAGTTTCAGCTGTAATAATTAATTGCTACTTCAATTTTGTTTTTGTTTATTCAAATCCTGACGGTGATCTTCCAGTGACAGCGAGGATAGGCGGGCCAAAATGATCGCTAACGACCAAATCTACAAGACTTTTTCTTGGGGTTTGTTCAATGGCCATTATTAGTATGAACCTGACGGATAACCGAGAACCTTACTAATTGTTCTTGTTTGTTTTTATATGATACTGTTACTTAGGAGCTTCAATATCCAAGGTTATATATATAATTATTATTATTATTATTTTTTTTTTTTTTTTAATATGATCGGGAGCTTTAGAATCACGTGATTTCCTCCAAATTTTTATAAATCGATTCTGGTGATATACTATATAGGATACTATGGAAAAGCTTTTAATATCTTTTATTGGATCTCGATACCTTAGAAGCTCCTTTAGATATTATCTGCTTTTGTTATCCTGCGCTCTTTTCTTTTCATTCTTTATTTACTGTATCCTGATACGTTAGGAGCACGTTCCTTGATTTTTTTTTAGATTAGATTTTTGTCAAACTTTCATATGATTCTATTACTACTTAGGAGCTTTATTATCTACGGTTTGTTTGTTTTTAAATAACGATCATGATACCTCAAGAGCTAATCAAAATCACAGGAATCCCTTTTTTATAAATCCATCCTGGTGATTATAGGAGCTTTTAAGATCTTTTATGGGATAGATACCTTAGAAGGTCCTACAAATTTGTTAAATCCTGTTTCTACGTGCGCTCTTTTATTTTTATTTCTTTTTTTACTGTTATCGTGATACTTTAGGAGCACCCTTATTTTGACTTTTAGTTTAGATTTTTTTCTAAATGTTTTTATATGATCTTGTTATTTATAAGCTTCTCTATCCAGGGTTTGATTTTGTTTGGATATGATCCTGATACCGAGAGCTCTAGAATCACGGGAGTTCTTCCAAATTTTTATAAATCCTGATGATTGCTATATAGGAGCTTTTAAGATATTTTATTGGATCCTCGATACCTTAGAAGCTCCTTCAGGTTTTTTTTTTGTTAAAACTTGGCTCCATATGCGCTATTTTTTCCCTGTATATATATATTTTGACTTCGGAACCTGTCAACAGCAGGTTATCGAAATATTGCATCCTAAACGAACCGGCTTCGAGTAGAAATAAACTTTTTAGGTGGGAAGCGGTCTTTTAATAGATCCACTTGGGACCAGGACGAGACCAATTAACGTCCAACGCGCAGTTCACTCATATCCGGGAACCCCCCTTCGTCACAACTGTTTTGTTTATCCGAGGCGTTAAATTAAAAAATAATAAAATAATAAACTACCTAAGGCCGCATTGCATAACCTTCGATGGCCCACTAGTCACCGTTAATGGCAGAGGGCAATGCACGTCTCTTGATCGATCCCCCAGTGAGATATCCATTGCAAACTTCGCCCTCTCGGGGGTGGCACTCGGTCGACGCTCTGCTGCAAAGTAACGTCCGCATCGGCCGTTCAATGAACCCCCCCAGCCGACGATGGTGGAAAGGTCGTGATCGACAGACCTACCAGACAATCCACACTGGAAAAGTTTCAGCTTAAGTTGGAACGTCAACCAGTCACGCATTGTCATCAAGACTCGAGCTTGTCACCCGGACTGTATGCCATGCCCTCAAAATCCTGATTAATCAACGATAAATAAACGAACCTGAAATTTTGGGATTCCTTCTGATACTTAGCGTACGACAGTAAAGTTATGCTCCAGATTGATAATATCCTCGTGATTTAGATGCTCTGTTGGGATTAAAAGCCTGATACCATATTATATTGAGGTTGGGAGTTAGGTATCACCAAGTGGGAAGGGAGTAGGACAAGGGGGCCCTTATCACCGCTGTTATTTAACATAAGTGATAAGTGATTTTAGATTGATTGGTGAAAAATTAATGGGATATTGGTATCAAAGTTTGGTTCGTTGGGGTATGAGGACGTTCTGGTAATAGGCGCGCCTACGATGGGGTTGCAGAATGTTGATGAATCCAGCTGTTGGAGGAGTATTGAGATTTTTTTTACACTTAAGTGACCAACAATGGTCCATGGCTGTATTTGCCACATTACGTTCCCAATGGTTTGGGGTTTGCTAGGAGTTTGCGCTTTTCCTTATCGAACGAAATAGAAATTAGCTACTACAGTGATGGTGAAGAAGGCAAAGGTCTGTTTAAATCCTGTTACCTCACAAGCTCCTGTAAATTTTTTGTTCAATCTTTCGATTTCTCTTTTTTTTCCTGTTTCTTCATTTTGAATCTAATATATCTATAGAATAAGGATTATTCTGCTGTTCTATTAACGTAATAAAAGTTCTAGATTTTTTGTACAGAAATTCTGATACTATAGGAGCTCCCGTGGATTATTTTTATTGGATCCTGTTACCAAAAGAGCTCCTATAAAAAATCGTTTTTATCCTAACATTGGAGCTCTGTTTTTAATTTGATTTGAAACCATTATCTTTTATCTTTATGTATACCATTCCCTGGTAGCTGGCAAAACCACATATTTTAGATTTTCTGATGAAATTTACAGAAATTCTGATACTGTAGGAGCTCCAGTGGATTATTTCTATTGGATCGTTACCAAAAGAGCTCCTATAAAAAATCGTTTTTATCCTAACATTGGAGCTCTGTTTTTAATTTTAATTGAAACCTTTATCTTTTACCTTTATGTATACCATTCCCTGGTAGCTGGCAAAACCACATATTTTAGATTTTCTGATGAAATTTACAGAAATTCTGATATTAGGAGCTCCAGTGGATTATTCTTATTGGATCCTGTTACCAAAAGAGCTCCTATAAAAAATCGTTTTTATCCTAACATAGGAGCACTGTTTTTAATTTGAAATGAAACCCTTATCTTTTATCTTTGTGTATACCATGCCCTGGTAGCTGACAAAACCAAATATTTTAGATTTTCTAATGAAATTTACAGAAATTCTGATATTATAGGAGCTCCAGTGGATTATTTTTATTGGATCCTGTTACCAAAAAGAGCTCCTACAAAAAAATCGTTTTTATCCTAACAATGGATCTCTTTTTTGAATTGGGATTGAAACCCTTGATCAATGAACTCTTTTATCTTTATGTTTATGTATACAGGGTGTATTGTTTACCATGCCCTGGTAGCCGACAAATCCATTATTTTAGATTTTCTGATGAAATCTCTATACCGTCGATCAATATAACCCTAATCTATTCTGAGATTTGAGGAGGTCCTGGTCTTTGCTACTGACACGTGGTTCAATTAACTTTGATGTAAGCTATCGAATTTCAAACCTAAAAGGCGATTTGTACACTGAATATTATTTACTACCAAAAAAAGTTAAGCTATGCATTTTGTAACGTGTAGAATGAAACAAGAATAGGAGCCCCGGTAAACCCATAAATCCTGTTCACCTCTGCCTGAAGGACCGCAAAAATTTTATATATAGATGGCCTTAAAAATGCTTGATGTTTTATTATTTATATTTATTTCAGACGGTTGCGTCGACTTTTTGAAGAGGCAGGCTAAAGCCTTGGACCTTCCGGTGCGGGTGTTCGTACCGACGCCGGCCAAGCCCGTCGTCATCATAACGTGGCTGGGGCTCGAACCGAGCCTGCCTTCGCTCTTGCTCAACTCCCACATGGACGTCGTTCCCGTCTTTCCCGTGGGTATTTTATCACTAGAAAACGACCGTACGGGGAAAATAACGTTTTGCCTTTACAGGAGAAATGGACCCACGATCCTTTCGGGGCGGAGAAGGACGCCAACGGCAACATCTACGCGAGGGGGGCGCAAGACATGAAGTGCGTCGGGATCCAGTACATCGAAGCGGTTCGCAGGCTCAAGGAGTCGGGTGTACGGCTCAGGAGGACGATCCACATGTCGTTTGTGCCAGGTAAGAAAAAGAGCGAGGCGTTTTTTATTCTAAAACCTATCCTACTGAATATGATAAGGGATTTAACTTTTCTAAAAATTCCCACTTGGGGGTTGACATCCAAATTTGTGAGAAAGAAACACGAATAACAAAGTCAAGTTTATGATTAAGCATAATAAAATTTAAGGTCGTAAATGCAAGCTGTGAGCTCTCCACTGGATAATGAACCAATCCTGATATCTTTCGGACTAGAGCGTTTCGAATTCGGAAAGATATTAGGATATTAGGATCTTAGGAACTTAAAACTGAACTGAGTGACGACCTCGAGTTCCTAGCCGAGGCTTCTAGGTCGAGCTCCTCAAAGAAAATCATAATTTAGAACATTTTTGGACGGTCTCGAGCTTTTGTGATAATCTACGTCAAGCTCCTAACAGAAAATCCTGATACTTATCGAAAATATAAGTTCATATCGGAAAAAACCTTAAAATACCGAACGAAGCCCGTGCTCCTGTGACCACATGGGCCGAGCTCCTTACCGAAAAATCTACTTACATCCTCATATCCTTAGATAGTTAGGTGGATTATTAAATTCTTAAATAAGAACTAAATTAAGCTCTTGTGAGAATAGGTGACTCAAGACGTTCTTTACTGCAAATCTTGAAAAATTAGATATATTTCAAAAATGACAGGTTCAAAAAAATCGGAAAGTGTCAGGATAATCCATAAATCACAAGTAATTATAATCTACACAATCATCTTGAGCAGTTCGATAATTTGTTAAATCGGAAAAGTATCAGGAATCCGAACAAAGCCCAGAGCTCCTGTGACCACATGGGCCGATCTCCTTACCGAAAAATCTACTTGCATCCTCATATCCTTAGTTAGGTGGATTATTAAATTCTTAAATAAGAACTAAATTAAGCTCTTGTGAGAATAGGTGACTCAAGACGTTCTGTACTGCAAATCTTCAAAAATGTAGATATATTTCAAAAATGACAGGAATAAAATTGTCGGAAAGTATCAGGATCTTAAATCGAGCTTAAGATGGAGCTCCTCTAAAACAACTTGCAGTTATGAGTTTTCCTTATACCGTTTGATAATGTGCGTCCAGTCTAAGGAGACCTGGGTCCAACCTTATAAAAATCCTGTGTATATCCTAATACTTTCCGACAGAAAGTGAAGTGCTAAGTATGAATTCAGCCAGCAAGCTCCTGGAAACTCCTTTTCGTGCGAATCCTGATACTTTCATAAGAAATCTGAAGCATATGGAGCTCCTTAGTTCTGAATCAAGAAGATACTTCATAATTTTTAATAAGTTTTTTTTATCTAATCATAGACGAGGAGATTGGAGGTGAAGACGGCATGGGTAAATGGGTACTCACCGACGATTTCCGCAGCCTCAACGTCGGATGCGCCCTGGACGAGGGTATGGCCAGCGTCGACGAGACGTACTTGCTCTTCTACGGCGAACGGTCCATATGGCGTGAGTATTCCTAGGGTCGAAACAGTTCCGATTATCAGCTTTGGTTTCTTTGCTTAGAGGTGCACATCCACTGCCAGGGCACCCCGGGCCACGGATCGCTTCTCCTCCCCGAGACTGCCGGCGAGAAGATGAGGCGTGTCGTCGATGCGTTCATGGACCTGAGGGCGACCGAGAAAAAGAAGCTGGAGACCAACCCCAAGCTGACAATCGGCGATGTAACGACGATCAACCTCACGAGAGTAAAGGTATAACAAAAAACTGACCGATTCATTTCCAAGCAAAATAATTAAAATGAAACTTTTTTAAAAAAATCACCTCACGTTGCATTATTTTTGTTTTAATGGACGATATACAAAGGGGAGACACATTAAGCTCATTGATTTTTATTTGAAAACAATATTTTTGCCATTAAAAAGTAAGGTTCATTTCATCCAACAAACAGAAAATTATTGTTTATTTATTTGAAAAAAAAAAATATTGAGAATTTATTTTTTATTATTTTATTTGTTATGGTTTAACAATTTATTTTTTATTATTTTATTTGTTATGGTTTAACAATTTATTTTTTATTATTTTATTTTTCAAGAAGAAAAAGAGACACGCTAAGACTTTTGGACGCTATTCTTTTACGTTTTATCTTGTTTCGTTTAGTTTTTAATTATCGAATTTTTGGTTTCTTTTGAAAAATTTGCTTTTTGCACAAAGTGGCCACGGTCATTTTTAAAAGTATTCCACGTCGAAAAAAATCACGTTATGCTATCCTGAAATGGTTGAGAATGCACCAGGCCTGGGAAGAAAGATATTCTGCATCCTGATACTCAAAGGTGGTCTGAACAATTTCACGGGCTCGTACATCCTGGTAATATTTACGAGGGGCTCGAGAAAAGCTCGTTTTGGACCGATACATATCGATAATTTACCAGAAAGAAAGAGCTCGAGAAATGACTTGAGTTGATGCATACTTCTACCAGGAGCTCGAAAAGGTCCTGATATTTCTGACAGGTTTTCGAAAAGGCATTTGGTTGTTAAATCCTGATATTTGTAGAATGAGCTTATATAATTAATTTTGGGTCGCAACTCCTGTAAATAAAATGTTGACAGGACCTCGAGAGAAATGTCTGACCTGATGCATCCTGACACTTCTGGCGAGGTTGTGTTTTGCGTCGTTACTACTGTTGGCAGGAGCTCGAGAAATGTCTTGAGTTGATTCATCCTTACACTTCTATCAGGAGCTCGAAAAAATTGGATGAGACATGAGACACCCTGACATTGCAGGCAGGATTTCAAAAAGACATTTGGGTGTTAAAAATCCTGGTATCTGCTTGCATTTAATAACAGTTGGACAAAATGTTACAAATAATTTCGCAGGAGCTCGATAAATGTCTTGATGCATCCTGATACGTCTGACGAAAACTCGAGCAAGTTTTGGGTCATTACAGGATGTGAATATTGTCAGGAGTTCTAGAAATGTCTGATTTTAATGCATGCTGATACTTCTGGTTCGAGAATATGGCTAAGTGACCAAAACGTCCTCATGCTTCTTGCAGTATCTATGGATATTGACATTTTTTCATCCTGATATTGCTTACAGGAGCAAGAGGTCAGTACGTTAGAAATTGACTTTCTCGGCCTTCTTGATTTAAGCGTTTCTAACAAAGCCTTCTTTGAAAACGCCAAAAAAATATATGAAAATGTATTCCAAGAAAACGAGAAAGGTGTATTAAGCGTCGTCCAAGGCGATTAAAAAAATATTTTTGAAAGTTTTACCGGGCTGCATATTTATTTTGTTGCGCCACTTGTAACACGACAGAACCCTACTTCGTCATCATCCGCTCGTTTTTGATTAGTTCGAAAAAAATTTAGAATATTCAAAACTAGGATTTTTTTTTTAATCTATGAAACTGAAATTGCGTACATTTTGTCATTTCTGAAAAAAAATGTAATAAAGAAATTGTGGAGGTGGCATCAGGACGAATTCCGAATTGGATTTCATCCTAATACAACCAGAAAACGGGCGACTGCAAATAAATAATGTATTAGTAAACTAGAAATTAATGGTTAATAAATTAGGGCTAAAGTCAACCGTATCCTTGTTTCGTAAACCCTCAACAATTTCTCACATCCTGATATTTTTTATACTGTTATCAATGACATTTCCAAAACAAGTCACATCCAAATATTTTTGGAAAAGTTTGTGCTTTCCGAAAGCCTCACGTAACCTCTCACATCCTGATAGTTTTATTCGCCATGCAGCTGAAAATCAATCGTAGGAGCTCCTTATTTCTTAAACCCCCCACAATTTTCCACACCCCTGGTATTTTTAACCATCAAAAAACCTACGAGCTCTCGGTTACTATATGGCTTTTCAAAACAAGTCTCATCCTGATATTTTCGGGAAAAATTTGTGCCTCTCGTCACTTCTCAAAAAATGGCGTAGGAGGTAGGCTTTCTGTGCGCCCTTGATCACCCCAGAGCCCGAGTGCTTTTTCAACCAGCCTTCATAATACGGGATCGACTTTGAAGAGAGAAAAAACCTACGAAATATAAAACGGGCCAATGGTGTTTTATTGTTTTTAAGGGGACCAAACCACCCCTAAAATAAAGAATTTGTGTCTTTGCAAATTTAATTCAATTCTCAAATGTTACATGTCTATCGTTAGCGAAGGTATGTAAACATTTTTAAATACATTTTCTTTCTTCTTAAATGTTTTTTGGGGAGAGAGTTAAAAAGGGGAGATTTATTCTTTTTTTGTTCCAATTTTTACCTTTAAAAAAAATTCAGATAAACTGATAAAAATTAAAAAAAAGGATTTCTTGGTGTCTCGTTTTTTAGATATTGTGACAAGATAGACAATTTTTATTTTGGTTTTTTTAGTGTTTTTTCGTTTTATTGGTTAACTGAACATTTTTCCCTTGGACATTAAACACATTTTTTGGGGTTGTTGGTTTATAGATTTGCATGTTTTTGTTTTATTTGTAGTTAGGACTTTCCTCACTGCTGCGGTCTTGAATTGCAGTAGATGAGGAGCCCCCACTAGTATCCCTTTTAGTGTATTTTTTTAAATTAATTAAAATTAAATTAATGAAAAGAAATGTCTGCTTTCATCGATGCGACCTGCCCTGCTTTAACCCAGGGTGAGGCCGTTTTTACTAATGTAGTCTTTTCCTTGTTTTCCTGTTGTACCGTGGACTGACGAACTGGATGAAAAAAAAATTAATTAATTTAAAAAAATTATTTGAAAAAAAAATTTGACTCAATCGTGAGAAAGGGAGGCGTCCAGAACAACGTCGTACCTCCGGAATTGGTCGTCGGGTTCGACTGCAGGCTCTCGCCGACCACGGACCTCCAATCCTTTGAAAAATGGATACTAGTAAGTAATTAAAAAATTAAAAATTAAAAATAAATTAACTGGAATAATTTTTAAGGACGTGTGCGAAAAGGCGGGCAAAGGTGTCTATCCGGAGTTCCAGCAGAAACAGAACGCAAAAGCTCTTACGAGGCTCGACAAGACAAACCCGTACTGGGTCGTTTTCAAAAAAGAATGTGATAAACTGTAAGTCGAACCCCCTCCCATAAAACAACAACAACTACTCGATTTTTTTTCAGAGGTTTGAAATTGAGAGAGGCAATCTTCCCAGGTGGCACCGATAGCAGGTTCGTCCGCGATGTAAGTACAAAAAACTATCTAATGACCTAACTACTACTACAAACTTGACACCCAAGACTGCCCAAACACTCACAGTTGAGAAATTATGTTAATTTCTATCTAGTATGAACAAACCTGAACACTCACATGGCCTCCGACCATCTTCCATCGTCTGTAACATCTTTGTACGGATTAGAAACACCTAATCTCTAAACCGTGTCATTAATAACCATCACATTTAAATATTATTGATCAATAATGATAAATATGGCCAAATACGATAGAACTCCTACACCATCTGGGCACTTGCCACATCCAATAATTTAGAACTGGTGTGGATCTATTCACAAAGACATTGATATGAAATCAGTATGGATAGCGTCGATAGGGTGCTATATCGCCATTTGATCCCATGGCGTTTCATGATCCGAACGTGATTAGTAAAATTCAATGGACTATCATTCATGAGGGACACTTATGGAAGTTTTCCGAGGTCGAATGTACAAAACCGACCATCGGTTGACAATGTACAATAATATGTAGGTTAAAATTCAAACTATGATTAAATAAACTATGGACCCAACTAGCGAAACCGTGATGGTACAAAACACTAGAGCTGATATGAAACGAAGTGAGGGGGTTATGAAATTGGTTCATCAGCCGAACTAGGTTATACCTTGGTTTCACGCTTACAAAAATCTGTTATCTCAATAACTATGGATGTTACGCCAGGGCAAAACACCTTTAGTTATAGTTCAAAAAGTTGTTGATTATAGTAGGAAATTAAGAATTACTAGCAACAAAACACTATCGGATGTAGCGAGGTAGGTTAAAACGATGTTACAGTTACAGTCTGACACAACATCTTTAGTTATAAGGGAAATCTCGCCTGCCTAGAGATTTTATCTCGTAATGTGAAAGAAATTAAACATTTACTTTATAATCAAGACAGGTTATTAAATGTTTTTAAATTTGTTATGAAATCTTTAAAAAACGAATACGTTATCCACCTAGGTTTCACGTAACACCATTAGTTATTTGGCTTACTCGGAAGATTATGTTATCTTAAAAGATTTAAAAAAAAAGACGCCTTCGTTATTAGGATATGACGTTTTTCTAAAAGACAACAGCTTGGTAGGTTACAAACTGCTATCTCTTAGAGCATTTTCTCATAATGTATTCTTAGTATTGGCAAGTTATATGCTGTGAAAAAAAATAAATTAGCTATAATATCCGCTATGTTATTACATATTGAAATTGGAAAGTTATGATGGTTATCTCGTACAGTAAATTTTATTTGAACCAACATGGTTACTAGTTAACAAGTTGTTATGTTAAAAGGTGGCTTATCTCGAAATCAAGATTTTGAGGTTAAATAGAAAGATTATGAGCAATAACCTCTAGGGTTAAGGTTTGTAAGCGCAAGCGCAACTAGTAAAATGGCGCCATCTTGGAAGATTATGATCAGTTTTCCAAGGTAAAAGCAGGTTATGCCCTTGGTTTGATCTGGCATGTTATCTGGTGTAATGAATTAGTGAAACCATGGAAGGAAAGAAATTTTGATTTTTTAGAGATTTCATATTGGTCTGATCCAATGCCATTAGTAAAGATGTCTCCACATTGGAAGGTTATAAGCTTTTATCTAGGAATTCCTTGTTTTATCAAATGGCTTTAGTAGGTGCCATTGTTAGAACTGAAGAAGTTTACGTCTGATTTGATCAGAAACTACTAGATTGTTAAAGGAAGGTTGTTAAATGTTTAAATGTGAAGGTAATGTGATGTTACTATCTCAGAGGGTTCGCGTTTGTTATCGAACGCCATTATTAGAAGTGCATCACCTTGGAAGGTTAAGAGCAGTTGTCGCAAAGATTCCGTTAGTAAGAGGGCAACATATTTGAAGATTATGAGCAGTTATCTTTTCGTGATGCCAGGTTATGTTCTGAAGCGCCTTCTTATATGGATTGTGTACATCAATATGATGGATGTTTTAAAACTTTTTTTTTCAGCTTGGAATTCCAGCATTCGGCTTTTCGCCAATGAACAAGACGCCCGTCCTCCTCCACGACCACGACGAGTTCCTCTCAGAGTCAACATTCCTCACAGGTCTCGACATTTACACGAAACTGATCCCCGCCCTGGCCAACTCCTGACATCCGGAGGCCGGTGTCGACCCGGCCGGCCTTCAACAACAGCCGAAGAGGAGGCGGCTCGCCGAGCCGACCATCCTCAACAACATAAAAAGGAACAGCTAGTATAGGAAGGAGCGGGGCCGGACGGACCCACGACCGGGAAAACGGCCGGTCGGACGTCGACGGTTTTTCAACATCACGCGCAGCTTTCTATTCGTGAGTCGAACGATAAAATACAGGCCCAGTTTCCAGATGTTCCGGAGTCAAAATTTTAGTCCGCACAGTCTCGCTGTTTACACCCCCCACCCACACCCCCATCATCAAACCCTTAACCCAAACCTTCACATGATTGTCGGGAAATGAGTCGCATGTCTAGCTAGAGGGTCGTTAAAAAAAACACGTTTTAACAGGGGACACACATGATTAGATTAAACTAAATTAATATCACTAAGTAGGATTTTTTCTGTTTAAAAAATTGTCTAAAAAATATCAAAAAAAAAATTTTTTTTCGGACAAAAATTTTAATATTCTGTTAAATATTTCAAATTTTATTATCATAATAAAGAAGAATATATTTTGTTCTCATTTTGTGCTATTTTGTTTTATATAAAAAAACAAAAACCTACAAAAAAAGTTTGTACTGTTGTTCCTTTTTGTTTGATTTTCCTTTCGAAGTTGTTCTCTTCGGCTGTTGTGGCTTGGTGGTCATTTAATTAATTAATAAAAAAAATTAAAAAATTATTAACAACAAAAAATCGGGTGTATTTTCTATACACGATTAGTAAAATGATAAATATTATAACTAATTAAAAAAAATATTAAAACAAAAAATCAAATTTATATTGTAATAAATAATATAAAGATGTTTAATTTGTGTTTTATTTCTGAGACCCCCCTTAAAAAGGTTAGGTTACACTTCAGAAACTGTTACAACAGGACGAGGTTTCACGATCATATTGGCATGACTGTAATCTAACAATTGACGTTGGAACCAGAAGTTGGAGGTTGCACGATGGGACTGTTATATCATAATCTTCAGGTCCTTAAAAATAATCGAGGTTACACTTAAAAGACTGTTATCCTACGATAATCATAAAACTTTAATAACACACAGCTTGTGGAAAGACAAACAAAAAGGAAAAACCAAAGAAATGGCAGAGAGTACACTTAGAGACAGCTCACGGGTGTTGGAGGTTGCACAGTGGCTGTATAATAATCATCGACAAAAATATGTTTCAGGTTATAGTTTAAGACTATTATAACGAGAATAAGTGGAGTTTTCAACGTATATTACTGATATATCAACTTCATCATTAGTGTCCTCAGTGAAATGGTTGAGGTTACACTTTAAGAAGTTAGTTTGATAGCCTAAAACGATAAGTTGGAGGTTGTAAAAATGGATTGTTAAATCATCATCATGAGTGAAAACTTAGCAAAATGGTTGAGGTTACACTTTAATACGGCTCTTACGTTTGATAAGAATAAAACAAGAAATTATAGGTGGAAACAATGGACTGGTATTTATCCAGTCCATCATCATCATGAGTGACCACTAAAATGGTTAAGGTTACACTTTGACACTGTTATCTCTGAATTGTATAAGTACTTCAGAAAAGGTTTATTAACCTTAAACTTGACTTTTAAAAATTTTCGTTGCTAAAGAGACGAGGGGTTAAACGTACGATGGAAGAGGGTAATTTCTTCCATATATATTTGATGTTTTGAGGTTCACTGTTATCTCACATGTTTAAAATGTTTCAGGAAAGTGGGTTGAGGGTTTTTTATATGAATTATGAATAAACTATGATAAAATTTTGAATCTTACTGTTATTACAATAAGAACCCATTTTAACCCAAATTGTTATAACGTCTTAAAACAGATAGTTGAGGTTACACTTTCTTACTGTTATATCACAGTAAGAAGGCATAACCTTGCCAAATGAGCGAAGGGCAAGAACGCACACTTTCGGATTTTTATATCATTATGGTCAGTAAGTGCTTCCACGAGAATTGTTGAGGTTATAGTTTGAACCTGTTGACCCATGCTATCTGAGATACATTAGGGATATCGTAAGTTAATTTCGTCCAATTTAAACTATTTTATGGACTGTTCAATCACAAGCGTAAGATCTTAAGATACTTCGTAGAGGTTATAGTTATGACTATCCAAGTGTCTTAAGACTGATTGTGGTTACTGCAGCTGTTATCTCAATTGTAATAAGCTTACGAAAAGTGGATGATGGTGAGTCTTAGAAATAAAGACGTAAGTGATGAGGTTATACTGTTGTACGGTAGCGACCGTACTAGTTTGAGATAACCCCTGTCAACACAGCTCACTAATTCAGTTTAGTGGCTGGTTAAGGTTATAATTTAGAACTGTTACCATCCGATGGCAAAGGTGATATTATTAATGAAGACATAAATAAATGTATTGAGAAAGCTGGTTGAGGTTACAATACTGTACGTTATACCAGTTACCACTTACGACCAAAATACCTTAAGATAGATGGTAAAGGTTATTTATGGAGTCTTATCTTAAGATATATGGTTGAGGTTATTCTTGATTTCTCGCTGTTGACGGTTATTACTGTCCCATGTTAGGGCATTGGTTGAACCATTTTATTACCGGTAGCTTTGTATTTTCCACTAAGGTTAAAAGAACTTAAGCATCTGAACAATAAATACCTATCATTCTGTGCTGTAAATGTATTTTGCGTGCTGCCAACACTAAAAGGACAACGATGTAGTTTATACGATAAATGGTTGAATAAGGTTATAAACAGTTGAGGTTACTCGTTCAACGACGAGTAGATTTAAGAAAAGTATTTGAATTTTTCTTTTTTAACAAACTGTGAAGTTCAACAGAGAGCCCTACTTTCAAAAGGGACTTCTTAAGGATGGAGGTTATAGTACGGTTAAACGGAGGCTATGACCTTGTTTATACCACTAGTTTAAAGTTAATAAAATTGCTTTCTCATCTAATGTTTCGCATATTAGGGCGATGGTAAAATTTACATTTATAGGCCGAAATATAAATAAGACTTATCTTGGATGAGGTTATACTTTGTCTTATTATAGAGTTGACATAACCTTTTAGTCGAAGGTTATTATTTTAGGTCTTCACTGTCGAAGCCAAGGTTTGTTCAAGCCAACAAAGATAAGATTACACTTGTTGACCTGTTACATGTTATTGCACTGGTTTAACGAGATTATTATTTATTGGACATGTTATTGCAAAATTACAGGTATATATATTTGCCAATTAAGTTTGAAAGAACGTAAAATATCATCTAAACAATAAATGCCTTTCATTCTGCGCTGTAAAGATAAAAATGGAGTAAGGTTATACGGCCATTGGTTGGACGAGATTATAAACAGTTGAGGTTACTCGGTCAACCATTGGTCTGTAGATTGAAGACAAGTTTTTAAGTTTCTTCTCTTTTGAAGAATTGTTAGGTTGAGCAGTCTAGCCCAGCTTTCAAGTGACATATTACGTTGGAGGTTATAGTACGGTTAACTGGAAATTATGTCCTTGTTTATAGAAACTAGTTTAAAGTTATAACATCGTTCACTCATCTAATTAATGTTTCACATATTAGGCGAGCCGGACAAACACGATTTTAATCGATATTTGACCGATAGGTTACGACTTTGTTATATCAAATGGATGTTAGGTTAGGCGTAACACCAACCGCTGTAACCCCTCTAAAACTACATTTTTAAAAATAAATTAGCAAATAGTGATTCATCCAAAAAAAAAGGTTCGAAAATAATCTGTTGATACGCCGACCAACAAAGTTCAGATGTCAATAGGAAATAACAGGCAAGTAATAATTTGAATATTCAATAAAGAAAAATTGTACGTAAACGGAACGTGTTTGTTTCTAAAAGATTTCTGAAATAAACATTCAAAACCACAGCGAAACAACCCGCCTAAGTCGGATAGCTTACGCATAATCTGGCCGAGGTGGAAGGTTATTGATCGAGGATCACCGAACAATTTCGGTAATAACAGTTTACGTACAAACGTTCCATCTTAACATAGCCTGTCGAACCGTAAACCCACATTAAGGTGGTCGAGTCAATATTTTTATTTTGAACAAATGTAACCTTAGTTTGATAGGTTTATGTTTCTATGATTATGGTTGTGCGTCATAAACTTTTCAAGGTCCGTATTCCAGATGGCTTTTGTTGTAATGTTACTATTGTAAACGTTACTGTTACGTTGTACAATACTCAATGTGATGTGTCAACACGTACCTTCCATGACAGGTATTTTACATACATTCTATATGAGAGGTTATGTTTATCAAGAGTTATCTCGATTAAACGTAGCCTCCCAGATGCACACGGGCATTTCTGTCTTTACCTAGGTAAAGAGGTTTACGTACAGGTTAGTTAGGTTAGGTTGAACAATTATAAGCTGGTTAAAACATTTAGTTTTCTTTTCAAGCGTATTATATAGCAAGATTTTTATTTCAGCTTATGACTAATCCGTGCCTTATGTGAAAAGAACCTTTTTTTTATACGTAAAAAAAGCCTCGTGAGGAATGATAATTTCTACCACAACCTGCGCTCCAAATTTAACTTATGACCATGTAACCCGGCCACGCGTAAACTCAGCCAACTTATTACAAATGGGCAGGCTATGGTCTTGTCTTTTTTATTTTTAATAGAAGTCCACCATCCCTAACCATCCCTTAACCATTTATATAAGACACCATGAATTCATCATTCTATTTTGATACGGAATTTTTCCTCTTTATAATCAAGTTCACTTTTTGAATTTATATGGCAGGGTACGCAAGATATAGGCTATCAAGGCTATGCTACTGTTAAATAAAATTTTGAAGCTTATACAGTCACTAAGTTGATTTGTTGATAATTCACTTGTGAAAATAAACGGACGGACTACGTGATGATTTTCGTAAGGTTACGTTCTGCCACCATAACCTGGCCAAACGTAACCTACGGCTGTTATACGTGTTGAACTGCTACCCCGCACTTTGTAAGGTTACAGAATTATATCTCGTATAGTAATCAACTGATTGGACGTCCTTTATTGCACCTATTTAATAGATAGGCTTTTTTTTACAAGCATTATAATTCATACTTATAACTTGGCTTAACATAACCTACCGGTAGGTAGGTCAGGCAATGTTAAGCATGACGGGTTGTCAGCCTTGTTGAAGGTGAGGAGTAAAATACGTTATGCACTAAGGTCATCATTTCATTTTGATTTGGCTTTTAACTATTTTCAATTTTCATTGCGTGTTATTTAATTTTTATGTTCTGAATTATTACCTGACTGTAACCTACTCTAGTTACGTCAGGAAGTTTTGGCCGTAAATGTTGAAAGTTCATAAAACTGGTTGAACTCTTCGGTTACGTCTAGACACGTTGTCTTGTACGAATGGTTATGCGTATAATTGTAACCTGGCTAAACGTAACCTTTTACATATTTTTGAAAGCTGATTTTTTTTTAATTTTTTCATTTCAATCGTACATTTTCTCTTTACCAAGGCTAGCTACAGATGCTCGGCGTAACCTCTCAGTACAGCTGCGATAAGGTTATGTTGGAAAGTTATACTTGAAATCACAAGCTGTGCTGTTAGGAAATAGTTTAGTTAGAAGTTCACTATTAGATTGAGATTCATCTGTATGCGATACTCATTACAAAATAATAATTATCACAATTATAAATTATGATAGAAATATATATAATGTACAGGTTAAGTTACGAGTTAGATGATTTTGGCAATTAGTAACCTAACCAAATGCAACCTCCAGTATTGTGCCTACACCTGTAGTTGATGTAGATTTATCAATCATTTCGTGTTGCAGGTTAGTTTAAGACGATTTCCAAACCACGACCATAATACCATAACCTGTTATTAACATGTCCTAGCATGTTATGATTTTATGTTTAAAGAAAAATTGCTTTATTCTTAACCTGATAGAATGCAACTTTTCGTTTGCCGGTATGCGCAGGTTATTTCTTTATTCGATTTTTTAATAATAAACCTTTTTCAAGGTTGTAAGTTAGGACTGATCCTTAACCAGACTAAACGCAACCTCCCTTTTTAACGCGCATAGGCATGTTACATCTGATTGTGTTGCAGGTTACTCACACGTAACAAGTCAGGTTATGTTCATTTTGAGCAACGAAAACTGATATGCAATTGTTTTCAATCGTTTCGGATCCGGTGGGCCTTGGGATCAAATCAAAATTCCTACTGTTCACTATGTAAAAATTAAAAATAAATCGGCTTTGTTTTTGTTCATTTCCAGTTTTTTACAAAAAATTAAAGCAGAAAGAAGACGAAATTTTCGAAAAATTGAAAAATTTAAGAACGTCCAAGAAAACAGCACTATTGTGATTTTTTTCTTATTTCGATCGTTTTTTCAGCACTAATAGGTCAGAAGGGCCCGGAGTACACAATACACTTCTGTGGGAATCGGGCATCATTAAAAAACTTGTATATATAATTAAAAAAATTTATTGTGCTTAAAAAAAATAGTAATAATACAATAAAACTTGCAAGTGAGCAAAAAGAAACAGGAGCGTTACGATAAAAAATATATAATCGAGAGAAAAAAAGAATAGTAGTAGGAATTCGAAGAAAGAAGGCAAGCAAATTTGAAACCACCAAAATAATTTTATGTACAGTTTTGATATTTAACATTAAGATTTGTTTTGTTTAATATCTTAAACAGGGCTTATGACACCATCCCGGGTGACCTCGTACTGATGACAGTCTTCAGCGGATCGAACGTCAGGTCGATCTGCTGAAAAGTGTCGTCACAGGTCTCTCTGTTTTCTCCAAAATAATATAAATAGTTCGCAGATCGTATTTCTTCTCCCAAAGTCAGTGTTAAAAATTAATTTTTCCATGTGGGACCCAGTCTAATGGTATACTCAACTCAGAAATAATAACCAGATTTGGGTGGAGAAGCGTGTAAAAGTAACTCGAGAAACAACTCTGGAAGTACACGAAGGTTTTTTTCAAACATCAGGAGATCAGGGTAAAGTTTTAGTCCCAGGTTTAAGAACTAAGGGAGAAATTGAACCAGAGTTGCGTAGGAGTAAAACTAGAATAACTAACTAGCTTAAAACCAGAAGTAAATGAAACTGGGGCGATAGGAGCTTGATATATCAGGAGTAAAATGAAAAAGAGCTTTGGCTAACAGGAGCCACTGGAGTTTGAACTCTCAGGAGAAAAGGAATTTGAGCCCAGAGGTGCAACAAAGGCCCAGAACTGAAGAGATAAAAGCTTAAATCATCAAAAAAAATTACATTTTAGGCAATTTAAGCTCATATCTGTGAAAGGGCCCTACCCAGGAGCCATATAAGCTTGAAATGTCAGAACCCACATAAAAAAGTTATGCAATCGGGGACGATTGGAGCTTAAATATCAAGAATAAAACGGAGAGGAGCTCGGGCTAACAGTAATCAGAAAAGTTGACATCGCAGAAGAAAATGAATTTGAGCGCAGGGGGGCAACTAAGTTTCAAAACTGAATTAACAGATAAGAGCTTATATTATCAAAATCGTTTACGTTTTTCACCATTTAAGCTCTTATCTGTAAACTTACCCTCGCCATAGAAGCTTGAAATGGACCCACAGGACTTAAAAGAGTTATGCAATCAAGCAGCTTAAATTATCAAGGGCGACAAGAGTAACAAGTGGAAGCTATCTTGGCAACTGCTTCAAATATCAAGAGAAAACGAAACCGTAGCGTATTAAAATCAATAGGGGAGTCGAAAAGTCAAGACAATAATCAGGTGCAACTTCTTCAAATATCAAGAGAAAACGAAACCGTAGGATCTTGAAATAATAAGGATTGTTGAAAAGTAGACGTCGAAAAGAAATTTTCCATCATGAGCAGCAATAAATTGAAATATGAGGAGTGTCTGTAGGTGGGTAAAACTGTAACCACAGGGATTGAATTATCACGAGTAAATGAGACTAAAACTATGGAGCTTGAAAAATCGGGAGTCTCAGGAGCTTGTAAAATCAAGAGTAAACGGAAAAAGAAATTTGGGCTTATCACCCACAATAAATTGAAATACCAGCAGTGTGTGTAGGAGGGAATCCACGAGCCACAGTAGATTTTATCAGGAGTGAATGTAAACGAAACAATTAGATTTTTATCAGTCACAGAAGCTAGTAAAATGAAAATAAATGGAAAATGAATTTAGGCAATCATGAGCAATAAGATGAAATATCAGAAGTGGCTGTAGTTGTGAATTCAGCTGAAGCCATATGGGATTGGATTGGCAGGAGTATGTCAATGAATTAGCTTGAAAATCAAGAATAAGAAAAGCTATTTGGCTATTATGAGCGCCATATACCATCTTAACCGGAAACATCAGGAGTCCAGGAGCTTGTAAAATGAAGAATAAACGGAAAAGAAATTTAGGCTATCATGAGCAACTATCAGTTGAAATATCAGGAGTATCTGTAGGAGCGAATCCGGGAGCCAAAGGGGATTGAATTATCATGAGTAAATATAAACTTGAAAATTCAGAAAAAGAAAATCTTTTTAGCTACTATGAGCACCAGCACGTTCAAATATTATTATAAGTGCCTAAGAATAAATTCAACTGAATCCAGATTGCAAGTGAAACCATCGAAAAATAAAGACAATACATGGAAAAAGAATTTGGACAATCCTGAGCGACAATAAGTTGTAAATCAGGAGTGTCCGCAGGAGTAAAATATCAGGAGTGAATGTAATCAACAGGAGCCCCAGCAGCTTGAATTATCAAGAGTAAATGCAACTCTAGCCACAGGAGGTTGAAATATCGGGAGTGAGTTGTAGAGTAGTGAATTTACAAAGTCTGTAATAGTCTGCAAGCCAGGACCCACGGGGGATTTAATTATCAGGAGTAAATGTCTAAATGCTCAAATATATTTGAACTTGAAAAATAAGGAAAAAGTAAATCTTTTTACCTATTATGAGCACCAGTAAGTTGAAAAATTCAAGTGCAGACGAATTTGAACTCGAAAATTAAGGAAAAGTAAATCTTTTTAGCTATTATGAGCACCTACTGGTAGCTAGTAAGCTGAAAAATTCAAGTGCAGACGTATTTGAACTTGAAAATTGAGAAAAAAGAAAAGCTTTTTAGCTATTATGAGCACCAGTACGTTAAAACCTAAATAAAAGTGTCTAAGAATAAATTCAACTGGATCCAGATTGCAAGCGAAACCATCGGAACCGGAAACATCAGGAGTTCCAGGAGTTTGTAAAATAAGGCAGTAAATGGAAAAAGAATCCGAACAATCCTGAGCGACAATAAGTTGTAAATCAGGAGTGTCCGTAGGAGTGAAGTATCAGGAGTGAATGTATTAAATAGGAGCCCCAGGAGCTTGAATTATCAAGAAGAGCAACAAAGACGTTTAAATATGAGTGTCTGTAGAAGTAAATCCAGGAGACACAGGTGATGAATTATCAAAAGTTAATGTAAATGCATTTCACCTAGAAAATTCAGAATAAGAAAAGTTATTCGACTATTATGAGCGCCAAGAAGTTGTCTACGAGTATAAATCCATTGGGTATTGAATTATCAGGAGTTAATCGAACAGGCGATAATCAAATTGAACTATACGGACAATTGAAAGTACAGGAGCAGTGCTCGTGTTCTTTCAACGATCCATAGAGGGGAAAAATTAACCTTTCTACGAAAAGATGCTGACCAGGGCTTTTTCACGCAATGAAGACGATGGGAGGACGCCAAAAGGATTGACTAGTAGCGAATTACAAAGATAACGAAAGTCTTTTTGAGTATTTGTACACTTTTTGTGTTATAAATTTAAAAATATTGTAAGATTCTTTTTTATTGTCATGTTTGCCTGTATATGTCTAGGTGGTGTTGGACGGGCGGAAGTGGAACGGCGAGCTCCTCATCCTCTGTTTCGTATGACCTTTTCTCGTCTGAATATGGTGGCGTGAGGAGGGACCAGGTCGCAGGCTGGCTTTCATGCCTCGGAGGCGAGAGGAAGGACGACGCGTGGCGTAGGACGGTCGGCCTCACCAGATTGGCCGTGTTGGCCGTGGGTCCGCCGGCCATCGCTTCGCGACACGCGATCCGGAGCCAGCGCTTTTTCGGAAGCTCGCGTTTCCGAGGCGAGACGACGGCGGGCGAAGGTGGCGTCGAGCTGGGCTGGGTGAAGAAGAGATTCTTGACTGGGCGCGACCTGTCCGCGTTGCAGGGTCGCGGAGTCTTCAGTGGTGACTTTCGCGGCGAGGTCCACTCTAAAAGAGAAAACAAGTTGAAATCAATATTTCCCACTCCGTAATTGATATTACAAATGGCACTTTAAGAGATGAAGTTTATAATCGATAGTTGAACGACATCGACAAGCATAAGTATCCTAGTGTTGATCAAAATTGATATACAAATAAGTAAAGGATAATTTACAGTTTCATACAACGGACGTCGACATATACAGGCAAAAAAAGTAACTAGAAGCAAGAATCGATGTTATCAACAACTTAATATTCGATACGTAATATACAATACACGTTGGCGAAGTATGTTCAAGTTCGTATTACTCCAATACGTCGATGTATACAGCATATGTCGATATTTCTATGCTGAAGATGTGACAAGTATTAGAATCGATTATTAATCGATTGAATTGCGATGTGTAACCTACAAACGTTAAGAATGGTCGGTATTCTTTCTCGCAAGATACATCGACTTTTAAGAGTAAAAATGGATTACTATTGATGACGGATAGCTTCATACAATATATATCGAGGTATACAGCAAAAAGGATCAGTAGAAAAAAAATAAGTCGCTTACGTGATCGATATAAATCGAAGTGCGGTATTCGATATGCAACATACAATCGATATAATTTGGAGAAGGTTGATTGATACTATATCGATATTTAAAAACATACACTAAAAATATCAATCGATTATTATCGATACTTATAATTTAAGTATTAATCTATCGATTGTTGTCAATATATAATCGAAAAGTGTGATTCGATATGTAACTAACAATCGATATAAAACGAAGGTTCATTGATATTGTATCAGAAAATCTACATCGATATTTAATAACTACTGTATGTCGATATGTACGTACATATACATTCATGTACTTACTTATCGAGTTGAGGCTGCAACCGCAAGAAATTTGAATTACGTTTTCAAAGTATAATCGAAAATAAATGTTGATAATCGATGTAACGTCCATCGACCAGGGGCGTTGTCTTATTTATGGTGGTAACATAGCAGAATAAGGTGGTTAACTATTGTCAAATGAAGAAGTAGAAAAAATATTGAAACGTATATTGTCGATCCTTAAAATTATAAAGTTCTTCAATCAGATAAGGTAAAATTAGCGTATAGTTTAAATATGCCAACGTTCTAAAGCGGTCATAATCGATACGTAAGATTGCAAACTTTCACGAATCGATGTTGCCTGGGTGAGGTATCGAACTGAAAATCTTTTTTAAAATGGCTAACGGATAGTGCTGCCATTACGACCCCAATGAAAATCGACTTGGCGTATGTAGGGTTATGTTGTATGGAGTTTATTCGATATTGCATAAGATATATAAAAAGTGGCCAGATTGTAATTTATAAGTGCTAAATTTTATGAATCGATATGTTGACCGAGTGGTATCTGAAAGTCTTTTTTAGGCTAATCGAAAGTGCTGCCATTACGGCCCCAATGAAAATCGACTTGGCGTGTAGGTTATGCGGTATGGGTTTTATTCAAATTGTATATTATATATAAGGCACGAATCTGTAAGTGCATACTTTCATGGATCGACCGAGGTGGCATCGATTAAAAAATATATTTTAAAGGGTTCATCGATATAGCCTCCATCATGGCAACTGAAAATCGACTTGTGATGATCGATTAAAATCCGACAACGGATAAACAATTATCCTGTGTAACTTTTATGAATCGATATGTGAGTGTTATATATAGAAAAAATCTATTAATCGATATAGCTGCCATTACGGCCCCAATGAAAATCGACTTGGCGTATGTAAGGGTTGTTGGGCTTTTTGATGAACTGAAGCATATGGATTTGTTTATTTGGGGTTGAGAAATCATTCAACAATATAAAATCCTTCTTTCCACAACTGGGCAGGCACATTTGGCAAATTGGAAAAAAGTTCATCGTTCCTTATTGACTTCGAGAATCAACTAGAAACGAGGATACTAGGACGTCATGTGTTGATGGGCCCTTATATATTCAATATATTAGGCGAATTTGGTATGAATTTTTAGGTGAATGTTTACCGATTGTCTCCCCGGAGGCTGAGGTAAAATTTGTCATGTCGGCAAGCTCTCTGTCCTCGGTCCTCGGTGTGAGGACGTCAATTCTCGGCTTGCTCATCGGTGTCTGCAATGTGTCCTTCTTCTCCGCGGACCTCGTCTCCCTTTCAGCCCTGTACTTGTTGAACCACTGAAGTACTTCCCGGCTGCGCCCTGCCTGTTCCATGTCCAGGACGGGCGCCTGTTCCTCGGACCTAACGAGCGGTGCCTGAGGGTGTGCGGCGCAGTGCCTGTTGGCGTGTGTGAACCTGCTCGTGCACCTTCGAAAATTGAACAAATTAAGGATCGAACCACCGTGCATAGTGGGGGGGAAAAGTCTCACCCGTCGGCAGAGCATAGAAACGGCCTCTCGCCGGTGTGAAGCCTCTGGTGCGTCTTGAGTTGACCGCTCTGCTTAAACTTTCTCATGCAGCCGGGAAAATCACAGCTGTAAGGCCTTTCTCCTGAAAATTCCAAATGTAACATTTTAAAATGTATCCGTTATGTGTGTATATATATATTTAAAATGTATATGATATCATAACGTGTGTATGTAACAGAAACAAACTTTAAAGTTGGTGAGGGAATTCACTAACAATTCGCTCCACTACTGGCTGTAGTTGCATTACAGGCATTATAGTGCTCATATTTCATTACTGGCATCCTGTCTATAACAGTCACGATCTGACAAGTCTGTTTTTCGGACTTCACTTATGCGAACAACACTACCCGGGATTCAGCATCAAGAACCGTGACCATCCATAACAATCCGAGTACAGTCGGGTGGTCCTCAGACTATGACAAATTGTGACCGAAAATGCTGATATGAAATAATCGGTATCTACAGTTCGAAGAAAAAATAGCTTGGCATAGATTGTAAAATTAATCGAGTTTCGATAATCTACCACTGGAATAACAAACCAGCGGGTCAAAGTGCAAAATCCAATTGCGCTATTATATCGATATAACTGATATACGCTTAGTGTAGTATGAAGCATTATCGATGGTAGCAAACATCGATCCTAACGAAAATCGATATATCGATACTAAGCGATATCTTAAAACCCTATTGAAAAATCCATGTCCAAACAGATGAATGATATTATGAACTCTACGGACGAGGCGTATACAAATTTAAAAAGAACAATCAATATGTAACGCTAGCTGATCTGAAGTCATATATGGTAAACTTGTCAGGTCTCTCGCGAGACTTGTGTCCGTAACTCGGTAACTCTCCTATGAGGTTAGGAGGTTGTAACGTTAAGGTTAGGGAGGATGTAATGTCATGTTAACGAAATATGTTAAGATGGCGGCCCAACGGGATGACCGTGCTGTGAAGAACCGGCGAGTGAAGGCACCACAGCTATTATCTTCAACGACTAGCGACAACTGTTTGGCCTGCAGCGCTACAATAATGGTTATTTATGAAAGACTCAGGTTTAAGCGAAATCATAGACAACCAATAAGATTGAGATATAATCTACGAATATAATCCAATTAATAACATTAATCTATACAGCAGAACAATATATTGAGCGTAGAAATCGATATATATTTTAGGTAAATTCAGACATAATCCATACTGTCAAAAGAAGACAATCAGGTTATGTTACGTTGAGTTTTTTAAGCGAAAAATAGCGATATTTTTCATCAAAAAAGCATCATTTGATGTACGTTTAGACACAAAAAGATAATCGATTATACGTACATGTAGGAATTGAAAAATTCATTCTATGAAACGCAATCGATTAATATTGACAATTCTTCCAGTCCACTTGTCAATAATTCTATTTTAAAAAAAAATAGAAATAAAAGTACAAAAATAAAATTTTTGACATTCATAATTCTACTTGTCAATGAATTTGGGACAGTCGATGTGTAGATGTACATTTTTCAAAAGTAAAATCGATATTTTGCCAACAGTAATCGATTCCAAAAATCGATATTTTTCTTAAATGGAAACCGTGTAATCGATTTCGAATAAGACGATAAAAAGATCGAAAAATAAGAAGTACGTCTAAACATGGTCGATTAAGTGAAATAGTTAACTTTTTATCCTCCCAGAAATGATAATGGTTATATGATTTCTGGACAGATGTTTTATTATAAAAATTTAGAATATAATTTCTGTGCGTGGCTCGATTCTCTATAATAATAATTAGAATGGACGTATAAACTATGCGTCATGGAATTTAGTATGATAATCGATATCGTTGAAATTGGAGAATCGATATAAATAGGATCGATACTTGGCGTTTAACCGATGCCTACAGACAATGGGATTTCCCTGATGAACAATCAACATCCGCAGACGGGAATCGATACGGATTCGGATAAGTACCGATAGATATATTCAATATTTTATTAAATCTTTTAATCAACGAAACTTATTTTACATTAAGTATCGATAAGACGAAACAATTTAAGGATCAATTTTTTTACATTGAAATATGACGTATAAAAAACAAACAGGAATATCGATAGTTCCAAGACAAATCGATACGATGTATAAGAATCGAAATCGTTATCCAACCATTGTTATCGATATGCTTTTAGAAATCAATTGTAGTTATTTAATCGATATCTTACGGATATTAATCGTAATTACAATCGTATAGCTACAAGAACAATAAAGCCAATGGAAATAGGTTAGTTTCTATTTGATGATCTTACTTTTTTTACAATTTTTATTACAAAACGAAATAAACAATTTTATAGAAATCGATGCTGTATTTTAGGTTTTTTAGAAAATTATTAATCGATATATTTTTTTAAATCGATACCTCAGTTTATGGTGTAATCAATATTGGACGTAATGAAACGTACTAAAATTTTAAAATGGGAGCATCTACATAATTGTTATAGGACAGCAAACCTATATCCACAGGATTAAAAAAATAGATATGGATAATCGAGTCCGCCACAACGATAAGATAAATCGATTAATAACAATCAAAATCGATGTTTAAGTTGATTAAAAAAGGTCGACTTTCGTTCAATATCGATTAGTGGCAAGTCGATAAAAAATTCGGAAATCGATATCGGATTTGATACAAGTTTTGCAAATTTTGCCATGAAAATTGATATTCATCGATATACGTATTTGGAAATCAATTACTGAGTGGATCATCGATATACTTTTAAAAATCGATGACAATTAAACTGTATATTTTAAGGAATCGAATGTAGAAAATTATTTATTCGCTACTTTTCAAAAAAATCGATACCTTAGCGATTTTAATCGCGTTCCCAATATTGATCGTAATGGAATAAGTGATACAGTATTCAAATGGAAAATCGATATGACTTTCTTACGATTATTTTAACAATCGATATGCAATGGAAGAAATAATCTAAACAAGAATTGATGAAATTTCACCACTTGGCAGTCTTAAACCGATATATCGCTTCGATAACAATTTCATTTTTAAAGCGTATAACCTATAAGGTAAGGTCGTTTAGCCACCGATTTGATTAGTTTTTGAAAATCGATATTGGTTGTCAATAGAAACCTTTTAAATTTCGATTTGTTAATCGTCATGTTACGTAAAAACAGATAATCGAAACTTAAATAGTGTACAACCCAACAGTGGATATATTAATTGATAGGCGGTGTATTATCCATTTTGGAGTTATTCATTCTATGATTTAACTGACACGTTACAATTAATAAGTGTTGCCAACAGTGGACGTAATGGAAATAGGCGATATCCTTTTAAAATGTATAATATTATTTCACTATTATAAACGGTGTTAAGTATTAAAAAAATTGAAAAATAAAAAATGGTTAATACAAAATAAACAGAAAATTAACAACTCGCCAGGTGTTATCCGATACTTTTTTGAAATTGATAAAGTTGTTAATAGATACTCTTAAAAATCGATCTAATCGTTAATCGATAAACTTATGTTGAGAATTGGTTTGTTATAAAATATACAAAAAATCTATTTAAAACAGTAATAATCGATGTATCGATATACTTGGTATATAATGCAATTTCTGTACAAATACGGGCGGGGAGCCGCACTTTGTACAGAACCACAGGTAAATTTGTACAAGAATGACTCAGTCAGAACGAAACAAATACATGCAAAACTCGATTTGGTTTTGCAATACGTTAAAATAAATCAAGTCATCTTTTGGACGTCAGGATTACTTTGCATTATCAAATTAAGCGACTTGAAGAACTCAATGGAGCTTGAACTATTGTATTTTCGATCAGTTTTCAATATTTTTTTTTAAATGATGATCGATGTTTTAACATTACTTGTTAATCGATATTCAATGTTAATAAACGAATTCGTTATACGTTTTATAATCGATTTCTGTCGTTACTGGATATCAATTATTCTAAAAAGTTATACGAGAATTGGAATAATCGATGTATGTATAAAAAATCTATTTGGCATGTTATTTTAATCGATATGTAGCACTTATTAATCGATACTTTTTACAAAACTGTATATCAAGGTTGTCGATCTACATAACCTTTTTAAATCGATACGTGCGGTAAATGTTAACTGATGTGGTTCATAATAGATTTTTGACAGTATAGGATATTAAAATCAATATCTGACATAGAACGAAGGTTTTTTTTTAAAAATCGCTTTTCTGATAAACACAAAAAAAGTAAAAGAAACCACAAATTACAAATGACAAATATAAATAATTATCAATTCGATATATGAGATGATGTACCTCCACTAATGATTCTGAACGATTTAACAACTTTTGAAACTTATTTAATTGATTTAACACGTTATTAATAGAAATTTCACATTTTAAGAAAGCTCAAAATTCAATTATGCGGAGTTTCAAAAGATACAAACGGCAGAACATATTTGAAAAATCAAATTGGCGAAATATCCGTATTCTTTTATCCATTATAGATTTAAAAAACCCCTCCACAAATCGGTGGATTGGAAGGAGGCTGTCGACCTTAGCCTTTGGACGATCGTGGCGGCCACTTCGTACTAAGTAAAAACAGGCCCTTTATTAAAATAAACTGGGCTTCACATAAGATAATACGGATGTTGATCAGATATTCTTCAGGCCAAGAGATTCGATAAGAATGGAGTAGGGCGCATGAAATGAAAAAGAACACCGCTCCACCAGATACCACTGGAAAAGGTGAATTGCTTGACAGCAATTCTAGAGACGTGGAAAATGCTAATCAATGCTACAGCAGTGAAAGCAAAGAACGATAATTATCAGACACCTATGTATGTATCCATAAATTAATTTATGTCACGAAATGTCATAAATTAATTTACGACAACTAAGTTAAATTTTGTCCAATTGCAACCGCCCTGCTGGGGCAATGTCAAGTCAAGGCCTGCCACACAGCACTCAAGCTGATATTTGTAATTTTTCGTGGACCAATAAACCATGGTTTTTTACATTTTGTCCAAAGACACTTGTCAAAAAAAACACAGAAAATCGTCGCAACATCTGTGCTACCCCTTCAAGCTTATCTGGAAAGTTATGTTGATAGAAGACGAGACAATTCGCACGTTTTGTGGACAATAATTTTCCGGCTGGACCATCCAAAAATTTATTTTTTAAAATAATCATTTTTTTTATTTAATAAAGATATTAGCAGATGTTAAGAAATGGTCACACTAGCGCCCTCTGGCGGTAGATCGGGGTACTATTTCCCCCTACTGGACAGTACACCAGTACAATTTTGTGGACTGAAATTATTCAGATAGGTTTCAACAAATGACACAAAATTGGCCAAATTAAGCGAAGAGAATTTTTACTTTCTTGAAATATATTTCGATAAGAATAGTGGCAATTTGAAATAAAAACCAAATGTCATCCACAAAAATGGACCTAACACACCTGGGAGAAGAATCTTTTGCTAGCTTCAATGATTAACTGCCCAAACTTAAAATTTTCTTTTGATGAAAAATAACACAAGTTAAAAAAGCCAATTATCATCCACAAAACGGGACCAATATCATATATGAGAATTCATATCTTGGAACATCATACTTCTGGCATTTTGACAATTAACATTTGGCCAATACTATCCACAAATTTTTGAATTAACTATAGTTTAACTCCTTCAAACAGTCTTTAACCAATATAACATCTTTAAAATGGTATTGGCCTGAATATTGTTCATCCACAAAACGACCAAAATGACAGGAACAAGAAATTGTCAATTTGCTGTTTTGAAGAAATACCATCCTTTACAACAAATATTGGTTTTGATGATTCCTTTTTATAGTCCTTTTCCTTCAAATATTACATATATAATTGTCTAATATTATCCAGAAAAAAGCATCAAAGATATAAAGGGTGAAATTTACTGTCTGAAACTTTTTTTATTGACGACTCTTAAGCCCCCAAATTATCCACAAAAATCATAAATGGAAAGTATGAAAATTACTGTCTTCAAACTATCATAACTGAAAATAAGCAAGTATTATCCAGAAAAAAAAATGCGTGATTTTTTTTCTCGAAAAAATCAATTTCATGGAAAAACCATCATATGCAGAAAGATGGGTCAAACGGATCAGGGAAAGGAACTCTTCAGTATACAGTCATCAGTTATCAATATGACACTTAAAAATAGCCCGAGGATATCTAGAAAAAAGCATCGAAAATAGAAAATGGTAAATTTGTCTTGAGAAATTGAGAATAAGGCAGTATCCTACAGAAAAACTAGGGAAAATTCGTGCAACTGTCCAATATTTTTTGATCGAAAAAATCGATTTGATGGAAAATAAAGATAATTTAAAACTGACCAATAATATCAAGAAAGACGGGCCAAACGGATCAGAGAGAGCAACCGTTCACAATTTTCATCTTGAATATGACACATAAGATTTGTCCAATATTACACTCAAAAATCATCAAAGATGATAAATGTGACATTTACTGTCTTCAACAAACTATCTTAACTGAAAAAATAAGGCAGTATTATCCACGAAAAATTGAGAAAATTCGTGCAATCGCCCAATAATTTTTGTGGGTCGAAAGCATCCATCTGATTGAAAATAATGACAAATTTAAAACATATATGGGCCAAACGAATCGGGGAGAGGAACCTCACAATTTACATCTTGAAACATTTTTTTTATCAATGACACTTAAGAACTGTCCAATATTATACACAGAAATCATCAATGATGTAAAGTGTGAAATTCACTGTCTTGGAACTTTTTTTTATTGATGACATTTAAAAGCTGTATGTTAATACAGAAATCATCGAAGATGGAAAGTGCGACATTGTCTTCAACAAACTTTCTTAATTGAAAATAAGGCAGTATTATCTACAAAAATTTGAAAAAATTCGAGCAAATTGTCCTTTTTTCGTTGAAAAAATCCATAAATGGAAAACAGACTGTTTAAAACTGACCAATAATAACCAGAAAGCTGAACCAAATGGATCAGAGAGAGGAACTGTTCACAATTTACAGTCTTAAATTTTTTATCAATATGGCACTTAAAAATTATCCAATATTATCCACAAAAAAAATCATCGAAGATAATAGAAAGTGGTAAATTTATTGTATTGAAACTTTCTTAACTGAAAATAAGGCAGTATTATCCACAAAAAATTGAGAAAATTCGAGCAATTGTCCAATTTTTTGTCGAAAAAATCCATTTGATTGAAAATAAAGGCAATTTATAACTTGAACCATCTTATGCAGAAAGATGGGTCAAACGGATCAGGGAAAAGGAACTCTTCACTATAGTCTTGAAACTTTTTTATCAATATGATACTTAAAATAGCCCAAAGTTATATAGAAAAAAAGCATCGAAAATAGAAAATGGTAAATTTTGTCTTGAGAAACTGAGAATAAGGCAGAATCCTACAGAAAAACTTGGGAAAATTCGTGCAACTGTCCAATATATTTTGATCGAAAAAATCGATTTGATGAAAATAAAGACAATTTAAAACAGACCAATAATGTCAAGAAAGATGGGCCAAACGGATCAGAGAGAGAAACCGTTCACAATTTACATCTTGAATATGACACAAGATTTGTCCAATATGTTAGACACAAGATTTGTCCAATATGTTACACACAAAAATCATCAATGATAAACGTGACACTTACTGTCTTCCACAAACTATCTTAACTGAAAATAAGGCAGTATTATCCACAAAAAATTGAGAAAATTAGTGCAATCGCCCAATATTTTTTGTGGGTCGAAAGCATCCATTTGATTGAAAATGGTGACAAATTTAAAACATATATGGGCCAAACGAATAGGGGAGGGGAACTTCACAATTTACATCTTGAAACATTTTTTATTATCAATGACACTTAATAACTGTCCAATATTATACACAGAAATCATCAATGTTCACTGTCTTGGAACTTTTTTTTATTGATGACAGTTAAAAGCTGTATGTTAATACAGAAAAATCATCGAAGATGGAATATGCGACATTGTCTTCAACCAACTTTCTTAATTGAAAAAAATAAGGCAGTATTATCTACAAAAATTTGAGATAATTCGAGTAAATTGTCCTTTTTTCGTTGAAAAAATTCATAAATGGAAAATATATAGTTTAAAACTGACCAATAATAACCAGAAAGCTGAACCAAATGGATCAGAGAGAGGAATTGTTCACAATTTACAGTCTTAAATTTTTTATCAATATGATGGCACTTAAGAACTGTCCAATATTCACAGAAATCAATGATGTAAAGTGTGAAATTCACCATCTTGGAACTTTTTTTTATTGATGACACTTAAAAGCTGTCTAATGTTAATACAGAAAAATCATCGAAGATGGAATGTGCGACATTGTCTTCAACAAACTTTAATTGAAAATAAGGCAGTATTATCTACAAAAATTTGAGATAATACGAGCAATTGTCCTTTTTTCGTTGAAAAAATCCACAAATGGAAAATATATACTGTTTAAAATTGACCAATAATAACAAGAAAACTGAACCAAACGGATCAGAGAGAGGAACTGTTCACAATTTAGTCTTAAATTTTTTTATCAATATGGCACTTAAAAATTGTCCAATATTATATCCACAAAAAAAAATCATCGAAGATAATATAGAAAGTGGTAAATTTATTGTCTTGAAATGTTTTACATTAAAAAAGAAAAATATCGACTTTCGAAAATGGCCAACCTTATCGGCGAAATTGAGAGGAAACGCAACCGTCCCAAATTGTATTGTCCACAATTTGTTATTTTCGTAGCTTTTTAAATATTTAAATGACCAGTGGTTTTTAATTTTCCCGCCCGGCTCAGGGGCTGTTCTGATTGGTCGGCTGGTCCCCGTGAAAAACACGGTTTCTTAATGTAAATAATCCGGGGTTTTTTCTACTTTTTCCTGTCTATTTAATGTAATTTGGGTCGTTTTGGATTTTTGGTCATTGGAGGAACGATTTTCAGGCGGTTTTCGTGGCAAAACGGGACTGTTTTGGGTTATTCAGATCGCGGGGGTTCGGTGTCGGATTAAGGCTTTTCTAAGTGGATTTTGACGTTTTTGTTCGTTTTAGTTCTGCAGTTTTGGACGAAAATTGTTTTTTTGGTCGGTTTAGCAATGTATAAACGTAGTGTTTACCTGTGTGTACGCGCCGGTGGGCTTGGAGCGACTTGTCCCTGGGAAAGACCCTCGAGCACACTTCGCACCTGATCCCCGACTGGGATGTCGCTCCTTCGATGATCAGGTTGCTGATCGCAGCAGCTTTCGGCCGCCCGCGTCGCGACTCCGACGACCTGGGGCTGGTCGGAGGCTGGTACACGTTCTCGGACATGCCGACGGTGCGGTGCCGCTAAAACAACTGGTGGCCGCGGGAAAAGGGGCACGGCTGCCAACTTAATCACAACGGGCCGAGTGGGAGGGAAATAAAAATTCGAAGAAAATAAGCGCGAAAAAAATCAACAAACACGAAAACAAAAACAAAAAACTAATAAAAAGAATCCTTTAACAAAAAATCCGACCAAAATTAGGGGAAAGTACATGAGAAAAGGGTTTAAAGTGTCCTCGGCGGCCCCTCCTCGAATTCGTTAAAAGAAATCCAACCAAGGCCGTTCCTTTTAAACTGGTCTTTAAAAGTTGTAGAGGGGATGCTTAACGGATTTACCCGCTTCGACTACCTGCCTTTAAAACCCTCCGACCCACTTTTCCAGTAAAATTAAAAAGACAAGGATTACTTTTTTTTACTCTTCAAAACCCCACAAACACAGGGTGTTTTAAACGACATACATAACTTCAAATTGTCTTAAGGCAACGCCAAATTATCGAATTATGCCCATTAAGATCAATTTCTCAATGGACCGGACAGAAAAAACACATTTTAAAAATTGATCAGGCTTAAAAAGCCAGTTTGTAATAGACCTGGTCAATTTTAAATGTATCGAGTCGAAAATAAGACAAACTAAGTGTCGAATAACGATGATGGAATGCAATAATTAATAAGCTATCTCAGACAAATTGCTTACAATCGGTGGGCGTATAGTTAAAAAAAATGAAGCTTAGACGAATTACTTAAAAATAGGATTGATCAATAATTTGAACATTATTTTAACCGTGAACAAAAATTTTTGTTTTTAAATGTTTTTTTGGTATTTTTTAAATATCCTGGCCCATATTAATCAAAAATGATCCTAAGCATAGATCTTGCGTCGAAAAGAACTAGATGAAAAGTTGTTTTTCGACAAAGATGAAAATTAGTGGAAAAAATGGATTAATTATTTCAATGTTTGTTTTCCGTAAGTGGTCATTCGCATTAAGTCGAAGACCCATGGCCAAGATTTTCGCGCCCATTTTGAACGTGAAAGGAGAAAAGTGGTTGAAACCGAATTTATTTCACAATATAGCTCAATATTCCTTAGAATAGAGCATTTACTGAATTTATTTTGAATAGTATTTCTTAAGTACGGTCAAAAGCTGCGAACCCAAGAAGAAAAGACTCAATCCTTTTTTAAAAAACATAGTTCCTACTCACAGTAAGTTGTTTCACAAATAGCTCAATATTGCTCAGAAGAGTATTTACTGAATTTATTTTGGTAGATTTTCTTAAATATAGTCAAAAGCTGCGATCCCAAGACGAAAAGACCCATGGCAAAAACTCCCAAGTGGTCAATTTCCGACTTAGAGGTTAATACGTTGATCTGATCATCGCTCAATATTCCTCAGAATAGAGCACTTATTGTACTAATTTTATGTAGTATGTCTTAAAAATAATCAGAAGCGTGGATCCCAAGTCGAAAAGACCAAGGGCACAATGAGCCACGTGGTCAATTTCTGACTTAAAGGAGACTTAGAGGTTAATNCTCAATATTACTCAGAATAGAGCACTTGCTGTATTAATTTTATGTAGTCTCTTTATATTTCACAAATAGCTCAATATTCCTCAGAATAGAACCATTTGTTTTTAAAAATTGGTGAAAAGTGTCCATCCCATGTTTCTCAGAAAAGACCTAGGTCACAATGTCCCACAAGGTCAATTTTCAACAAAAGGGAGAATAGGGGTTAATACGTCGTCCATCATAGAAATCGCTCAATATTCCTCAGAATAGAGCTGTCAATAATAATAAAGGTGAGTCAGAAAACGGACAACGGAAACAATAAAAAACAGAATAAAGAAACAATAGTCAACCTCCTACTCGGTTTGGAGGGACGCCACGTGGCCTAACCTCTCAACCCACGCGATCGGAGAGTCGAGAGTGAAGAGGTGGATTATTCGAGAAAATGCCGAACCGCGTTAACATTAACAATTGTACGTGTTATAATTGTTGGATTAATCAACAGATACGTGACGACCGAGCGGAGGAGAACCGTACCGGCTCGAGTCTTAACAGATGAAGAAAAAAGTGGGGGTTGGCACACTACGTCATGGAGACGTACAATTTATACAACAAATTTTCATTTTTCAATACCTTTAATATAGTTTTATCATTTTTTATAGTTGTTCGTTTACATAATTTTCTTTCTTTCGAAATTTTGCCTTTTTTTTGACCACTAGTATATTTGAGTTTAGAATTGGCTCCCCAGAAAGCTCGCATTTATTGTATCTATTTTGAATAGTATTTTTTTAAATAATCAGGCGTGCATAACGAAGTGCCACGTGGTCAATTTTCGTCTTGAAAAAGACGACATACAAGTTAATACATCGATCTCAGAAATCGCTCAATATTCCTCAGAATAGAGCTCTTATTGTATTAAATTTGTGTAGTATGTCGTAAAATAAACGGAAGTCTCGATCCCAAGTCGAAAAGACAGGTTATAAATACCACGTGGTCAATTTTCGACGTAAAGGGAGAAAATAGGTTAATGCTTAGTTTATCGTAGAAATCGCTCTCCGTATTGCTCATAATCATGAGTTTATATTAATTTAGACTAGTATTTCTTTAAAAACGTTCAAAAGCGGCGATCCTTTTCGAAAAGACCGTGGTTATCAAGCCCCACGTGGCCAATTTTCAACGTAAAGGAAGACAAGAGGTTAATGCGCAGTTTTATCGTAGAAATCTCTCGATATTCCACAAAACAGAGCATTTATTGTATTAATTATGTACAGTAATTTTTTTAATTATCAGAATCATAGATCCCAAGTTGAAAAGGCCTGCACAACTAAGTGTCACGTGGTAAATTTTCCTTTTAAAGGAGATTTCGAGGTTAATACGTCGTTGATCTGATAATCGCTCAATATTACTCAGAATAGAGCACTTATTGTATTAATTTTATGTAGTATGTCTTAAAAATAATCAAGCGTGGATCCCAAGTCGAAAAGACCTTGAGCACAAAGTCCCCACGTGGTCAATTTTCGACGTAAAGGGAGAAAATTTGTTAATGCGTAGTTTATAGTAGAAACCGCTCAATATTCCTAAGAATAGAGCATTTATTGTGTTAATTTTATCCAGCATGCCAAACAAATAACCAGTCGTCGATCCCAAATCGAAAAGACCTTGGGCACGAAGTCCCACGTGGTCAATTTTCGACGTAAAGGGAGAAAATTTGTTAATGCGTAGTTTATAGTAGAAACCGCTCAATATTCCTAAGAATAGAGCATTTATTGTGTTAATTTTATCCAGCATGCCAAACAAATAACCAGTCGTCGATCCCAAATCGAAAAGACCTTGGGCACGAAGTCCCACGTGTCAATTTTCAACGGGAGGACTAGCGGTTAATACGTAGTTGATCTTAGAAATCGCTCAATATTCCTTAGAATAGAGCATTAATTGTATTAATTTTATCCAGCATGCTAAAAAAATAACCAGTCGTCGATCCCAAGTCGAAAAGACCTAGGGCACAGAGTCCCACGTGTCAATTTTCAACGGGAGGACTAGCGGTTAATACGTAGTTGATATAAATCGCTCAATATTCCTCAGAATAGAGCTGTCAATAATAAACAATAAAGACTAGTCAGAAAACAGCCAATAGAAACAATAAAGAAAGATTAAGTCAACCTCCTACCCGGTTCGGAGGGACGCCACGTGGTCCTAACCTCTCAACCCACGCGGTCGGGGCGAAACGCGAATACAGGTGTTAGAACAGTTAATGCGTAGTTTATCTTAGAAATCGCTCAATATTCCTAAGAATAGAGCCTTTGTTGTATTAATTTTGTCTAAAAAATAATCAGAACCGTCAATCCCATGTCGAAAAGACCTAGGGCACAAAGTCCCACGTGGTCAATTTTCAACGTTAGGGAGACGTTAGGGGTTAATGCGTATATCGTAGAAATCGCTCAATATTCCTCAGAATAGAGCTATCAATAATAAACAAGAAAGATAATAAAGTCAACCTCCTACTCCGGTTCGGAGGGACGCCACGTGATCCTAACCTCTCAACCCCACGCGGTCGGGGCGAAACGCGAATCCAGGTGGATTATTCGACAAAACTTCATACCACGTAAATGTAACGTTTGTACCTACTATAACTGTAAATGTCGTGATAATGGATTGACGGACACGCGATGATACGTGATGACTGAGCGAAGGAGTGAACCGTACCGGCCGACAGCCCGAATCGAACTGACGAAGAATAAAGTGGGGGTTGGCTGACTGACTACGTCATAGAGACGTAAAATTTCTATACATTTTCATTCGTCCAAACTTAACCCCACTTATCCGAATCATCGATCTCAAGTCAAAAAGGCCTGCACAACAAAATACCACGTGGTAAATTTTCGACCCATGGGAGAAAATTTCTTTATACGTAGTTTATTTGAGAACTCGCTCAATATTCCTCAGAATAGAGCATCGATTTATTAATTTCTGTTTTTAAATATTAGAATCGTCGATCCCAAGTCGAAAAGGCCTCCACAACGAAGTACCACGTGGCCAATTTTCGTCTCAATAAAAGGAGACTTAAGACGTTAATGCATCGTTGATCAAATAAATCGCTCAATACTCCTCAGGATAGGGAATATATTGTACTAGACTTGTACAGCAAGTCTTAAAAATAACGAGAAGCGTCGATCCCAAGTCGAAAAGACCCAGGGCACAAAGTCCCACGTGGTCAATTTTCGACGTAAAGGGAGACAATTTGTTAATGCATAGTTTATAGTAGAAATCTCTCAATATTCCTAAGAATAGAGCATTTGTTGTATTAATTTTATCTAGCACGTCTAAAAAATAATCAGAACCGTCAATCCCATGTCGAAAAGACCTAGGGCACAAAGTCCCACGTGATCAATTTTCGACGTAAAGGCGAAACAGTCAATGCGTAGTTTATGTTAGAAATCGCTCAATATTCCTAAGAATAGAGCCTTTGTTGTATTAATTTTGTCTAGCACGTATAAAAAATAATCAGAACCGTCAATCCCATGTCGAAAAGACCTAGGGCACAAAGTCCCACGTGGTCAATTTTCAACGTAAAGGGAAAACAGTTAATGCGTAGTTTATCTTAGAAATCGCTCAATATTCCTCAGAATAGAGCCTTTGATGTATTAATTTTGTCCTAGCACGTCTAAAAAATAATCAGAACCGTCAATCCCATGTCGAAAAGACCTAGGGCACAAAGTCCCACGTGGTCAATTTTCAACGTTAGGGAGACTAGGGGTTAATGCGTAGTTATCGTAGAAATCGCTCAATATTCCTCAGAATAGAGCTATTAATAATAAATAAGAAAGATAATAAAGTCAACCTCCTACTCCGGTTCGGAGGGACGCCACGTGGTCCTAACCTCTCAACCCCACGCGGTCGGGGCGAAACGCGAATCCAGGTGGATTATTCGACAAAACTTCATATCACGTAAATTAAACGATTGTACGTACTATAATTGTAAATGTGGTGATAATGTATTGATGAAAACGCGATGACACGTGTTGACCGAACAGAGAAGATCCGTACAGGACAACGGCCCGAGTCGAACTGACGAAGTAAGTGGGGGGTCTCTCATGTCGCCGGAACTATTAAAATTTTTTACTTATTTTTATCGTTACGAACGTTTATTCTCGTAGTTTTATAATTTATCTTGATATAATTGACGTTTTGTTTATATTCTGTTTTCTTTCTTTTGAGATTTTGATTATTCTTCGACCACAGGTTGTATATTTGGGGTTCGCCCGATCTAGAAAGTCTTGGCGGTTAGTTTGAATTATACTTTTTTTTGTATATATATTTTTTCCTCCTATTTTAACGTTTTTTTGTGCTTTATTGCTTATTTCTTTATTATTTCTGTTAGTTTATTGTTTAAAAAAATTAATTTGCGTTTTGGCGCGTCGGGTCATGTGACTTTTCCCGTATTGTCTGTTTTTCCTTTATAAATAATAAAAAAATCTTTCACAATTCCTCTACACTTTTACACACTATTCTGGCTCTATTTGTTCAAAAAACTAATCCAACACAAATGCGTCGACTTGCGGGCTTCGAGGATGATCCTGACCTGTGATGGAGTTCATAATCGAGATCATCCACCTTATTAACTTCGGCCTACCGTTCACCAACAGGAAGTTCCGAGCTATACTCTACATAGTCACTTACGTCACACCGTCACCGGTTCAGTTTATAGACGACGTCAACGCCAACGACTTCGAAGACATGTAAGAGACCCGGTGGACCCACATAAAAAACAAACTCAATATATTTCCGCTTCTGAACAGATTCTGATGGACTCTTTCAATCTGCTCATCGAGTGCGTCAACGTCCTCACCGTCTCGCTACCTTTCACCGTCGAGAAGCTGGTCATCACTTTCTACATGACCGTGTACGCCTGTCCATACCCGGTTGAGTACATCGACAACATAAGGAGCGAGGAATTCGTCAATCTCGAGGAGTAATTTTTTTTTTTTTTAAATAGGGGGCCGCGTGATGGGACGAGACACGACGGACCCACAGGACCTCTACTGACAAAACTGTAGTTGAAACACAGTTTATATTAGACATGGGAATGATTCATGATTGTGACAGAAAATCACCTCAACTGTTTGGACGTTTGGACAGACCTCATTTATCACTCACTGAATTTAACAGAACAAATAATGATCTCAAAGGTTTAGACACAAGAATTGGAAATTGACCTCAAATGCCATGAAAACCAAAGACCCTTGTTCGAACTAAAAACAAAGAAATGCCATCAAAGACCCCCCCACTGTGCCCAGCAATAACCAATACTGATTGAAACAACTAAAACTTTGACAGCTCTGGCGTTAAAAGTTGGAAATGACCTCAAATGAAAACATGACACCTAATGACCTTACCCAGTCGAAATAACCAAAACCCTTGCTTGCACTGACGCAAACGTTGGGAATGACCTCAAATGTAGACATGACACCTAATGACCTTACCCAGTCGAAACAACCAAAACTCTCGACAGCACTGACGTAGAAGGTGGAAATGACCTCAAATGTAAACATGACACCTAATGACCTTACCCAGTCGAAACAACCAAAACCCTCGACAGCACTGACGTAGAAGGTGAAAATGACCTCATATGTAGACATGACACCTAATGACTTCAACCGGTCGAAATAACAAACACCCTTGACTGCCCTGACGTAAAAGTTGAAAATGACCTCAAATGTAGACATAAAAAACATAACCTAATAAAATATGAATTATCTTTAGAATTAGAAACCTTTTGGAACGTATCTTCCTCAAAATTAATTTAAGCTCTACTAACGTTAATACTCAGTAAAAACAAGAAATTGGTGTAACGTAACCTCCCCAAAATTAATTTAACCTCTACTAAACGTTAATACTCAGTAAAAACAAGAAATTTGTGTAATGTAACTTTCCCAAAGTTAATTTAACCTCTACTAAACGTTAATACTTAGTAAAAACTGAAAATTGATGTAATGTAACCTTCCCAAAATTAATTTAATCTCTACTAAACGTTAATATTCAGTAAAAACAAGAAATTTGTGTAATTTAACTTCCCCAAAGTTAATTTAACCTCTACTAAACGTTTATATTCATTAAAAACATGAAATTGGTGTAATGTAACTTCATCAAAATTAACTTAAGCTCTACTAAACGTTTGTTAATATTCAGTAAAAACAAGAAATTGGTGTAATGTAACTTTCTCAAAATTAATTTAAATTCTACTAAACATTAATACTCAATAAAAACAAGAAATTGATGTAATGTAAGCTCCCCAAAATTAATTTAACCTCTACTAAACGTTAATACTCAGTAAAAACAAGAAATTTGTGTAATGTTACCTCCCCAAAGTTAATTTAACCTCTACTAAACGTTAATACTCGGTAAAAACAAGAAATTCATTTAATTTAACCTCCCCAAAGATTACATCTAACCTATACTTTATAAATTATTGAGTGAAAGTTGGTTTTTTCCTTTTCAGAGAGTACCTGTCCTCGGAGGACGACCTTGGGATGTAAGTACATACTGATAAACGCAGTTTGATGAGTTATTTTAATTATTTTGCTTTTCTAGCCTCCCGTTAGACTTCATAAACCCTGAATAGAGTTTGTGAGGAAATAGCTGTCGAACGTCCTTGTCTCCGTCTTAAAACCGTCCCTTGTGCTAACCTTGGTAATAAGGAGAGGAGAGAAATAAAAGAGTGTATTTTTTGATCGTTGTATTTGTAGTTGACCGGTCAGAATGAAGCGGACGAGCCTTTGTAGCCAGGTGGTATGAGCCGCCTGATCTCGCTCATCCTCTTGATCGTGCTGAGGAAAGTATCCTCTCGGTTGATGAACTTCGACGCCTGGAAGCGTTCCCTGTTTTTCCTGTTCATCTTCTCCAGCATTATTTTGTTCACACCTGGAATTACCAGACACACGAATTTTTTTAAACAATAAATAAATCAGAGAAAAATAAAAGAGGCGCGTTTTTGTTTTGGGTGAATGGTCACCTCCGTATTTCGTTTTGACGTTGTCTATGTAGCCAATGTCTCTGAGGTACTTGGGCTGATAAGACTCTGGATTCTCGACGAGCCAGACGACAAACTTCTCCAGTATGCTGTACAAAGGACAAAAAACAGGTAAAAAGGTTTATCTCAGGGTAAAACTTGTCTTACTCAGAGTCGAGTAAGTTCTTGAAGAATGTCTCTGTGGTGAGCAACTCCTGTGGAATTGCGTCCGTCTCGATCCACTCCCTTATCGGGTCCGGCTTGATTCGCTTCTTCTTCAACACTTTACTGAAGAAGGCGTTCTTCTGATCAGGCCTATCGTGCTCGATCTTGTCCCACATTATCTGCCTGTACAGCTCGGCGCGGGTCGACTCCTTTAAAATTAAGTTTATTATGTGCATAGATTTTTAAGAAACAAATTACTCACAGAAGGCGCGTGTTTGACGATCTTGCTCGGTACGCTCTGCAGCTGTCGGACGTTGATCATCATAGACTCGACGACGACGTTGTCGGTGAACTTGAAGCGGAAGAGGTCCGAGATCGTCTCGACTGTCAGAACTGGGCTCTGAAGCCCTTGGCTGTTGGCCCACTCGCACAGCTCCTCGGCGATCTGTCGGACAGCAGTTGAGAGAGGTGATGAGTGTTACAATATCAGCTGATAATCTGATTGAAAGCGAAAAAGTTTCTAAGAAAATGGCGATGGAAACGACCAAAATCAAAGAAACCAAGACATCATGAAAACAAATCGTGTACTCCGATGATTTCCTGGAAAATGTTACATTTTATGGACAAACAAAGGACTCTAGGAAACATTGAAAATAACTTGGATAAAGTATGAAATATTCGATTTGAAATAAATGCAGGACGAGACTAAGAATCGGCCAAAAACTACACAAATCAGGAGGCCATAACTATTGTGTTCCACAAGAATTTCCTACAAAGCCTTATCTTTTGTGGACGAGTTATGTTGCAGAAAACGTCAAACATGGTTTATGTTAAGTAGAAAATGGTTAGGCTTTGAACAAAAATATAGGAAGATAAACATAGAAACAAAGACAAAACTAAAGCCAATTTAGGCTACAAGGATTCTGAAAAACTTCTATGATCCAGGAAAGGTCCAAATTCCTTGGATAAAGTATGAAATAGTTTCGTTTTAGAAGAGAGGGCATGGCAAAGCCGCGAATTGGACAAATTCCGCAAGGATTTTCTGAAAAACTTGAAAATTTTACTTTTTGAGGACAGATTTATAGTTCAGGGAACATCCAATATATTTTAGCTAAAGCGTAAAATGGGTTGGGTTAGAAAAGAAAGAACCAGGCATCACCAAGAAACGAACAAAAACCAAAGAAACTGTGGCAACCACCTGCAGATGCCACGGTACCCACTAGGTGTCACCAACATGTCAGGCAGGTGCAGCCAATCAGAGTGGAGCGATGCTGTACATAAGCAGGGGGACTAAACCGCTGACTTCACACGGTTAGAGGTCTCAACACGGAAGATTCGTCTCTCCGACGAGCTGTATCTACCTGGACAACCAGCTTAACAGCAAGGGCACTCACAGCATCAGCCTCGCTCTGGCCCTCCCAACAGCCGACTTGGCTGCCGGCCACCTGCTGCTGAATCCCTTCTTACGCTGCTAAGTCTACCGGATTCACGATGTCTGACCGCGACCTCTACCAACGGCACGTACATTCACATCCATCGGCTCTAGCTCTACACTTCACAACCACCAGCCCTTATCAGGGCCACCAAACCTCCCAATCACTAAAACAACCATGACAAAACTTACCTCATAAACGAGCGCTTCGTCAGTGTCGATGACGTTCAAAGGCTTCGTCCTCTTCTTGTCCTTCTCCCACTGCTGCCTCACGTCATCGTCCGTCTTGTTCCTGAATTTGTTGAACACCTTGTGGTTCCACCTTCTTTTCAAGGGTACAAAAGTTTAGAAAAAAGGCGAAAAAGTATACGGGGTCGAAACGACTCACCTGTCGTCCCCTTCCACCTCGGCTAGGCCGCTGACGTGCACCTCTAGATCGTCCTGGGAGTCTTCGATCTCAGACAGATTGTCCTCATGGTGCATCTCCTTCTCGAAAGGGAGGTCGCTTATCGAGTCCATGACCCAGAAATTGTCATGATCTGCATCCTCGTCCACCGAAATGTTCATCTGGAAGTTTCATTTTGTTAAAACTGTACAGGTTTTTGTTCTTTTAAGGGAGGACCTCGAAAAGGTCGCGTTTCTTGTCTTCTTTGCCTCGCCAGTAATCACTCTGGTAGTAGCTCTCCTCGGACGAGATCGTATCTTCGATAACCTCTTCCTCCTCCACTTCAGATTTTGACGGCTCGGCTCCGGTCGGCTGCGTTGTCAGTGTGTCTGTCATAAAGGCCCAATAGTCATAACAAATATCCCAGTGGTTAAAGGAAACGGCGTACCGATTGAATTGTCTTCTCCTGATATCCGTTCGCACTTCTCTAGGTCGTACATGTCAGCCAGCTCTTGGCAGTGTTGCATCATGCCGTGCAGCCGCAGAGGAGCCTCCATGAACTGAAACTGCAAAACCACAATCAGGCAATGATCACCCTCTTGGCCCATCGATCCTCAACCTTCTTCGCGTCTTTCTCCAACTGGGCAAGCCGCTGTTGACGCATCTTCTTGAGCTCTTCTGTCGTCTTCTCGTACGGGCTGTGGTCCACAATGGTCGTCCATTTCATCTCGCTGTCGAATATGAGTACTAACAAACCTAAACTAACTCTAAAGAAACTAAATCTAAAGACTAACTAAAACAAAGTTTTCACTAAGGTCAATTCATCTACACATGATTTTTTCACACAGCTTTTTTTTCTTTAATATTGACAAATTACATAGATGACATAGGTGAGAAAGTGTTTTGGGCCATAGGGTATTTAAGCTTTTGCCTTATTTTCAGGTTGAATAGGGTGTGTTTCTTTTTTGCTGTGTTGTGTGTTTTGAGGTGTACCTGTGACCTTTAGAAATTAAAATTTTTCCTGGATTTGAAAGCTCTTCAAACCTCCAAGTGCTGGGGTGACTACGAAACGCAGAAGCTTTTTGAACATGGGGCACGTGAGCTGAAAGCTTTGGGTTTTTTGTTAGCTGTATGGTGTTTACAGGTGTGACCTGATCGACGTTTTAAAGCTTAAAGCTCTTCCTGCGTGTTGAAATCTTGTCATACGTCCAAGTTCTGCGATGTCCACCAATCACTGAAGCTCTTCCGCGTGAAGGCAGGTTGTTTTAGGCACATCACGACCTATGACTGTTCAAAAAACTATAAAGCGCCAAAAACTTTGCCTGCCAAAAGGAAACTTGTGGGAGTGAAAATTCAAATTTCCCGCGTTGGTTTTGTCTTGCCGACGGGGGAAGAACCAGCTGTGTCTTGTGTTCATGCGTTCAGAAGGTTACCAGTAATATTTAAAAAATAAATAAAAAATTTCTGTCCAAAATTGTTTTTTCTGTTTTGTGGATGCTGGAAGCGGATCCACGAAGAGCATCGACGAACCTGAAGAAGGCGGTACTCCTGGACTGTCTTTTTGTTAAAAAGTATGTGTTTTTTATATATTATATATCTGACGTTTGTATAGTTTTCTTATTTTTAGCTTTACCTTGCGTGTGGTGTTTTTATGCCTGTACCGCCCAGTGGTGCTAGTCGAGGTGTGCATGGTCAAACGTTGAGTAGGTAGTTTCTGGGTTTTGTTGCATGTTCAATACTTTGTTGTTGCTTATGTGTGTGTGTGTATTGTGCTTTTTATTGTGTTGTTTGAACGTTAAGTAGTATGGATGTTGGTGTAGTAAGGTCAGTAGTTGTTGGTTCATGGCTTAACTCTATTAAAGGACAAAGGCAGTGTCTTTCTCTCTTAAAAAAAGTCTTTAATTGACGTTCACAAATTTTTTCTGCGAGTTGGTCGTTCCGATTTTACCGATCCCGACAGTTTGCTGTCTTTGAGCCGGTCCGAATTGTCGGAAGCGCATAGGCGGGTTAGCGACCGGGTCCTTCTTCTTCGGCGTCGCCTTCACTCTCGTCGCCATGCCGCTATTTTGCCTTGACAAGGATTTAATAAGAGTCGATTGTTGAAACGTAAAAAGATTCGACTTACGATTTGACAGGCTGCGGCTTGTTCTGTAGCCGTAGTATCTCCTTCTTAGCGTCGTTCAGTTCCATCTCTTTCACCTTGAGCTCCCTTGTCCTGAAGTCGAGCTCGTTCGCCTTCCACGAGTTGAGGTTCCTAAGGTTCTGTATTTCCTGGTTCAGCTTGAGTATCTTATTCCTGTTAGCCCTCTCCCTCTCCCATATCCTCGTGCACGCCTCCTCCCTCTTTTGCAGTGCGCCTTTGAGCTCCATCATGTCCTCGTCGATCCTGTGTATTTCTTCCCTTGAAGAAAGTCAGGAGTTATTATAAAGAATTGGATCGTTTTAGCCAAAGTCCTTACCCAGAGATGATGATGCTCTCTGAATTCTTGACTTCGCAGATGATCTCTTTCTTGGAGCCGCACTTGGAGCAGAAGTCGTCGGTAGATATGAGATCCGTGGAGGACGTGGAGGCGTTGAGGGTCTCGCATCTCATGACCTTCTTGACGCCTTCTTTCCCCTCGTTCATGAACATCTTGAGCGCCTCTTCGAGTTTTTTGACCTGAAGGCTCATATCGTATGTCTCCTTTTCTGCCAAGATCCTCCTGCCTTCTAGATCCAAGAGCCTTAACGCAACAAAAAGAACCACAATAAAAAAAATAATAATAATTTAAAAAAACACATTTACTTGTCCTGAAGGAATTGGTTGTCGTCGAAGAGGATGGAGTTGCGTCGGGTCATCACCTTCCTCGAGTCCTCGGCTATCTTGTACTTCATAGTCAAGGTCGCGAGTATGTTCTTGAGCTGTAGTATCTCAGCCTTCAGCGACTTCTCGCCGTCCTCGCCTGGCTCAGGGTCTGCGGGAGAAAAGACATACGTATTTCGTCTCCTAAGCATGCCGTGGTTCGGGGACTTACGCTTCACCGCGAAGTCCTGACCGTCGGCCATGTGGCTCTGAACTGTCAACCCGCCCCCCTCCATTGAATATCGGTAAAGATATTCCACTATGAATTTGGCCAATTTTTTTGTGACTTACTTGTTTTTTTTACAATTTGGAGCCAGAAATTGATTTTGTACCATGTGATCTCGAGGGATTTTTTTAAAATTTTTTTATTAATTTCATCTGTTCGCCTATTACGAATTTTGGAACCGTCTCACATTCAATTTAAATCATATTTAAATAGACCTCTAGACAATATCCATAAGCATATTGCCATCCTTCTGCTTCTCTTCCTTGTCAACACCCTTCTACACCGTGACTCTTTACCAATTTACACACCATATTCTTCTCCCACCATACCAACTTGGCATACTCATACCAACATACTTAGACGCATCGTACTATTCGCCATATTCCAACATCCATCACACAAACGTTACATCCCCCCATGGTTGTTCATCAAAATTTACTCTATATCCCCCACCGAGTCACATCATCATGTGTCATGCTGCATCCAACATAATCTGGCCTTGAGAATATGACAATCAGCGCCATAATTGTTTATCAAATTTGCAAACCATATATTTCACATACCAGCAAAACCATTCCGCATACTCATACCAGCATACTTAGACTAATCAGGCCATATGCCATTCTCCACCATCCATAATACTTTAAGCTTGAGAAAGGTGACAGTCAGCCTATGAACTGTTCATGGAAATTGAAATCACATATTCTATACATACCAATAAACTCACCCTGCATATTCATACAAGAAACTAAGACACGTCATACCATATGATTCAACCTCCATCAAATCCTGACCTTTAAAAACGATACAGCCCGCCCCATGCGGTTAATTAAAATTTACATTACATATTCTCCACATACCGATAAAACCCAATCGGCATACTCATACCAGCATGCTAAAACACATCAGACCACATAATCTAACCTTTAAGAAACTTGCCTACCTATTAATCATGTTTACATTCCATATCTCTACAAACCAACAAAACCAATACAAACATAAGACCATCTTGACTGGCATGGCATCAGCCAACGTCAGGTTGTCTTATCTTTCCTGCTCAGCTTGTCAGGTTCAGAGTACTTTGGTTCAATCATACTTCGACACATTTGACTATATGCCAAAGGATTTACATCTCATCCAGCTTCCTCTTGTTCAACCGTACAAAGAAGGCCTTTATTCCAAGGGGCTTACATCTCATTCAACTTCCTCTGGTCCAAATATACCAGAACCCATATGACTTTATGCCAAGGCACTTACATCTCATCCAACCTCTTCTGGTCCAACTATACCAGGACCAATTTGAATTTATGTCAAGGCACAGTCATCTCGTCCTGCTTACTCAGGTTCAACCATATGCCGGTATATGCCAAGGCACTTTCGCCACATCAAGCATACTCTAGTTCAACTATGTCATATTCTCAATCTTCCAGATAGTCGTTCTCTTCACCCATACAATATTTTTTTAGGGATGTCGGACAGCTTGGAGCTTCTCAACAGGTTAAGCGTTTCAAACGTCTTGTTGGACAACAGGATGTACAACCTGAAGGCGAAAATCGCCGGGAAAAAAGACGAGGTAGGAAGGATAGAAGATGAGATTAGGAGGGAGCAGTCGGACCTTGCCAGGATAGAGGAGGACCTGTCCGACGGCAAATCTAAGGAAGGGAAACTACTTAAAACAGTCCAAGGGTATACTTTTCAAGTAGAAAAAAAGAACGACTTCGAGATTGATGTTTTTCTGCGCGTTGAAGGCTGCAGCAGACGAAATCGATGTTGGCCAACCTGAAATCAACTTTGGAACGTGGGATCAGGTCGGTTCAGGAAAATTTCAGCCGAGTCGTGTCAGAGAGAAACGGCATTCTGGACAGGTACAGGCGGACAATCGAGGCCCACCGGACCGGCTACGAGTCGCTGAAGGCATACAGATCCATCTCAGCCAAGAGGGCGGAACGCGCTTCTCTCAAGATCCTGATCAAAAAGTGCCGCTTCGATTTGCTAGAGTACAAGGCTAAAGTCGCCAAGTTGAGAAAGATCTCAGGTACTTTAATTTTTAAGCACGGCCTAACTTCGACTTAATCTTTTTCCTACTGAAGCGCTCAGGTTGAACAGTGCTGTAGTCGAGTTTGCCAAGCTTATGGTTACGATGAAGAACGCCAGTTTACTTCAAGTCCAGCCACAACCATACAGGTCCATTTTAAATGAACTTCAAACCACTGTTTCTTTTAATGGATAAACCTTTTACAGGCGGACGGATGACTTTTCTGAAGAAAAGGCGGCCCTGGCACGGTCGGGCGTGACACTGACAGTCAGGAAAGTCCCAATGAAGATGACGGTACTTCGTCCATTCGCCTATGCTTATTATTATTATTTATTTATTTATTTTTTTAATTGAACACCGATTTATTTTTATAGATTTTACAATCCGGCTTCACCTCGATAAAGGAACGCATTGGTGTTAAATCGGTAAGTCAGTTAGAAATAAAAATCTTCCTTCTTCTCCGTTCTTCTTTTTCTAGACTTTCACGTCTCCGTACGTCTGGGAAGAAGGAGGGCCGAAGAGCTTCCAAGAGGAGTTCACGCCGCAGGCTGCAAGCAGCCAAAACCCACTCGAGTACACCTTTCCGCCCGGGACTTCGATCTCGATCGTCTCGCCCACCGTCGAAGATCCGTCCATGTCGATGGACGACATTTCACAAAACATATCAGCTATCTTTCAGTTTTAACTTTTTTTAAAACTTTGTACATAATATTCAATAAAGCCATACGTGCTTTCAACGAGGTGTTACCTAAATAAATAAAATATCGACATATTTTGGATTGTCTTAATTCGAAGGTCGGTCAGTGCTGACAAATCTAAGTTGAATTTCACCTGAAATAACAACTTTTTATAATGATAGAGTACTACTATCAACTTTCCCAGCAGCTGTTGTGTAAATGAGTGAAAAACATACTTCTTTTGGTTTCTTCCCATACGGGGCTTAGTTTATGACAATTTCCGAAGAAAGATGTATAGCAATAACCTTAGAACAAAGCAACATTTTAATCTTAATCTTTAACTTTCAGGCCAGGAGCTGATATTTAAACGGGTCTTGGGATGATCAATTTCAACTTGTGCTTATTCACGACTTAGCTGATGACAGAATTATGGTTTATTTCGGAAGAAAGTTTAGTAGGAATAACTTAGACCAACACAATGCTTGCATCTAGTGAACTTTGCAGCCACGAGCTGTTATGTAAACGACTCTTGAGATGATTAATTTTGACTTGTGCTTATTCATGACTTAGTTGATGATAAAATTCTGCTTAATTTCAGAAGAAAGCATAACAGAAATACCCTCATACCAACGCAACGCTTTAATATGACGAACTTTCCAGCGAGGAGCTGTTTTGTAAACGCCCCTTGAGATGATTAATTTTAACTTGTGCTTACGCATGACTTAGTTTATGACAGAATTATGCTTAATTTCAGAAGAAAGCATAATAGAAATAACCTTAGACTAACACAAAGCTTTAATCTAGTGAACATTCAGGCCAGGAGCTGTTTCGTAAACGACTCTTGAGATGATTAATTTTGACTTGTGTTTGATGGTAGATTTATGCTGAATATCATCCGAATATTTAGCAGTAATAGCCTAATCCAAACTTTTCACTTAGAAACTGAAATGAAAACGAATCATGTTAGGATTATTAATGATTTGTTCTCATTTATGGCATATTGGAGGAATTGTTTTAAGTACTGTATTGTAGGCTGATTTTTTTACATCAACTTTTTTGTTATAGGGATGTCCATATGTTTTATTAATTTTATGCAACAAATTTTTCGGTTTTTTGTGTCTGGCTTAGGTTTTGATAGAAGAAAACTAGAGAAGAATGTGAAATCACGATATATTTTGTTGGCTGAGATGTCTGTCACTTCTGCGCGTCCAACATACGAAGGTGCAAGTCCACAGGGACGTCTTGGATCGAAGCCCGTCAGTTTTCGACGGGCACGTGTTCACTGAGGGTGCTTCCTTCTCAACACTGGCTGCCGTTCCCTCGCCTTTTCGACGTACTTGCCGTTCTCGTACGCCGGTATCAAGTGGTACATGAGTGCGAGGGAGGAGTCCGGCTCCGGAACCCCGGCGAACGGAGCGTAGTCCTCGTACGCCATCTCATAGCCGATCCTTCCGCCCAGTTTGAAGGACATGTTCTGGGATATGAACGACGGGTAGATGCCGGCGGCCACCTCGATCCTGTAGCCACGGCACATGCAGAACAGACACTTCAGAAGGGCCTTGCCAATCCCTAAAGAAAAACCGAAGAAAAGTAGAAGAAAAAGACAAAATCTAAAGAAAGATTCCTTTCCCACCTTTTCTCCTGTAGTCTCTGTGAACGACCACCATGTATATTTTGTAGTACTTGTTCTTGGACAACGACTTGAAGATGTCAAACTTCTTCGAAATAAAGTGCTTCGTCGTCTGCACCGTCCTCAGAGGTTCTGTCTTATACATCTACCACAAAAACAAATAAATATTTTGTGAAAAGAATATTTTTTAAAGAAATCATTTCTATGGAATTATGGACTATCAAATTGGTCTTTCAATTAGCTAAATCATTATTTATTATCATGGCGATGTTTTCTTCGAGTTCTTCATTTTCTTCCTTGTTTAATATTTTTTAAGTTGTCTACAATAAGCCTGTTAGTGGTTTTTAAGGTATTGGACATGCAGAGGTCAAAGGGTAAATCAGTTCTGTCATCCTCTATGACATTTTGGTTGTTTTTATTTGTGAATTTTTTAATAATGAGAAACCAAATGATTTTTAGACTTAGAAGACCCCCAAGACCATACCGTACCATATCTTCGTCGTAAAAGACAGTCACAGGGGCCCATTTTTTCTTCGGCATGGGTATCATATCGTGGGGCCGTTCGAACCTGTTCACCCTCCTGACCGGAGGGTCGAAGGGCATGGAATTGTCCCTGCTGTTGGAACCTTTCTTCTTCTTACCGCCGGTTTTAACGCGAGGCCCGTTGACGCCGGAAGTCTGCCTCCTCTTTGTCTTCTTCGACGACGATCGCTTCTTGTGGACTGGCGATTTGGACATCCTTCCCTTTTTCAGCACGATGCTCGACACGTGGTAGGTCTCGGTCGGGGGCGCGTACACCAGCTCTTCCTAAGGTTTTTTTTTCAAAGATTAGTATGACTGCACGTTGTAATAAATCATAAGCCTTACTTCAATGAGAGAGTACTCGAAGTTCATATCTTTCAAGACGCATACCCTGCCTATGAGAGCGCCGACGGCTTTCTTCTCGCCTTCTTCGACTGCTACCAGACTGCAAGTGTCACGTATCCACACGTTGCAGAGTGAGAGAAACTCGTCCATAGACGCCTGGTCCTGGGACATCTTGACGGACCTGAAGGTCGGCTCGTCCGGGATGTAGTGCCGCTGGAAACTCCCCCGGTTAGCATCAACACAATACCTGTTTTAAACCAAGGCACCTTGACCAAGTCGACCACTTCCTCGTAGTATGACGTTTCCAACTCCTCGATCCTGACCCCGAATGGTAGACGGCACCAGACGACCGGCTTCTTCATCCGCGCCATGAAAGCCACTGTCTCCGTGTCCATGATCGCCTTCTCAAGGCCCTCGTCCTGCTCGTCCATGGCTTCAAATTTATTGTAATCGAGTTTTTCACTTAGCTATTTATAACGGATCGGAACGGCAAACTCGGCAAACTAAAACAACAAAAACATGTGACCTTTTTCGACCAAATGTGAAAATTGATAGCATACCATGAACCTCGACGGGAGGGGGGGGGGCAAATTGCTTTAAACGGATATATTTAAAAGGAAATCATAAAACATGTTGACATATTCTTGTTTGAATTGTATTTAATAAAAGAACACCATGACCTTTATATCTGATTCAATTCAAACACCTTATTCGCGACAGTTACTTTATACTTGTCCAATCTGTATAAATTTGCATGCTCACCTGCGATCCAAAATTAAGCACACACGTATCAGCAGCAGTCCCACTGAAGTACAAAAATCCTATTAAGACTTTTACATAACAGCTTGTATGTGGAAAGTTCATCAGATCAAAACCATGACTAAGATTAAGGACATTTCTTTTAAATTTTCTTCTTAAATTCAGAATAATTCTGTCAGCAACTAAGCCGCGGATAAGAAGAAAACAAAATAAATACATTTTGCACTCGATTACCCAACAGCTCATGGATGAAAGAGAAGTCAAGCCGTACATCGGCTTAGTCCAAGCCCATATTATTAAAATTTCTGCCGAAATTCAGTGTATATTCATGATCAATAGTGACTTTGAATAACAACAAACTAAAATAAACTCATTCTTATCCATTTAAACAACAGCTTGTGGCTGACATCCAATGGCTGAACTGTCAGCATTTGAACTATTTTTCATCTATGAAACCAAAACGTTTTTTTATGAAACTGTGCCTTAATGTTCATACCTTACAAACTACAAATAAACTTTTCGTTGGAACTATCATATGTTTTATTGTATTATTCTAGTCCACAATAGTAGTTTGTAGTAGGCAAATTTCAAAATCTCTTTTTTCGATCTTAATTTTTTTTATTTTTTGTTGTGTGTTTTTGTTGTTTTCTTTGATCATGATCCAGCAGGAACAGAACGACGTCGGCATGGAGGACGCCCTAATGGACAGCCAGGCGAACGCGTTCATGGAAAAGGCGAAGAAGCCGATCGTCTGGTGCCGTCTCCCTTTCGGCGTCCGTATCGAGGACCTCCACCAGTCCTACTACGAGGAAGTGATCGACCTGGTCAAGGTGGCTTGGTTTAAAACGGGTGTTGTGTTGATGTTAACCGTGGGCGTTTCCAGCGGCACTACGTCCCGGACGAGCCAACCTTCACGTCTGTCAAGATGTCCCAGGACGAGGCGTCCATGGACGAGTTCCTCTCACTCTGCAACGTCTGGATACGCGACACTTGCAGCATGGTAGCAGTTGAAGAGGGCGAGAAGAAAGCCGTCGGAGCTCTCATCGGCAGGGTCTACATCAAGAAAGAGATGAACCGGGAGTTCGCACGTGTGTCGGTAAGGCATTAACAAAACAACCCACACAATACAAATTTGTCAGTTAATTCTTGTTTCGTTTATAAAAAATTAGCCCGAATTCGAATACATGTCGCCGCCTCCTACTGAAAAGCGCATGTCGACCGCTAAAGCCGCTGACCGTCCAGGATCGAAAAAGTCCATTAGGAGGCCGTCGTCTAAAAAATCAATCAGGCGACAATCTTCCAAGAAATCCATCAGACGCCAGTCCTCGAAGAAATCAATCAGGCGTCAATCTGCAAAGAAATCCATCAGGCGCCAATCTACGAAAGGGAAACACGGCCCGAAAGCCGGTAAAAAGAAACATTCGTCACGGAAAGACAATGCGTCCATCACGTCGGACACGAACAAAGTCAAGAGAGTGTACACTTTCCAAAGGCCTCACGATTTGATACCGAAGCCGAAAAAGAAGTGGAGCCCGGTGACCGTATTTTACGACGAAGACCTGGTACGTCAAAAGCAAGAAACCACCAAAAAGCTTCAAACTAAACCGTGACAAAAACAACTTGGAAAACTTGAAAAAAGACCAAAAAGTTCCATATGGAATGACCGTAATGACTAAAACATATGTCCTGCTTAGGTCTTCCTAAATTAAAACTAGCATTGTTTTATTTCCGCACCGCTTGTAAAACTTAGAACACCATCAGGAAATCGAGGAGAATCTGAAGAAACCGGACATCAACCTTTTTAACTATGACACCCTAGAATATTAAATTGTTGTTATACTAAAAACATTTCCTAACACCGAAATGTTCACTTTTTGTTGGGTAAACTATGTTTTCTTTTTGTGTGTTAGATATACAAGACAGAACCTCTGAGGAAGGTGCAGACGCTGAAGCACTTTATTTCGAAGAAGTTTGACGTCTTTCAGTCGTTGTGCAAGAAGAAGTACTACAAAATATACATGGTGGTCGTCCACAGAGACTACAGGAGGAGAGGTAAGATGACATTTGTTTTTTATGTTTTTTATTTCTTTCGTTTTTACGGTTTTCCCAAGGGATTGGCAAGTCTCTCATGAGGTGCGTCTTCGGCATGTGCCGCGGCTTCAGGATCGAGGTGGCCGCGGGCGTCTTCCCATCGTTCATATCCCAGAACATGTTTTTCAAACTGGGCGGCAAGGTCGGTTACGAGATGGCGTACGAGGACTACGTTGTCGACGGGAGCGTTGTCTTCAGCAGCACGGGCGACCTCAACTACTCTCTAGCGTTGATGTACCTCATCATACCACCGAAGGACGAGGGCGTATACGCCGAGAAGGTGGAAGACAGGCCGCCTGTACCGAGGAGGAAAGACCTGCAGTTCGTTTCCGAGTCGAAGACAGCCAAATCATGACCTATGGGATGCCAATGCTGTGAACTCCGACTTAGTCAGGGTCAAAGACGTACACGTCCCAGCCAGCAAAATATATCATTTCAAACCTTCTTACCTTTTCTCCGTTCTATTTAAAAGAAAGTTTCTGTTTTATGGTGCGCGTGATATGGGAGAAATGCGGGCATACATGTATGCGCAGGTTATATGAGCTCGGTGCGGAGGTTTAGTTAGTACAAGTTATGAGATCTCAGATTACGTGGCGCAAGTGAAGTGAGTGCAAGTTAAGTGCGATCAGATTATGGGAAAGAAAATCAAGATATATGAGCAGGGTATAGAAGCAAAGGATATGCTAGTGAAAATTATGTGCAGGTTATCTAACATTAAGAAGTGCGGGTTTTGGAAAAGTACGTTACATTAGTGCAGGCTACGTGTCATCGAAAAGTTGAGATTCGAAACTTATGAAAGCGCAGAGCTTAAATTATGAAGTTATGTGAGTGCAGGTTATACGAGGCCAGATTATGTTAATACGTTATAGAAGCAAATTTTATATTAGCAGAGATTAAATGAGTGCAGGCCCTGTGAACTTAGATTATGAAGCGAAGGTTATATGGGTGAAGATTATGTGAGCTCAGGTTAAAAGAGTTCAGGCTGTCAGCTTAAATTATGAGGTGAGGGGAAAAGATGGTTATGTGAGTGTAGATTACACATGTCCAGATGTGAGTAGGCTTTGAAAGCATAGGTTATATGAATGTAGGTTGTTAGTTCAGGCTGTCAGCTTAAATTACGAGCCATGTGAGGAAAAGCTGAGATTTGACTATGGGCCTAACGTTATGTGACTGCAAGTTAAGTAAGTGCAGGCCATGCGAGTTTAAATAACGGAGGGAAGGTTATGGTGAGTGCAGGTTACACATGTCCAGATGTGAGTAGGCTTTAAAAGCATAGGTTATATGAGTGTAGGTTGTTAGTTCAGGCCATGTCATCTTTAATTACGAGTAATGTAAAGAAAAGCTGAGATTGGTTTATACCTAAGGTTAGATGCGCGCAAGTTAAGTGCAGGCTATGCGAGTTTAAATAATGGTGCGAAGGTTATGTGAGTGTAGCATAGGTTATGTGAGTTCAGGCTTTGTACCCACCGTCGCCCCTGATCCTTGTTTTCAAACAACCCTTCAATCCAAAAAATAAAAATAAAAGTTCGGATATATTCACGTTCGCTGGCTAATATGCAGCATATTATGCTTTAGCAGATGCTCTTCATGATTATTCAGGAATGATTGAACCTATGATTAGATATTAGTGAATGAACTTAAAGAAAAAAAAACTGCCAACGTACAAAAAGCATCTCAGTTTATTTGTTGACGTCCGTCTTATCGAGCCCGTCTTCTGAAGACTGTAGCGTCGGGGCACAGTCCTTGTTGTCGGGCTTCCGGCTCGTCTTCAGCTTAGCCATCACCGTCCCGTACTTGGCCTTGTCCTCGTGGTTCTTCTTTACCTGTTCCTCTATCATCTCCTCGATCCTCTTCAGCTTCATCTCGATCCTGAGGCGGTTCTTCTCGTAATAGGCCGCCTCCTCCTCGATGCTGGCGAACTTGGCCTCTTCCATGACGCAAAATTTGATCGGTGGTGTGAGAAAGGAAACAGGCCTAAGTCTTTATTTGGTTTTTTTGAACTTTTTGCTTTTTTACAAAGAAAAAATTAACAGAGGCCCACTGGGAAATTTAACAGTTTTTTTTCTAAAAGCCGAAATGCATTTTATGCCAATTTGATGCTATCCGGGAAATAACATGTGGTAAAAATTTAAAAAACAAAACAATAAACCGACAAAATCAAAAATTTTTATTATAAAAAAAACATCACTTGTCCTCCTCATCGGTTTCAGAAAGTACTTCAATCCTATTCTAAAAAGACAATAACAATTAAATTAAAAAAATAATAAAAATAAGCCCTCTGACGCTAAAAATGTAATCAAAAACATGATTAAAAGAAAACGGCAGTGTCCCCATTGGGGCCAGTTCGCCAAAGAAGCCCTCGTGTATCAAGAGTACCGTCGATGGGTACAGTATTGATTACGGATGATCTGAATGTATTTATTAGCGTGAACGTGTGACGTGAGAGGGTCGATGGCGGAATATACAGACCCAATCGACCCTCAATAAGGTCAGTTGTATAGTATGTGTAAAGGTTGTGTCGAGAGTGAATATATTTATTAGCATGAATGTGTGACGTGAGAGGGTCGATGGCGGAATATCGAGTACTCCATCTCAATTAGGTCAGTTATATGATCGTGTAAAGGTTGTGTCGAGAGTGAATGTTTATTAGCGTGGATGTGTGATGTGAGAGATTCGATGGCGGAATATAGAGACACCATCGACCCTCAATTAGTTCAGTTAAGGTTATGTAGTGAGTGAATGTATTTATTAGCGAGAATGCGTGATGTGAGATTGTCGATGGCGGAATATGGAGTACCCCATCGATATTAGGTCAGTGTATAATATGTGTAAAGGTTGTGTAGAGAGTGAATGTATTTATTAGTGTGAATGGTTAGAGAGCCTCGGTTGCTGAATGGATAAAACTGCCAACACCACGGGTGGGTGATCTTGAGTCTGCCGGCAATTTACTGTAAATAGCTGGAATTGCCGGTGGACTACGAGTAGTAGGTTCAACTCGGCACATGTTTTTATGTATGTTCGTACATATATATGAGCCTATACAAATACAAATCATAAAAATAAAACATGATGTATACTTGAATCTCCTTGGCGGCGGACGTCCCCTTGTTGACTATCGTCTTGACGATGACGTTGATCTCGTCCTTCTCCCTCTTGCAGACGCCGTCTTTGTCCTCGAGCTCCGTGCATCGCTTGCTCATCTCGTTGCAGACGTCGTCCCAGGTCCGCTTCATCGCCTCGCCCTTCGTCATGAACGGCTCGGTGCGTATCGTCTCTCCGGAGGTGGCCAGCTTGTCAGCCACGTTCACTAGCATTTTGGCAACGACCTCGTTCCTTTTCAGCTGCAAGGAGACGTCTACCAGTCAAAAAATGGAAATTTCATAATTGGAAGGGTAAACTTGGCAGTCACAATATGAGCAGTTTCATACTTAGGAACACAACCAACTTAGGAGAAGGGTCCCATGCTGGATATTTTGTACTTGGGAGACAAACATGATAGCGACAAAATGTAAATATATTTGATAGTAAAAACTTGTCACAAAATGGAAATTTTATGCTTGAGAAAACAACTTGATGGTAACAAAATGCAACATTCCAACTTGATAGTTGTCCTCCCAAGGCCAAAGTATAAAATGATTTTTTTATTAGTGCGTTTTAGTTATTTTACTTATACGTATAAAATTCTCATTTTGAGACTGTAGTAAATTTTACTTCCAAGTATAAAATTCACATTTTGTGACTAGTAAATTTTACTTCCAAGTATAAAATTCACATTTTGCCACTGTAGAAAATTTTATTTTCATGTATAAAATTCACATTTTGTGACTAGTAAATTTTACTTCCAATTATATACATCTCACATGTGACTAGTAAATTGAATTTGTGAATAAAATTCACATTTTCTGACTAGTAAATTTTTATTGGAGTTGGTGACGTACACCAGCTGATACAATTCGCTCTCCATTGTTCGGAATGTTTACTAGTGAATTAGTGTGTGTACCGTTTTTAAGTGTATGTAACTTGTAATATTGATGTATATACAACGATTGTAAGCGATAGATGAAGATAAAAACATTAAAGATGGGAAGATAAGGATTGACTACCTGCCCACCGAGAGTATGCCAGCAGATATAATGACCAAAGGACTTCCAAAGAAGAAACACGATTATTGTTGCGAAGAATTGGGAATTAAAAGGATAATTAGTTAAATAATGGAGATTCGATTGAGAGGGGGTGTTGAAGTTGGTGACGATATAATTCGTTCTCCATTGTTCGGAATGGTTGTGACTATTGAATTAGTGTGTGTTCGGTCTTTTAAGTGTATTAACTTGTAATATTGATGTATAATTAAAGTTAATAATAAATCTTGCTTCTGCTTTTCACTTTTGCCCCTTAACAAATTTTACTTCCAAGTATGAAATTTACATTTTGCGACTGTAGTGAATTGTATTTCCAAGTATAAAATTACCAATCTGCCATAACCATCCAAGTATAAAATTCAAATTTTGTGCCTATGTAGTAAATTTTACTTCCCAGTATAAAATCCATATTTTGTGACGTAAATTTTACTTCTAGGTGTAAAATTCCCATTCTACCGTAATCATCCATTTATAAAATTCAGATTTTGTGGCTATGTAATAAATTTTACTTCCAAGTATAAAATTCCCATTCTACCAAAACCATCCAAGTAAGATTTACCCTTTTTGACTACTATATTATCTTACCAGGCAGAAAATTCTCATTTTGTGACTACGTACCAAATTTTACTAAAAAGTATAGAATTTCCATTTTGTGACTAGTACGTTTTACCACCAAGAAAACTAAGAAATGAAATGTTATACTTGGTAGTAAAAACTTCGTAGTGACGACAAGAGAATTTTATATAAAGTAGTACAACTTAGAGAATGTAAATGTTATTCTTCTAAGTAGAACTCGGTAGTCGCAAAATAAAAATACGAACTTTAAATTACCAAACATAATGATCAGAAATTGACACTTTTACATAGAGAACCAGTTATTCTTATATATCACAAAAGGGCACTTTTTACTGAGAACTACGTAACAGTCATCATTTATCACCAATGGATACTTTTGATCAGGAAACGTTTCAGACAAACCACAAACGTCTCTTTGTAACTGCTAGGGTATAAGTTAATCTACAGGTCGTCCCGAAAAACTAGTCATACCTGACCGCTGATCTGCCTATTGAGCATAGTTATGCCAGAGTTGAGCTTTGCGTACGAGTCCGTGTAGACGGTGGCGTGTCCCTCCTCGCTCGGTTGGGCCGAGTCGATGGCGTTCCTGAAAGTGGTCTTGCTCGCCCTGATGAACGACCTGAGGTCGTCGAAGCCATTGGGCGGTGCCCTCGGGTCAGACTCGGTGAGTGCGGTCGTCTTCGACTCCCTGCAGAAGGTGCGACCTCCTGCCGACAACAGCTTCGACGCAGACCTCATATCCGATATGTTGTTTGGCGGTGGGAGGGGGACTTGATTTTTTTTTAGGACTTGATATTGACTTGATTTTTAGGTTTTTTTCGGAAAGTTTCTAATTCATGGCTTGGCGTTTCAAAACAGCTGTCAATTTTCGGCTGATGACACCTGGAGCAGCAATGGGACTGAAAGTGTTCGGGCAGCAGGCTTAGACGCCTCCTTGCACAATTCGGTCAATTTTGAGGACAAGACAAAATCTGAAAAATTGTAGACACGACTTTATTTATTATTTTACATAATGACCCACCCTTGTATATAAAAAATGGTACAAAAATAAACTGATTTTTTAGTGTTTTATATCCGCGTTGTCTTTGTGAAGCTTCCACGTGAAGTAGGTGTTCCAGCCGAGCGCGACTACCTGGACGAAAAGCGTCCGGTACTGGAGCGGGACCAGGGAGAAGTTCAAGACCTGGACGAAAGGCCAGATCTTGTAGCTGGCGAGGAGGACGTCTTTGAAGTTGGTACGGACTTCTTCGACGACCCTCTTACCCTCGAGGAGGGCGACGAAGGAGATCGAGAGGGACTGGCAGGCGGGTGCGAAGAGGATTTGGTCCGTGGCTAGCTTGACTGCGAGACGCTTGGCCGTCAACTCATGGCCGACGACGCTATCCAGATACCTGTACCACTTCGTCACAACCGGGCCTATCATCGCTCCGAAAATAAACATTCTGAAAAGAAAATAATTTAAATAATACAGGCTGAAAACCAGATTTAAAGATTGAGAAACGTCAGGGAGGTCTGGGGATCAAATTTCATTAGGATACCGCATTATGGAGGTAGAAAGTCATGCTTTTTTTATCATTTTTGGTATATCTTTGCTTACAAGGGGTTTAGCAAACGAATAAAAAGATCCTACTGGTTAAAACAAGCTGAAAATTAGACTTAAAACATGGAGAATAACGGGGTGTTTTTTTTTAATTTGACCGGGATTTTTTTCTATTTTGACACTGGAAATAGCTAAATGTCACAGGCTGAAAATTAGGTTTAAAACAAGGAGATTATCAAAGCCTATTTTTTTATATTTGACAAGAATTTTTTTTCGATTTGAAGCTAGAAATTCCAGTTTTTCTAGTCTTTGTGGGCCTTCCATTGATCAGAAAACGTAAAAAAAATTTCTTTTTACTGGATAAAAAGGGATAAATTAGATTTAGAACTAGGAGAATATCAGGGAGGTCGGTTTTTCTGTATTTGACCAGAATTATTTCTATTTGCTGCTAGTTTTTCCGGACTTTATGGGTTTCTATGATCAGAAGAGTTTAAACCAAGAAAAATATTTTTGGCTAAATGTCACAGGCTGAGAATTAGGTTTAAAACAAGGAAAATATCAAGGCCAATCTTTTTTATGTTTGACAAGAATTTTTTTCAACGTGAAGCTGGAAATTCCAGTTTTTCTAGTCTTTGTGGGTCTTCCATTGATCAGAATACGTAAAAATATTAGATCGGGATATTTTTTATTCTGAAGATGGAAAATTTTTTCTTTGTCTAGTCTTTGTAGGTCTTCCTTTGATCAGGAGTCGTAAAAAAATAGGAATATTCTTTTTAAAGGATAAAAAGAGAAATACAGTAGATTTGGACGTAGGAGAATATAAGGGAGGTCAGTTTTTCTGTATTTGACCAGGATTTTTATTATTTCCATCTTTGAAATACTAGTTTTTTCTAAACTTTATGGGCTTTAAAAAGGAGAATATCTAGGCCTATTTTTTATATTTCATTTTCTTTTCGATCTGAAGATACAAAGTCCAGTTTTTTCTGGTCTTTGTGGGTCTTGTCTTCCTTTCATTACAAGTCGTCAAAAATAGAAAAATTCTTTTTACCGGATAAAAGCGGAATAAATTAGATTTACAACTAGGAGAATATCAGGGAGGACTTTTTTTCTGTATTTAATCAGAATTTTTTTTATCTTGATGCTGGAAATACTAGTAATTTCTCAACTTTATGAGTTTCTACGGTTAGAACAGTTTCAACAACGAAAATTTTTCTGAATGACACAGGATGAAAAGTGCGTTTAAAACATGAAGAATATCAAGGCCTATGTTTTTATATTAAACCAGTATTTTTTGTCTTCAAATTTGAACCTAGAAAATCCAGTTTTTCTAGTCTTTGTGGGTCTTCCTTTAATTTGAAGACGTAAAAAAAAATAGAAAAAAATATTTTTATCAGATAAAAAGAGAAATACAGCCGATTTAGAGTTACAGTAGTGTAGTAGATTTTTTTTTAAATTAAAATGTGCGGAAGTCTATTTTATATAGAAATATGTGTGGTGTTTAGTGATAAATATATATTTGGCAAGGATTTTTTAAATTTGAAGCTAGAAATTAGAGTTTTTCTAGTCTTTCTGAATATTCCGTTGGTAAGAGGACTTGAAAAAAAAATACCGGATAAAAAGTCTTTATCTGATCAGAAGAGTTTTTAAAATGAGAAAAAATCTTTTTACCAGATAAAAAGACAAATACAGTAGATTTAGAGCTAGGAGGATATAAGGGAGGTCAGGTTTTCTGAATTTGACCGGGATTTTTATTATTTATGTCAGTAATAATATTTTTTTCTAGACTTTGTGGGTTGTAAACAAAGAGAATATTCAGGGCTATTTTTTATGTTCGGCAAGAAATTTTTTTTTCGATTTGAAGCTAGAAAGTCCAGTTTTTTAGTCTTTGAGGGTCTTCCTTTAATTTGAAGACGTAAAAAATAGAAAAAATTCTTTTTACCAGATAAAAAGAGAAATACAGTAGGTTTAGAGCTAGGAGAATATCAGGGAGGTCCTTGTTTTATATTAGATCGGGATATTTTTTATTCTGAAGATGGAAAGTGGAATTTTTTCTTTGTCTAGTCTTTGTAGGTCTTTGAAATACTAGTTTTTTCTAGACTTTATGGGTTTTAAAAAGGAGAATATCTAGGCCTATTTTTTATATTTCATTTTCTTTTCGATTTGAAGCTAGAAAGTCCAGTTTTTTCTAGTCTTTATGGGTCTTCCTTCGATCAGAAGACTTAAAAAATAGGAAAAATATTTTTACCAGATAAAAAGAGAAATACAGTAGGTTTAGAGCAAGGAGAATATCATGGAGGTCCTTGATATACATTAGACCGGGACATTTTTTAATTTGAAGTTGCAAAGTGAAATTTTTTCTATCCTTTATAGGTCCTCCTTCGATCAGAAGACTTAAAAAAATAGAAAAAATATGTTTACCAGATAAAAATTGTAATGCAGTAGGTTTAGAGCTAGGAGAATATCATGGAGGTCCTTGATTTATATTAGAACGGAACACTTTTTATTTTGAAGCTGGAAAGTGAAATTTTTTTGGCCTTAGTAGGTTTTTATTTGATCAGAAGACTTTAAAAAAAAAAAAAAAAAAAAAAATAGGAAAAATATTTTTACCAGATAAAAGAGAAATACAGTAGGTTTAAGGTTAGGAGAATATATAGTATTTTTTCTAGACTTTATGGGTTTTAAACAAAGAGAATATTCAGGGCTATTTTTTATTTTCGGCAAGAAATTTTTTTTTTCGATTTGAAGCTAGAAAGTCCAGTTTTCTTACTCTTTGAGGGTCTTCCTTTAATTTGAAGACGTAAAAAAATAGATTTTTTTTTTTATCAGATAAAAAGAGAAATAAAGTAGTTTTAGAACTAGGAGAATATCATGGAGGTCCATGATTTACATTAGACCGGGACATTTTTTATTTTGAAGCTGTAAAGTGAATTTTTTTTGGCCTTTGTAGGTTTTTACTTGATCAGAAGAGTTTTTAAAATGAGAAAAAATTTTTTGTGAAATAAAAAGGGGTTTAAATCAGGTTTAAAGCTTGGAGAATGTCAAGGACCTGTTTTTTTCTAGTTTTTTTCTTTTTAGTTCGATGTTGGAAATTCTACTTTTTTCCTGAAATTGTGGGTTTTTATTCCTTGATCAGTTTTACCAAGAAGAAAAGAAAAAGTTTTATGTATCAAAAAAGACAAAGAAAATGAGGTTTAACCCTTTAGGCTTACCATCCGTTTCAGCCTGGAGAGGAAAATCCTCAATGTTTCTTGGAAAATGAATTTTCTCCTTGATTTATTGTCTATTAAATTTGATAATTAATAGATAAATAATACCTCATCGTCCTGGCGCCATCGTATTTCTTCCGTTCGAACACGACCTGAGCGATCCCGTCCCCGGCCGCGGCGAGTACTGCCGTTGTCGCAGAGTTGGTGATGTACGGCCTTTTGTAAAGCAGGGCTTGGTACGCCGCCAACACCCTGGCAGGCCTCATTCTTCTGGGTTCAACTCATGAAGGACCCATTTTCTTCGTACGTAAACGAAAAAAAAACAGAAAAAAACTCCCCTCCTATTCTCATTAACAGGCTGGAGGTTCACGAACACGCCTGCCAGGGTGGGGAAAGATTAGATAGCAAAAATCCCTGGGATAAGAAAAACATAAAATACAAAATAAAAATACTTTAATTTTTTTTTAAAATCTATATACAAAATAATTTTTTTGAGATCAGACGCGTAGTCCGAGCTTCTTTGCGTCGGCTTGGTACTTCTTTTTATAAGTGCCGGATGGGTCGTAGATCCTCTCGAGGACGGCGTAATCCCGGGGCTTGTTGTTGATGAGGTATCGGATCACCTTCTCGGAACCGGATCTCTGCTTTGGCGTGCACTTGTTGCACCCGGTGGCGAGGGCTTCGGGGAGGGCATCTGCCAAGAGAAAAAAAATCATCGATAAGAATGCTTTTTCTGTACCTGAGTCTATTTAATCTGACAAAAACGGAATTTTCCCATAATTAAACTCTTCTAATCATCAAAAGACCCGCAAATACCAGAAAAAACTGTACTTCCATCTCACAGATTAAAAACATTCCGGTCAAATAAAAAAAACGACCTAGATATTTTTTTGCTTTAAACCTAATTTATACCCTTTTTTATTTGGCAAAAACAAATTTTATCTATATTTTTAAGTATTCTGATCAAATGAAGACCCACAAAGACAGGAAAACTATACTTCCCAGCTCCAAAACAAAATAAAAAATATTCTAAAAAAAATTTCTTTTTTGCTAAACCCCTGTCCGGCAAAAATAATTTTTATATTTCCTCTGACCAAACGAAGACCCGGAAAGATTAGAAAAAACTAATTTCTAGCTTCAAATTTAAAAAATCCTTGCTAAATATAAACTGCCACTAAATCTACTGTATTTCTCCTTTTATCTGGTAATTTATTTATTTTATTTTATTTTTTTTTGAGGGGGATTTCAAGTCATTGAAAAACAGAAGGAAAATTCGGCTCTTGTAGAGAAAATTTCACTTTCCAGCTACAAAATAAAAAATGTCTCGGTCTAATACAAATCGAGGTCATCCATGATATTCTCCTAGCATTAAACCTATTGTATTTCTCTTTTTATCTGGTAAAAAGATTTTTTTTTTAAATCTTCTCATCAAAGCAAAACCTATAAAGAGAAAAAGGTCACTTTCCAGCTTCAAAATAAAAAATGTCCCAGTCTAAAATAAATCGAGGACATCCATGATATTCTCCTAGCATTAAACCTATTGTATTTCTTTTTTTATCTGGCAAAAAGATTTTTTTTTAATTTTCTATCAAAGCAAGACCTATAAAGGGTAGAAAAAATTTTACTTTCCAGCTTGAAAATAAAAAAATGTCCCGGTCTAATATAAATCGAGGACATCCCAAATATTCTCCTAACATTAAACCTACTGTATTTCTCTTTTTATCTGGCAAAAAGATTTTTTTTAATCTTCTATCAAAGCAGGACCTATAAAGGGTAGAAAAAATTTTACTTTCCAGCTTGAAAATAAAAAAATGTCCCGATCTAATATAAATCGAGGACATCCCAAATATTCTCCTAACGTTAAACCTACTGTATTTCTCTTTTTATCTGGCAAAAAGATTTTTTTTTAATTTTCTATCAAAGCAAGACCTATAAAGGTAAAAAGTTCACTTTCCAGCTTCAAAATAAAAAATGCCCCAGTCTAAAATAAATCGAGGACATCCATGATATTCTCCTAGCATTAAACCTATTGTATTTCTCTTTTTATCTGGTAAAAATATTTTTTCTATTTTTTTTAAAGTCTTCTCATCAAAGCAAGACCTATAAAGGCTAGAAAAAATGTCACTTTCCAGCGTCAAAATAAAAAATGTCCCGGTCTAATATAAATCGAGGACATCCATGATATGCTCTTAGCTCTAAACCTACTGTTTTTCTCCTTCTATCTAGTAAAAATATTTTTTTCTAATTTTTTACGTCTTCTCATTAAAGAAAGACCCACAAAGACTAAAAACACTGTACGTTCTAGCTTCAAATAAAAAAAAAATTCTTGTCGAATATAAAAAAATAACCCTGGATATTCTCTTTGCTTACAACCCATAAAATATAGGAAAAACGAGTATTACCAACATTTAAATAATAAAAATCCCAGTCAAATAGAGAAAATCTGACCTCCCTTATATCCTCCTAGCTCTAAATCTACTGCATTTCTCTTTTACCTGGTAAAAAGAATTTTTCTAATCTTAAAACTCTTCTGATCAAATAAAGACTTTTTATCCGGTAAAAATATTTTTTTATATTTTTTTACGTGCTCTGACCAACATAAGATTCAGAAAGACAAAAAAAAACTGTAATTTCTAGCTTCGAATTTAAAAAATCCTTGCCAAATATATATAAAAAAAAGACTTCCTTGATATTCTAAAAAATTTCCTTGGTTAAAACACTTCTAACCATAGAAACGCACATTTTAACTTTTTTTACGTCCTCTGATCAAAGGAAGATCTGCATAGGCTAGAAAAAAATTTCACTTTCCAACTTAAAAAAAAAAAAAAAAAAAAAAAAAAAATCTCGATCTAACGTAAAACAATAAACTCCCTTATATTTTCCTAGCTCTAAACCTACGGCATATCTCTTTTTATCTGGTGAAAAAAATTGTTCTCATTAACTCTTCTGATCAAATAAAGACCAACAAAGACTGGAAAAAAGTCCACTTTCCAACTTCAATTGGAAAAAAGTCTTGTCAAATATAAAAAATAGGCGCTGATATTCTCTTTGTTTTAAACCTAATTTTCAGTCTATGTCATGTCAGCCAAAAAAAATTCATTGGTTAAAATACTTCTAACCATAGAAACGCACATTTAAATTTTTTACGTCCTCTGATCAAAGGAAGTCCTACAAAGGCTAGAAAAAATTTCACTTTCCGACTTCAAAACAAAAAAATATCTCGGTCTAGCGCAAAACAATAAACTCCCTTATATTCGCCTAGCTCTAAACCTACTGCATATCTTTTTTATCTCCCATTAACTCTTCTGATCAAATAAAGACCAACAAAGACAGGAAAAAATTCCACTTTCCACCTTCAAATTGAAAAAAGTATTGTCAAATATAAAAAATAGGCCCTGATATTCTCCTTGTTTTAAAGCTAATTTTTACCCTATGCCATGTCAGCCAAAAAAAAAAATTTCTTAGTTAAAACTCTTCTAACCATAGAAACCCATAAAGTCGAGAAAACACTAGCATTTCCAGCATCAAAATAGAAAAAATTCTGATCAAATATAGAAAAACCGACCTCCCTGATATTCTCTTAGTTGTAAATATAATTTAATCCCTTTTTATCCAGTAAGAACAATTTTTCTAGTCTTCGGATCAAAAGAAGACCCACAAAGACTAGAAAAAGCTGGACTTTCAAGCTTAAAATTTAAAAATTCCTGATTTATATCAAAAAATAGGCCTTGATATTCTCTATGTTTTAAACCTAATTTTCGGCCTGTTATTCAGCCAAAAATATCTTACATGGTCAAAACTCTTTTAAGCATAGAAACCAAGTCCAGAAAAACGTTCCAGCATTAAAATATAAAGCAATCCAGGTCAAATACAGAAAAACAACCCTCCCTCGTATTCTCCTAGCTTTAAATTTATTATTATTTATACCCCTTTTCGCGACACTTTTTTTTTCATTTCATCAAATAAAAATCCGCGAAGATAAGAAAAACCAGTACTTTCCAGCTTAATATAAAAAATAAAAAATTCCGGTCAAATGGAAATTTAGAGCTCCCTGATATTCTACAAGTTTTGAACATAATTTATACACTTTTTCTTGATAAAAACAAATTTTCTCTTTTTAAAAAACTCCCTCGATCAAATAAAGACCCACAAAAGATAAACAAGACCGTAGTTTCCAAATTCAAAATAATAAAAAAATCCCGGTCAAATATAGAAAATAGATCTTTCTGACTTTTTACTAGTTTTAAATGTTATTATTACCCCATTTTTTTACCTGATTAATTTTTTCCCCGTTTTAAAATATTGTAAGGATTATTAAAAATAAATAGAATTTGATATAAAGTAATTTAATTAAAGTCGCTAGAATACAAAACGCCGTTGTCCCAAACAACCACAACTGCGCAGTTCTCCGTGCGTACTACCGTTAGTCCCGTTTCTTTGTTCTTCCCTCTCGTCAACACCAACCCCTCAGCGTTGCCAACCGTCCCAGTGTTGCCGCCGGTTCTCTTCTAATGTTTCGGAGGGGCGCCTCTTTTCCCTCCTCTTGTCCTCTTCCATAACAATATTTCTAATCAAAGAAAAACAGATAAAAATTAGGCATCGCCAGACGTCATGGTAGTCCCATTGAATGAAAAATAGTAGTTTGGTTCCCCAGGCTGAACGTCACAATAGTCTATTTAAAAGTACTAATTCATAAATAATAAATCATTTATGTTTAGAGGCCTACTTGACCATGTTAATTATTTCAATTAATTATTCTTTTTATGTAAGGTCTTGGTCAGAACTCGCTTGCTACTTCATAAGTCGCTGAGAATCGAATCCTGATTACACGATATTTGAAAAATGGCAAAAAGAGGGAAAATTTCCAAATGTTATAGGTTGAGATGGGGAGTTGGTGTCCGATTGGATCGAAGTCCTGATAGCTCAAGTGTTTAGAGCAATGGCGTATTGAGCCGAAGGTCGTGGGTTCGAATCCCGCTCGTGACACTAACTTTTCATCTCAACCAAGACATTACATAAAGAGAACAATTAATTGAAATAAATAATAAATTTTTATTCCACCTTTGAGCTCTTTGCCGTCCGGCGTACACCTCCCCTTGTTCGTGAGGCATTCAAAGTACTTCTTGTACAATCTCTGGTTTCTTAGGATCTCGTCCAGGTCGATGTTGTCGTACCTCGTCGTGTATCTTTCCGCCGCGAGGGCGACCGCTGCGAATGCAAGGATGAGGACGAAGGATTTCATCTTTTTTTAGAGGAAGTACTGGCATTTCCTAGGCAGTGGGTACACTCTTATAGCCGTGGTTCCCACCCCGCGATGGGCCAAGGACGACCAGGCTCGGACTGTTTGTATTTATTTTATTCTTCTAGATCTTCTTCTACTTCCCCCCTGTTCTTGAATCGCGTTGTGACGCTTTAAAAATTCCCAGCCCGATTTGCGTCACTGGGTCGAAATCCTTCCGACTACCTTCCGAACCGGATTAATCTCTGAAGCGACAAGAGCCCTGGGAAAAAAAAAATCAAGAAAATTTTATTTTTCACACGCAGAAAAGGATTTTGGCCACTTGTGATCCTATTTAGCCCCGGGTGGATCCTCAGGATTGTAACAAAAGAACGCAGGCTGGTCCCCATGACGCGCGGAACCGGTTCATCTCACAAGTTCCATTTTTTATTATTCCAAACTTCCTTTATTAAGATTTGAAAGTCACGCGATAATTATACGAGGTTATGAATAAATTAAGAGACAAAAACACGACCCATTTCAAGAGAAAAACCCATGAGAAGCGGACGTCAATTGAATAAGAAATCAACTGCGCAAAATACGATCTGCTTGGGAAACTTTAACCGGAGGTCTGATCCAGGATGATTTGTCTATGCTGTCTCCGTTTGGAAAGATGTTGAGGTGCTGGTAAAGGACGGTTTGGAACGAATTAAGGGAAGCGTCTGTGCGGATTGGTAAAGAAAAAAAATTTATAACTAGAAGGACCGCTCAAATGTAAAGATTACATGTCGAAGGAGGTACAGGTCATTGGGAAACGAGCGGGTGTTACGAGAGTAGATGGAAGATTTGAATTGGACTAGCTTGGGTCAACGAGAGTTTATGGACTGAAAAGGAAAGAGTCTAGGAAATACCTCCTAAAGAAGTATGGATAAAGCCAGAATAGGTCTGAGCGTAATTTGGTTAATTTCAGGAAAGGTTTTGGTAATACCGAGGCTTTTAACAGTGGAGCACAAAGAAATGAGCTGTTCATGGTGAGAAGTATGTGGTGATGGATTTGAGGATCTGATGATGATGAAAAGATACCGGAAAATGGAGTTATATAAATTCAGATAAATTCTCTCAAAGACAGCTATTGTGCCATTAGCTCAGTATTGTTCTATACCTGCGAAACTAAGAAATAAAGCTAAATTAAGTTACATACTTAGGTTCTTGGCCCAAGGTTAACCTGGAAACAACACCTTGAGAAGTTATGCGGCTGGACATTCATTTTCTCACCAAGACTCCAGTAGTGTGAGTGTTATCGAAGGTTACAAGCAGAACGACAGGATCAGAGTTGCTTGAAGATGGGTTATGAGGTATAGCTCAAAGTATTAAGGACAGAACCTCTACCTTGAGGAACACCACCAGGAAGATTTATCAGAGGTTGCTGTCTAATTTGATAATCCTGATGATGATACTATAAAGTGGGAGTTTTGGTTCACCAAGCACTGCATATCTAGTTCCTTAGTTTAGCCTATCGACTCGACCCTTTTTTTTAAGGAGTACTAGGTCAATGACTGTCGTTGATACAATTCCCTTACCCTGGTTTTCTATATCATTAAACTATTGCTTTACATTCAAAGATAGATGGCTGTTCACCCACTCCATCTCGGGTTGTACGGGTTCTTTTATAACCTATCCAATTGGTGTTCCTGGGATTCCTGTATGTTGTTTCTACCAGAAAACTAGTAAACCTATGTAAATATCCTACAGTATTCCAGTTTGAAATCATAACGATTGAACACTGCGCCAGGGAAATAAAAAGGCTAGGAATGCATTGACAGAAGATAGTCATCTTTTCCGATAGTCAGGCCCTAGTCACTAATTCCGTAGTCGAAGTCAGTGACACTAATGACCTGACCATGACATGGGCCTCTGGGCACTCACGGCATAGAGGCAACGAAAAGGTTGACATGTTGCCCAAACAGGGGGTCAACATGGACACTCAAGATCCTGAACCCTACTGTTGCTTAGCATCCTGCCACAAAAGAGCATACATCTTAAAATAGAGTCCAAAACCTGGTGGACCAATACCACAGGTATATGGCACGCAAAAAAGTTCGTAGAAGGACCATCCGCAAATTACTGGAAGCCAACCGCAACCGAATCATGATCTGGCTGGACTCCCGCTAGGACATTGCCACTTAAGAAAGCACATGCACCGGATAGGAGTACAGATAGAGGAAACACTTGCAGACACTCAGGAAAAGACCGCAGAACAAATTTTATGTTTCTGTGAAGGTCTATGTAGGTGCAGGTTCTTGCAACTAGGACAAGAAAAACCGCAAGATCCTACACTAAATAGGCCCTGGCTAATCATTGGAGGCTGATTAACAACCTGAAGCTGGCCAGTGAGTTATAAAAAACAGGGGAGCACAATAGGTCTATTCAGATCGAGGTGAAGAAGGCCTTGTCGCTGCCTCTTTTATCCCTATCCCCTATGGGTGGCTGTTTCTTCCTCCTCATTGTCTAACTTACAAATGACGTCATAATTGGATATGGCGTGTAGATGTTTTCTCAGATGCCAGTCCAAATAGTCAAATCGCCTCTCTGACTGTAAGGGGTGTTAGGAGGGAGTATTTGGTGAGGGTTGTTTACTGAGTTTACGCACTTCTTTTTTGGATCCTATCTGTAATGGACGATTCTGTATTTGATTTTGTTATTCCACGAATAGGTTCAGAGCATGGTTTTGAAGATCCTCCTCTGGCCAGTGTGTCTGCCCTCTCGTTAACCAAAATTTCACTTGTGTCCTGGTACCCAAGATTGTTGTTTTTCCCCCAGGTTTTTACTTTTGCTTTAATACCTGCTTGGGTATCCGATCTTATGAGGATTTTTTTGTCAGCGTAACCTATTTTAAGATATTCCAAGGCACATGGCATGAATTCTGCTTGAAAGACCGATGGTTTTGTACAAAACACTATTCCTTCTTGTGTTTTCGAGTCATCAGTATACCATTGTATCTGATGTCCTCCTGAACTCTTTTTCTTCTTTGTAATTAGTCCCCATTTCTAAGAATATATGTCTGATTTTATTAATTGTTGTTGTATACCCGAAGTGTTTTAGGTCCCATCCAGTTTGAAAGTTGCCTAAATAGGCTTTTCCTTGCTTCTCCTTGTAGGAATATTTCCTATAGAAGCTTTGAACTTTCTAAGATTTAACACAAGGTTGTTTTTATGTGACCATTCGTTGGTTTATTTATCGTCCATCATTTTGTGCATTCTTTTAGATTTCTAATTTTCTTTTTATCATCTGTCTGTTTCTGAACTTACAGTCTGTTTCACGACTAAAAACCGGCTGTCTACACGAAAAGACGGGCGACACGGCAAGTCGCGGATTACCATAAACGGCAAGTGGCTCACTATGCCAAGGGCGTGACCGTGAAGAGATTAAACATCCGGACCCAAAGGACTTCCTCATATATGATCAAAGACACCGACACACAAAAAATCTTGTAATGATAGATTAAAATCAAACTAACAATTAATCCCTACATCCTTCATTTAGTGACACAACTCGAGCAACATGGAGCATGTGGGTGCTTGAGGGAATTCGTGCGGACACGAGTTTATGGATTTGATTTTGAATGGTTGTTGGTTGTGCGGTAAAGTGAACGGATTACATCTCGGACAAAAGAATATTTAAATCTGTGTGGATTGTTTAGTTTGACACATAAAATGGAGCATTAAAGATTTTTCTGAATAATATGGATTTGTAGTTTTGATGAGACGTATATTGAAATGTATGGCTGAACCCCACACTTCCAGTCTGTAAGACAATATCGCCTTCATTATGGTAATAAGTCGTGAAAGTGCTCTGTATCGTGTCATAACCTCTTAACGTTTCTGTCTTGGGTGGGGATTCTATGTTAAGCGTTTGGCGAGACCTAGATACCGCACCTTGTCCGCTGTTGGGAGGATTGAAATGCACTGGGGCAGGGTTTTATCGGATAGTGAAAACTATACTTGAATTCTATTCCCTTCTTTTCACATCGAGACTCCAGCACGGTGAAGCGTAGAAATGATTGGATCAGAGCTCGCTGCAAAAGTTAGTGGTTTGAAGACGGGTCGGTCAGCTGTATACACCAGATCCAGAACATCTGATTAGGTATTTGACGCCAACACTTCAATGACTCGGAAGTACCGGTCAGTGAGGCAACAGCGAAGGATTAATTAGTAAGTGAATAAAAACAAGCGTGTACCATACATGATCGATTTATGTCCCCAATAAATGGAGCGAAACAAAGCTTCCAGCAGAACTTCCTTATTGTACCTTGTACAGTCCCGTTGATCATCTGATTGCCACAAATCAAACAGGCAATTATCTCTGAAGAGAACCCTCATTGATCAAATGCCCGAGCGAGATGCTGATTTGCGAATAGTCGCCTTTATACCCGATGCCTCTCCAGTAGTAGAGAACCTGATGATCACGAAGGCTTCTGATGATGTTTTAGAGCTCACCCCTTTATGGACTGTTTGGAGTTAACTAGCTATCAAGGAAACCGTTAAATGACGGTAAGAGCAATAAAATGATCGTCTATACATCGCGGTGACTTGAACATCTTAGGGGACTTCGGACTTACCTTGGTTAATGACTGACCAAACATTCAGACCTTAAGAGTGTCGGCAGACCACTGACTGAGTTAACACGAATAGCTTAATCTACATCATACTTACCTACTTTGCACTGACCTAACATAAAGGCTAAAGTGCTTTATACCTATTTGTAAGAAACACCGGTGGGTTTGGAATAAAACAGGTTGTTATTTTCCTCTCATGAGTGTATTTGTTGAAGCTATTACATTGGGGACGACCTGATCGGCCGGGTTACTACTGAAGCTTGCTCATGCTCGGATTTAGGGTAAGCCTGCTAGTGTGGATTCGTGAAGCGTTGGATTAAAAGACGAAAGGTTTAGTATTCTTCGGCGCCTTCGTCTCCGCCTTCGACCGAATCCATTCCAACCTCCTCGTAGTCCTTTTCGAGAGCGGCGAGGTCCTCCCTGGCTTCGGAGAACTCCCCTTCTTCCATCCCCTCGCCGACGTACCAGTGGACGAAGGCCCTCTTGGCGTACATGAGGTCGAACTTGTGGTCGAGGCGCGCCCACGCTTCGGCGATGGCGGTTGTGTTAGATAGCATGCAGACGGCGCGTTGGACTTTAGCCAGGTCGCCACCGGGCACGACGGTCGGCGGTTGGTAGTTGATGCCGACTTTAAATCCGGTCGGGCACCAGTCGACGAACTGGATCGTCCTTTTTGTCTTGATGGTCGCTATGGCCGCGTTGACATCCTTGGGCACGACATCCCCTCTGTAGAGCATGCAGCAGGCCATGTACTTACCATGGCGGGGGTCGCACTTCACCATTTGGTTCGCAGGTTCAAAGCAGGCATTCGTGATTTCCATGACGGACAGCTGTTCGTGATAAGCCTTCTCGGCGGAGATGACAGGCGCGTATGTCACCAGAGGGAAATGGATCCTGGGGTAGGGCACCAGATTCGTCTGGAATTCCGTCAGGTCGACGTTGAGTGCGCCGTCGAACCTGAGGGACGCCGTGATAGACGAGACGATCTGACCGATAAGTCGGTTTAGATTCGTATATGTGGGACGTTCAATGTCCAGATTGCGCCTGCAGATGTCGTATATGGCCTCGTTGTCGACCATGAAAGCGCAGTCGGAGTGTTCCAGGGTGGTGTGGGTCGTAAGGATCGAGTTGTAAGGCTCGACGACCGCCGTCGACACCTGAGGAGCCGGGTAGATGGCGAACTCCAACTTGCTCTTCTTCCCGTAATCCACGGAGAGCCGTTCCATGAGGAGGGACGTGAACCCTGAGCCGGTCCCGCCGCCAAAGGAGTGGAAAATGAGGAAACCTTGGAGGCCGGTGCACTGGTCCGCGAGTTTCCTGGTCCTGTCCAGCACCAAGTCGACGATCTCCTTTCCGATCGTATAGTGCCCTCGGGCGTAGTTGTTCGCAGCATCCTCTTTACCAGTGATGAGCTGTTCGGGGTGGAAAAGCTGCCTGTATGTCCCAGTCCTCACCTCATCTAAAAACGATGTAAATTAATTCATTTTCATAGAATTGTCACCGATAACTCGCTTACCGACAACAGTCGGCTCGAGGTCGACGAAAATAGCGCGAGGAACGTGTTTCCCGGCTCCGGTCTCGGAGAAGAAAGTGTTAAACGAGTCGTCGCCACCTCCGACCGTCTTATCCGACGGCATCTGCCCGTCCGGTTGGATCCCGTGCTCGAGGCAGTAGAGCTCCCAGCAGGCATTGCCGATCTGAACTCCGGCCTGGCCGACATGGATTGAGATGCACTCACGCTGAAATGGAAAAGAGATCACTTGTTAACAAAGATGAAGCACACAATGATGAGACACGACGTTGTATTTAGCCTCACTTAAATCTGAGACCTTAGAATGTCTTGGGATTGATTTATTCTAATGATCTTTCAAACTCAAGGAATTCAATCGTACCACAACTATGGGAGTCAAGATATTTCATACTTTATTTAGAGAAATTTTGCTTAAATCGGACAAACCTTTCCTTTGAGCCGGCCTAGCAGAATCCGTCTAAGTCAGAAAAAAAATCCTTTAAGTCAAAATCGTATAAACCGATCCTTCGAGTCAGTCTAGCCGCTGGAATTGGTTGTAATTTGGACAAACCGATCCTTTGAGTCAGTCAAGTAGCTTGAAATTTTTGTAATTTGGAGAAACCGATCCTTCGTGTCAGTCAAGCAGCTGGAATTTGATTCTAAGTCGGACAAACCGATCTTTCGAGTCAGTCAAGTAGCTGGAATTTGTTGTAAGTCGGACAAACCGATCTTTTGAGTTAGTCAAGCAGCAAGAATTTGTTGTAAATCGGACAAATCGATCCTTTCACTCAGTCAAGCAGCAGGAATTTGTCCTAATTCGTTAAAACCGATCCTTTGAGTCAATTCAGCAGCAGAAAGTTTTGTTAGTGAAGAAACCGATCCTTCGAGTGAATATTAGAAAAACCGGCCTACCGACTGAATCCGTCTTGAGTTAGAAAAAAACGATGCTTTGAGACAAAATCTGACTTTTCCTTTCAGTCAGCCAAGCAACTGCTATTACCTTGAGTTGTGAAATATTTTCATTTAAAAAAAAAAAAACAAGAAAAAAACGTAATGACTGGCTAGCTGAAAGCAAATATTTTTTATCTTGATGGCCACTGTGGCTGACTCAAGATGTAAAAGTACGAAACACCAGTAAACTCAGACGATCAAAGCTTTTGTGTTATTGAGTTTTTCCTATCTCAGATAACTCAACGGGAGGAAGAGTAACTACGGTCCTTGGCCCATAAAGGGGGGCCACGCCTCAAACACCTCTGGGCGTGGTGGGCAAAAATACATATGTGGAAACAATCTGTGTAAGATGATTATTGAACATTAAACAATAATTATTGCAAACAAATCAGATGGGAATTGTTTCAAAAAACAAATGCCGGGTTGTGCAATTTCTCCAAGGAGTTAACAATGTGATGGGACTTTTTATGGATTTTGTATATTTTTGTACTCACCATTTCGGTTTCTGGTGGTTTTTCTTGAGAGTGGGTGAAAAAAAATTAGGCTCACTCGCCGGCTGTGAAAAGACGGACGCGAAAGGCTGACAAAGTTGCCCGAAACGACCGCTCGCAGTCAGTGAAATGAGCCGGCCGGGGGCGCGGAGGTCATTATATATACAGGGTGCGACGAGGGTGGGGGTTTTAAATTATACGGGGGTTGCTGGGGAGGCCCGGGCCGAGGCAAAACAATAAAAAAAACGTCCCCAAAGGTGGAAATTACCCAAGGAAAAAATTACACACAAAAAATGCCTTTTGGAAAGTTTCATTTTTGGAAAAATCCGATTTTTCAGCCGTTTTTCACGTACCCCCGGGGTTGTCGCAATGCGGCGGTCGATAAGCGGCGAGACTGCGCGGACCGATCGACCCCATCTGACTCACCGGAAGCCCCCGGCCACGTGGCCGACTAATGCCAATAATCCTAAATTATTCAAACATCTCCTGGTCGAGACAAGGAAGGTGACATCATCAATTGGCGTTTTTTTTTTCTCCCCCAATTATCAATCAAGAATGACCCAATTTTTTGATAAGCAAAACGGTCCATCGGATTGCCGAGAAACACCCACTGACAGGCCTTGACACGCGATTTATAAGATGAGAACAAGCAGAAAACCGAGGAATACAGTTGTATTTCAAATATTTTCATGGGTTGTTTTTGGTTAAAAGTTTATTTTCCTATTCATTAATCGCCCGGAATTCTGCAATTCCGATAGCTAAAAAGACCAGTTTGTCCAATTCAAAACAAACTTCTGTTTCTTGGCTAAAGGAATGATTCGACCGATATAAGACACATTTCTACCGATTATCCTGGTCAAAGGATCAGCTTGTCCTATTCAAAACAAATTCTGTTCCTTGGCTAAAGGAATGATTCAACATATAAGACATATTTCTGTCGTTTATCCTGGTCAAAGGATCAGCTTGTCCTATTCAAAACAAACTTCTGTTCCTTGGCTTTCTCAAAGGATCAGTTTGTACATTTCTATACATCGGCACATTCAAATGATCACCTTCGTTCAATTTATGACAGGATTGAATTGTTTCCATAACTTAAGAGATGAGTTTGTCCAATTTAATTCAAATTTGAGTCACTTGATTGATCAAAGAACCGGTTTGTCCAATTTAATACAAATTTCTGTTTCTTGACTGATTCAAAAGATCAGTTTGAACAATTCTGTACAAATTTCTTTGGTTTACCATAGCTCAGAGCTCACAAAGGACCAGTTTTGACTTAAGACAAATTCCTGTCTCCTTGATGAAAGGATCATTATGTCTGATTCATGATGAATTCCTGTTGCTTGTTCGACTGAGGTGGTCAGTTGTCAAATTTAATAAATTTCAGTTAGTTGGCATATCTTAAAGCAATTGAGTGTACAATTATACTGTTTTTTTCAAGCATAACTCAAAGGAATGGTTTTTTTGATTTAATGAAAATTTCTATTTCTTGGAGGATTCAAAGGATCAGTTTGAACAATTCTGTACAAATTTCGCTTGTTTGCCATAGCTCACAGTATAAATTTGTCCTGTTCAAAACAAACTCTAGTATCTTGGTGGACTCAAAATACCAGTTGTACAATTTAAAACAAAGTTCAGAACCTTGGCTTTCTCAAGGTGTACATTTCAGTTTTTTAGTTCATTCAAATGATCAGTTTGTCCAATTTAAGATAGGTTTGACTTGTTTATGTAACTCAAGAGATGTGTTTGTAAAATTTAATACAAATTTGGGTCATTTTGCTGATCGTAGGATAGGTTTGTCCAATTTAATGCAACTTTCTATTTATGGCGCATTCAAATAACCAGTTTGAACAATTCTGTACAAATTTCTTTGGTTTGCCATATAGCTCACAGTATAAATTTGTCCTGTTCAAAACAAACTCTAGTATCTTGGCGGCCTCAAAAGAATAGCTTCATAATTTAAAACCAATTTCAGTCCCTTGGCTTTTTCAAAGGATCAGTTTGTAAATTTATGTTCCTTGGCACTTCAAATTATCAGTTTGTCAAATTTAAGATAGGTTTGGCTTGTTTGTGTAACTCAAGAGATATTTTACTAAAATTTAATACAAATTTGAGTCATTTTGCTGATCGTAGGATAGGTTTGTCCAATTTAATGCAACTTTCTGTTTATGGCACATTCAAATGATCAGTCTGTCCAATTTATGTCAGGACTTAGTTGTTTATGTATCTCAAGAGATGATTTGTAAAATTTAAAGCAAACTTCTGCCCCTTGGCTATCTCAAATTATCAGTTTGTTCAGTTTAAGACAGGATTGAGTTGTTAACACAAGAAATGCGTTTTTCCAATTTAATTCACATTTGAATCTCTTTGCTTTCTCAAAGAATCCCTCTGTCCAATTTAATACAAATTTTGTTGACATATTCAAATGAAAAATAATAATAGAGAAATTCTAGAAAAGGCAGTTACAGCATTTAGAGGTATTAAGAGAAAGGTCATCGAAAGAGCAACTTTTATCGACTAATTTACATTCAAAGACTGATTGGGGCTTGTATTTTAAGACTGATAAAGTGGAAAAATCCAGTAGATTACTAAAATTTGCAATACTGTGAGGTTTTGAGCCTAAAAGTGAGATAAAACCCTTGAACCTCTACTCATAAATGGTGTCAACGGAATTCAATAATACTTAAAATTAAGAAATGCTATGTTATCACTTGCACTCGTAAAACCTAACTCATCAATTATGATTGTAGATTATGTCCCTTTATCAAAGAGCACCTAGAAGAGAACACCAATTGGAATGCTGTTATGTTTATTAATGATTCGCTTTTCTGTTTATATAGTGATAACAGGCGTCGAAGAGTCTACCGAGAACAGGGGATGCATACAATGCCCCAGTTTGTGCTCCCTTCAGTGTATTTTGGAGGAGCTGGTGTAATAGTCGAGAGCTGGGATTTACACTGGAGGACGAACTGGACTCTATATTGTTGAAGGTAACCTCTCCACAGTTCATTATGTCCAAGAAATTATCAAGGCCCTCAAATCAGGCATCTTATTGGCATGGATTTTCGATTTTTGGATGACAACAGCAGACCTCATCAATGTTTAGGAAACCTGGGAATTTCCAATCTGTCCCTTTACCCATTGTCTCCAGTCTTCAATCCCATTGAGCGATACGTTTGCAGAGAATTGGATGGAGATTGGATTGAGTTTTCTGTATCAAAAAGATAATTCTTATAGCAAATATTCGACAGTGTTTTACATTGGACTCTAAGATATGAAAATTTTGAATAATAATAATTATCAAGAGTTTGCTTGTACAATGAATGATACATCTTTTTTTGCTTGACTTTTTCAATAAGTTCTACACAAAACCATTTCGGATATGGGTAATTATTGCCAGTTTTAGTTTTAGGAACATACATTTCTATAGCTATTGAAAGAACTTGATAAAAATAATTTAAACACTCGTTTATATCTGTAATACTAAATAGAATATCCCAACGGAAGTGGGAAAGATAATTTTTCATGGCATCATAGTCAACCTTGAAAAAATTGTATTCAACATTAGAGAATTTTAAGAAAGATTTACTAAGTTTATAAGGTAAATAAATAAATAAGGAAGGATGAAAATCGTCTTCTCACGAATGCTTTGATTTTCTGGGAAAGAAAATGTTTAAACGATTTGAAGAGGGTTTGACTACGGAGATTATATCGGTGGCAGGAAATGCTGTCACTTTGGAGGCTCAGGGCACAGTTATCATAAAATTTAACACACTTTCATGGCCAGTGACTTTCAAAATTCTCAAAAATGTGCCTATATATATGCTGTTGGGATATTCCTTTTTTCTTAAAACGGGTCTTCTCTTGGATGCTGAGAATTGGCAGATATCATTTGTAAATAATCCTTTGAAAACTTACCCATTATTAAGTACCAATTCCAAGGCTCCGGTAGACACAAAAACACTCGCGAACACTATCAATTTAACGATAAAACTGTAAATCACACAAAGGTTCTTACAACTCAGTTTTCAAGAAAAGATTAACTCTCAAGAGCAAAATGTAAACAATCACTTTTCGAGCATTAGAGATCAACTAAATTTAAAAAAAACTTCCAAACAATTTCAGAACCCCCTCCCTCGCAAGACATAGTCTTTTATCAAACATACATTTTGTCAAATAAATTAAAAAAGGTACAATCGTCACTATGCGAAAAATATTCAGGACCCTACAAAATAATCCAAATTTTTAATAAGTTATTTAAATCCACTAATTTCGTGGTCGGAATCCGGTAGGTTCCGTGGTAAACCTAAACGTAAATAAATTAAATATCCCACGTACAAGGTCTATTGATAAAAAGTAACAACAACGTTATTTTAAATTTCACTAATTTCGTGGTCCGCTTGACCAATACATTACAATTAATTAAGGTTTTTTGTTGAGATTAAAAAAAGTTAACGGCACGAGCGGGATTCGAACCCACGATCTTCGGTTAGATGCGCCGCTGCTCTACCACTTGAGGCCTTGAGCTATCGTCACCTCGATCCACTCGGACATCAACTTCCTACCTCAACCCCACCTTGAAAAATGGCAAAAAGGAGGGAAAACTCATAAGGTGTGGTTGAGGTAGGAAGTTGATGTCCGAGTGGATCGAGGTCACGATAGCTCGAGTGGTAGAGCAGCGGCGTATCTAGCCGAAGATCGTGGGTTCGAATCCCGCTCGTGCCGTTAACTTTTTATCATCTCAACTAAAAACCTTAATTAATTGTAATTTTTAATAAGGTATTATTTTTAATACAATCTCTTGATAACCCAGAATTGACAATCCAAGCACACATAACTAAATTAAAACCTCAGACCGCAATGCAAAATTGATTACATCAAGCAAATAATCATGGTAATAATAATAAAAAATAAACTAAAATAAATAATATTTAAAAAAACAATTAAGATAGAAAATTTTTGAAAATGAATATGGAATAAAATTCCATAACCGATACTGTAGTGGAGACGTTATCTTGCATAGGACATATACATAGGAAACCATTGCAATTTTTGTTTTTATGTATTAAAAGAGCTTATATTTATTTTCATGACATAATTTATTTTCCTTGATGGAAATATTTATTAAGTTTTCATTTAAAATTGTATTACTATTAATACCATGGTTTACGGATAGTTTTTATATTTTGCAATCATGAAAGAATTATATTGTAATTTTAAATAAAGTATTACACTTCTCATTAAAAAAAATATAAAAAAATAAAATAAAAATACATCTGCATAACGGGAACAATGTCCTACAATTAGCATGGAAAAGATATTGGGACCAATCCCCCTACATCACATGGTAGAAAGGACAGCACAGAAAACCATAATCAACTTTATTAGAGAGAAACCTCCAACAGGAATAAAACTGAAATGAAGAGACAGAAACAAACTGTGGAAAAACCATCCATAACTCATGGCTCCAAGAGATGACATGAACAGGAGGTTTGACTTTAACCAAAAATTCCTAATACATCTGGGCACCAAAAAGGAATGGGAAAGAAAGGGAAATAACTCCCTCAAAAATGGCACCATCCTTTGGTACACAGATGGATCTAGAATGCAGGAAGGTACGGGGGCAGGAGTGTTCGGACCCGGAACCAAATACTCAGAACCCATGGGAAAGCTGCAAGACAACACATAGCCCCCGAACCTATTCTTGGGATAACAAGAACAAATATAGAATCCTCCATCACAGAATGGATCCAAACAAAACAAAAGGAGAAGTGGATAAACTCTAGCAGTGCTAGACATAGTAAACTTATGATGAAACAACCCTCACCGAGACTGGCAAAAGCACTGCTGCAATTGGAGAGGGCCAAACTCAGAGGAGTAGTAGGACTACTAACTGATCACTGGCATCTGAGAAAACATCTGAACAACATGGAGGAAATAGCCACTCATATCATCTTCGAATGCGAAGCAACAGCTCAATGGAGGTTTAACCTAATGTATGGAAAAAATTTAGGGAATCAAATTGCAGCAGCGACAGTCAATGACTTGATACTTCTAAGAAGAAGGATTGAGATTGCACTGAACTAAGGAACTAAGGAACAATAAGCCAGAAGGCTGCAGTGCCTGGGGAGCACAAACCCCGCATCCTAGTTTCCTTATTACTATACCATACCATGGCAGGTTTTGGAGATTTTGGATATATTCACTATTTGTGTACATTGGTGTAAGATCGTAGGAAGGAGGTGTCCATGGGATGACTCCTCCTCTGCCAACCCACGTGGGATAATGCTGGTTCGACCGTGCAAGGGATAAAAGGATGGCTGGGACCTCAAGGACGACTTTTTTGAAATTGCGCGGTCCTCCCTGCTCCGAAGAGGTCCTGCGCCGGCGGCCGGCCGCCTTTTCGGCTGTGCGCAGCGTTCGTCGTCCAAAGGCAACGCCGTCGCAGGTTATAAAAAACGCTCCTGTCAATGATCTGGGAAAGAGGCGCGACGCTACGCCGAGACGGCCTCGAAGGCTCGCTCTAACCGACGCCCGTTTTCACATGCGACTCGAATTCGCCTCCGTCTCAGCAGTTCGACCAGCCCGGAAATGACCTCGGCCGTCTACTTGGAGCACTACTTGGACAGTGAGTACGCCCCCCCCCCCGAACACCGAGCTCCTGGCTCGCCATTTATCGGTTTTTAGGCCAGTTTTCTAATCAATATGGACAAATTGTCCCTTTAAATTGCAGAAAGAACGGAAATTTATCTTAAATCAGGCAAACTCAACTCTTGAGTTACTGAAAGAACTCAATCCTATCTTGAATTGAACTAACTCATCTCTTGGCATTGACAGACAACCCAATTCTGTCATAAATTGAGCAAACTGATCATTTGAATGCGTTAAGAAACAGAAGATTGCAAATTGATCATTTGAGAAAGTCAAGGGACTGAAATTTGATTTAAGTTTGGACAACTGACATTTTGAGAAAGACGAGGAACAGAAGTTCATCTTAAATTGAACGAACACATTTCTTGGTTTACAAAAACAACCCAGTTCTATCATAAATTGAGCAAACTATCATTTGAAAAAGTCACCGGACTGATATTGGGTTTAAATTGGACAACTGATCTTTTCAGAAAGACGAGGAAGAGAAGTTTTCTTAAATTGGATGAACTGATATCTTGCGATACAGAAACAATCCTGTTATAAATTGGGCAAACTGATCATTTGAATGCGGCAAGAAACAGAAGTTTGCAAACTTATAATTTAAGAAAGCCAAGGGACTGATATTCGGTTTAAATTGGACAACTGATCTTTTCAGAAAGACGAGGAAGAGAAGTTGTTCTTAAATTGGACGAACTGATTTCTTGTGATACAGAAGCAACTCAATCTTGTCTTAAATTGGACGAACACATCTCTTGGGTTATACAAACAACAAATTCTGTCATAAATTGGGCAAACTGATCATTTAAGAAAGCCAAGGGACTGAAATTTGATTTAAATTTGACAACTGGCATTTTGAGAAAGATGAGGAACAGAAGTTCCTCTTAAATTGAATGAACTCATTTCTTGGGTTACACAAACAACCCAATTCTGTCATAAATTGGACAAACTGATCATTTGAATGTGCCAAGAAACATAAATTTACAAACTGATCCTTTGAAAAACCCAAGGGACCGAAATTGGTTTTAAATTATGCAGCTATTCTTTTGAGACCGCCAAGGTTCTAGAGTTTGTTTTGAATAGGACAAATTTATATTCTGAGCTATGTCAAACCAGAGAAATTTTTACAGAATTGTTAATATTGATCATTTGAATGTGCCATAAACGGAAAGTTGCATTAAATTGGACAAACCTATCCTACGATCAGCCAAGTGATTCAAGTGTGTATTAAATTGGATAAACTCATCTCTTGAGTTACATAAACAAGTCAAGCCTATCTTAAATTGGACAAACTGATCATTTGAATGAACTAAAAAACTGAAATGTACACCTTGAGAAAGCCAAGGGTCTGAACATTATTTTAAAATGTACAATGTACTTTTGAGTCCTCCAAGATACTAGAGTTTGTTTAGAACAGGACAAATTTATACTATGAGCTATGGCAAACAAGAGAAATTTGTACAGAATTGTTCAAACTGATCTTTTGAATCAGTCAAGAAACAGAAATTTGCATTAAATTGGACAAACCGGTCCTTTGATCAGGCATGTGACTCAAATCTGAATTAAATTGGACAAACTCATCTCTTGAGTTACAGAAAAAAATCAATCCTGACATAAATTGGACAAACTGATCATTTGAATGTCCCAAGAAACATAAATTTACAAACTGATCCTTTGAAAAACCCAAGGGACTGAAATTGGTTTTAAAATATGCAGCTATTCTTTTGAGACCGCCAAGGTTCAAGAGTTTGTTTTGAATAGGACAAATTTATATTTTGAGCTATATCAAACCAGAGAAATTTTTATAGAATTGTTCATATTGATCATTTGAATGTGCCATAAACAGAAATTTGCTTTAAATTCGACAAACCAATCCTATGATCAGCCAAGTGATTCAAATGTGTATTAAATTGGATAAACTCATCACTTGAGTTACTGAAAGAACTCAATCCTGTCTTAAATAGGACAAACTGATCATTTCAGATAGTCGAGGAACAGAAGTTCCCAAATTGGACAAACTGATCATTGAGGATCCAAGAAATTTACAAACTAATCCTTTGAAAAAGCCAAGGGACTGAAATTTGATTTAAATTTGACAACTGATATTTTGAGAAAGACGAGAACAGAAGTTTCTCTTGAACAAAGAACAAACACATCTCTCGAATTACATAAACAAGTCAAGCCTATCTTAAATTGGACAAACTGATCATTTGAATGTGCCTAGAAACAGAAGTTTGCTAACTTATCATTTAAGAAAGCCAAGGGACTGATATTCGGTTTAAATTGGACAACTGATCTTTTCAGAAAGACGAGGAATTGAAATTCAACTGATCTTGTGAGTCCGCCAAGATACTAGAGTTTGTTTGAATAGGACAGAATTATATTCTGAGCTATGGCAAACTAGTGAAATTTGTACAGAATTGTTAAACTGATCATTTGAATGTGCCATAAACAGAAATTTGCTTTAAATTCGACAAACCAATCCTATGATCATCCAAGTGATTCAAATGTGTATTAAATTGGGCAAACTCATCATTTGAGTTACTAAAAGAACTCAATCCTGACATAAATTGGACAAACGATCATTTGAAAAAGCCAAGGGACTGAAATTGGTTTTAAATTATGCAGCTATTCTTTTGAGACCGCCAAGGTTCTAGAGTTTGTTTTGAAAAGGACAAATTTATATTTTGAGCTATATCAAACCAGAGAAATTTTTACAGGATTGTTCATATTGATCATTTGGATGTGCCATAAACAGAAAGTTGCATTAAATTAGACAAACCTATCCTACGATCAGCAAAATGACCTAAATTTGAATTAAATTTTACAAACACACCTCTCTTGAGTTACAGAAACAAGTCATTCCTGTCTTAAATTGGACAAACTGATCATTTGACTGTACCAAGAAATAGAAATGTACACCTTGAGAAACCAAGGTTCTGAACTTTGTTTTAAATTGTACAACAGGACAAATTTATACTATGAGCTATATCAAACCAGAGAAATTTGTACAGAATTGTTCAAAGTGATCCTTTGAATCAGCCAAGACATAGAAATTTTCATTAAATCATAAAAACCGTTCCTTTGAGTTATGCTTGAAAAAACAGTATAATTCCTCAACTCAATTCCTTTAAGATATGCCAACTAAGTGAAATTTATTAAATTTGACAAACTGACCACCTCAGTCGAACAAGCAACAGAAATTCATCATGAATCAGACATACTGATCCTGTCATCGAGGAAACAGGAATTTGTCTTAAGTCAAAACTGATCCTTTGTGAGCTCTGAGCTATGGCAAACCAAAGAAATTTGTACAGAATTGTTCAAACTGATCTTTTGAATCAGGCAAGAAACAGAAATTTGCATTAAATTGGACAAACCGGTCCTTTGATCAGTCAAGTGACTCAAATCTGAATTAAATTGGACAAACTCATCTCTTGAGTTACAGAAACAATTCAATCCTGTCATAAATTGGACGAAGGTGATCATTTGAATGTGCCAATGTATAGACATTTATGAACTGATCCTTGGAGAAAGCCAAGGAACAGAAATTATTTTTGAATAGGACAAACTGATCCTTTGACCAGGATAAACGACAGAAATGTGTCTGATATCGGTCGAATCGATCGTTTAGCCAAGGAACAGAATTTGATTTTGAATTGGACAAACTGGCCTTTTTATTTATCGTAATGGAAGAATTCCGGGCGATTGATGAATAGGAAAATAAACTTTTAACCAAAAACAACCCATGAAAATATTTAAAAATACAACTGTATTCCTCGGTTTTCTGCTTGTTCTCATCTTATAAATCGCGTGTCAAGGCCTGTCAGCGGCTGTTTCTCTGCAAGAAACAGAAATTTTCATTAAATCAGACAAACCGGTCCTTTGATCAGGCAAGTGACTTAAATCTGAATTAAATTGGACAAACTCATCTCTTGAGTTACATAAACAAGTCAAGCCTATCTTAAATTGGACAAACTGATCATTTGAATGTACCAAGAAACAGAAATGTACACCTTGAGAAAGCCAAGGGTCTGAACATTGTTTTAAATTGTAGAACTGGTATTTTGAGTCCGCCAAGATACTAGAGTTTGTTTGAATAGGACAAAATTATATTCTGAGCTATGGCAAACTAGTGAAATTTGTACAGAATTGTTAAACTGATCATTTGAATGTGCCTTAAACAGAAATTTGCTTTAAATTTGACAAACCAATCCTACGATCAGCCAAGTGATTTAAATGTGTACTAAATTGGACAAACTCATCACTTGAGTTACTGAAAGAACTCAATTCTGTCTTAAATAGGACAAACTGATCATTTGAGATAGTTGAGGAACCGAAGTTCCCAAATTGGACAAACTGATCATTTTTGTGCGAAGAAACAAAATTTACAAGCTAATCGTTTGAAAAAACCAAGGGACTGAAATTGGTTTTAAATTGGTCAACTGATAATTTGAATGCGCCAAGAAGCAGAAGTTTGCAAACTAATCCTTTGAAAAAGCCAAGGGACTGAAATTCGATTTAAATTATGCAACTCTTCTTTTGAGTCTGCCAAGATACTGGAATTTGTAAATAGAATAAATTTATACTGTGAGCTGTGGAAAACGAGAGAAATTTGTACAGAATTGTTCAAATGATCTTTGTAATCAGGCAAGAAATAGAAATTTGCGTTTAATCAGACAAACTGTTCCTTTGAGTTATGCTTGAAAAACAATATAATTGTACACTCGATTCCTTTAAGTATTGCCAACTAACTGAAATTTATTAAATTTAACAAACTGATCACTTCAGTCACACAAGTACAGGAATTTGTAATGAATCGGACACACTGATCCTTTGTGAAGGCCGAGGGACGAAATTGGTTTCGAATTAGACTCACCCTTTGAATTATGTCGAACCAGAGAAATTTGATTGAACTGTTCAAACTGATCATTTGAATCAGCCAAGAATTTTAATCACTCATTTCTTTTCATACATTTCTTTCGTTTTTCTTAACTTAAAGGATAGGTTTGGCTAATTTAAGACCGATTTGTCTCATGCTGGATCAATCATTCTCATAAGTTTCAAAATTTTATAGGCCTCGAGCACCTGCCGGTCGAGCTCCAGCGCAACTTCACTCTCATGCGCGATCTTGACACGAGGGCCCAGAACGTCATGAGGAACATCGACCAGCTTGCCGATGACTTCATGGCAAACCTTAAGAACCTGACAAGCGAAAAGCGCAAGGAGGCTATGGCCGACATACAGCAGCAGTTCAACAAGGCTAAGGAGTACGGTGATGACAAGGTCCAGTTGGCGATCCAGACGTACGAGCTTGTCGACAAGCACATACGCCGCCTCGACTCTGACCTTGCACGTTTTGAATCAGAGATTCAGGACAAGGTCACTTCAAACACTCGCCCCACAGACGATCAAGTATCTGTCGCTGTCAAAAGTAATTATCTTGAGAGAAAAAAATCTATTCTGTCAGTTTATTCTAATTTTGTTTGTTTTAAAGAAGGAAGAAAGAAAATTAAAGAAAAAGAAAAGAAGAGGAAAGGGTTGAGTTCTGACGACGACTCAGGCGGAAAAACATTAAAGAAGAGAAAGAAAAGTATATATATTTTAAAATTTTATTAGCATAAAAATAATGTTTATTTTTCCTTTTAGCCGGAGGAAAAGCAGTGGGTGGTAAAAACGCAGGCGGTAAAGCAACCAGCATACCTGCGAGCGACTCCCCATTGGCCGTGCTGCCTCTAGCCAGCGGTGATGTCCTCGACATGCCAGTCGACCCGAACGAGCCGACCTACTGCCTCTGCCACCAGGTCTCCTATGGGGAGATGATCGGTTGCGACAACCCTGATGTAAGATTATACAAAATAAAATAAATAAACGCTAACATATTTTTCTGTATTTTTTTTCAACAGTGTCCAATCGAGTGGTTCCATTTCGCATGTGTTAACCTGACGACGAAACCCAAGGGAAAGTGGTTCTGCCCAAAATGCATTTCGGACCGAAAGAAGAAATGATCTTCACATTTTAGCGTATTGTTTTTTGTTTGTTTTTTATTGTAATTTTTTGATTTTGTATGAACGAACGGAGAAGAAAAAAATTTTTCATTATGTAAATTAATGATATATATTTTGTATTAATTAAGTAAGCTTAAAAAAGAAATTAAAAACATAATAAATTATATTTAATGTTGCAATTTTTTTCTTCTTTTCTATTTTCCTAATGTTAAATTTTTGCGTTGCTATACTAATACTTTGCACAACTGTTGTATGTGACGCCATATTCTGCCACATAGACGGCCACATAGATATTGTCAATTTGGCATAATTTTGTAATGTCCCGTCAAAATAGTGAGATCGATTGGACAAATTGTATTTATATAATTTACAACCTCCTTTGTCTTAGATTCCTGAAAGCGCAAGCCATTCAGTTTTGGACGATGTTATGTCGAGATATCTGAACTTGAACTCATTCGAGGCAAACAGATTTTTCATCTAACATGGTGGGATTTGGAAAGTAGTTTGTAGCTTCATTGGTCGACCCGAACTTGAAAATGTGAGTCTTCTTTGTACTATGGTTGTTAAGGTCAGTAAAAGTGTCTGTATAGTGTGTGGCTTCCCAAACTGTGGTACTTGGTGATCGTCGAGAAAAATGCAGCATGAATAAATCAAATTAAAAACTAATAATAACATAGTCCTGATTTTTTAAAATTTTATTTATTATACGTTTATTTTTGAAAACTTAAACAAAATAGGTAAGGTAGGATGGATGGGACTTGACTGTTTGGTCGATCGGTTGGAATTTTGTTGTTGATACTGGGGTCCTTCATTACCAGGAACTGATACTTCTGGAACACACTGAAATTTTTCCAGTGTTGTGTATAAACAAAAAATATTGAGCAGATGCCCACTTCTTCTCTGGTGCCTACAGCCTCCACGGCCAGGCATTTCTGTTGCGAGCAAGTGCTCACTTCATCTCTGGTGTCTACAGCCTCACCGCCAGCCAATTCTGTAGCAAGCATGTGCTCACTTCTTCTCTGGCATCTACAGCCTCTGCGGCCAGGCATTTTTGTTGTGAGCAGGTGCCCACTTCTTCTCTGGCGCCTACAGCCTCGCCGCCAGCCAATTCTGTAGCGAGGAAATGCCCACTTCTTCTCTGGCATCTACAGCCTCGTCGGCCAGCCAATTCTGTTGCAAGCATGTGCCCACTTCTTCTCTAGTATCTACAGCCTCGCCATCAGCCAAGTCTATAGCATGTGCTCACTTCTCTAACATCTACAGCCTCCGGGGCCAAGCATTTCCATTGCGAGCAGGTGCCCACTTCTTCTCTGGCGTCTACAGCCTTGCCGCCAGCCAATTCTATTGCGAGCAAGGTGCTGCTTCTTCCCTGGCATCTACAAGAAGCCGGTAATGACGGATAGGACCTTGTGTGCGCCATCCTTGAACACATTGAACAAGTTTTTTTTTAAGCGCATGATCTGAAAATGGAAAAAGCAGTTGAATTTTAATGAAAGAAGCAAGATTTCGTACTAATTTAGATACAAACGTTTCTAAACTTACAAATCCTTGATACATTCGTAACATTAATTTTATTTTTGTACAGGAATTTAATTTAAGCATTCAAGCAATAATTATGATATATTATAAAATTTATTTTATTGTAATATTTTACTTCTGCGAAGGACTATTTTTTTCCTTTCAATTTATTATTAAATTTTTTAAATGGCCTCGCATAAAAAAAGGAAAATATAAAATTAACCTACTACCCTTTTAGTCGAAGTTAAAGGCAACTGGGCCAACTGTTGCAGCGGACTAGAAAAAAAACAAGATTGCGATACTTACCACTTGCTTGGTAAATGGCCCAGAGAAACTGGATCGCAGTACATTTGTCCGATTGGATCCTCCATGGTGGACACAAGAAGTAGCGGACAAGAAAAAGCTGGCCCACCGAGCAAGGCCATCCAACAGAGCTGAATACCGACAGAAAGAGAAGCCTTCCATATGGCGTTTCGTGAGGCTAAACAAGACTTCCGCCAGGAGCTCCGTAGAGCCAAAAGAAGCCAATGGAAGCGTTTTGTCGAAGAACAAGACCTGACTAATAGATGGGGACTGCATGCTAAGATTGCTCGAGGAAAGATCACGAGCAGACTACCCCCCTTTGGTCGGGAGTTATCTGGCCTTGAAGCGGCCGGACGGGCACTGTTAAAAGAGGCCTTCCCAGAGGATGATGATTCGACAGACCAGGCCACCCATGTGATGCTTCGCCTTGAGGCCCGGACCATTGCCAGGGACCAGGGGAAGATTTGGCTGAATGCCTCAATCTTCATTAGGAGTATTTTTCCTTTTTCTTTTTTTTACATTTTGGATACAATTTTTGGACTGATAGTGTCAGAGTTCTACTAGAAATAATTCAATACGTCAATATTAAAACTTGCAACTAACACCTCCACCGGTAGGTGAAAATCTAAAAACAGATTTAAACATCTCCTTTTTTAGAATTTTGTTACTATGCTTCACTATTTTAAAAAGTTTTTTTACATTTTGGGTAGAATTTCTGAAGAGTATTTGACATCTACTAGAAATAGTCGAATATGTCAATACTAAAACTCAGAAATAACACCTCCAGCTTATACGCAGTTCAGTATAAACAGTTCAAAACCAATGAAATTATTAAGAAATTTAAAAAGTGTTGCAATTTTCAGATATCAAAAATCCAAACCCCAAAGATTTCTTTTTTTTTATTTTACCCTATTATCGATATATTTTGTAATGTTTTATGATATTTTTCTGAATTATTGGTTAAATAAACAGTTTGTGACAAAATAAATGAATAAAAAATTGGATAAGAAATGAAATTTGCAGATAACAAGTCAGAACAGGCAGATTTACTCCTTTTCGCTATTATACATTATTGCTGCAATTTTGTGTAATTTTTATGATTTTTGCTTTACCAGAAGGCTAAATAAAAAGGTTATAGGTATAACAAACAAAAAAAGTGTTGAAATTTGAAGATATAAAAAGTAAAACTTTGAGAGAACTTTTTGTCATTTTGCAATTTTTTTTTTTTTTTTTTTTTTTTTTTTTTTTTTTTTTTTTTTTTTTTTTTTTTTTTTTTTTTTTTTTTTTTTTTTTTTTTTTTTTTTTTTTTGTACTTCCTGTGTTATGTTTATGATTATAGGAGGATAAATAGACACTATAACAAAATAAATGAATAAGAAATGTAAAAGTATTGAAATTTGCACATATCTAAAAGTCAGAAGAGCCAGATTTTATCTTCTTTTTGTATATTTGTATAATTGTTGATATTACTTGCGGTTTCATTGAAATTTGTTTTAATTTTTGGCTGAATAAACGGTTCTTAATAAAAGAAATGAATGTTAAAAAATGAGGTTTAGGTATAAAGACTGGCAGATATCAAAAAAACAATGCACTAGGAGATTACCCTCTTCTTGCCTTTTTGCAATATCATTACTTATATTCTGTCTATTTTCTAGGTTAATTTTGTTTAGAGTAAGCTAAATAAACAGTTTATAAGAAAAGAAATGAATAAATAAAAACATTTACAAATATCAAAATCCCAGCACTGGCAGATTTACTTCGTTTGTCCAATTTTCCATTGTTGATATTTCCTGCATTTTGTATGATATTTTTATTAATTATAGGCTTGGTAAACAGTCGCTAACAAAAGGAATAAAGTACAAATCGAATCAGGAGTGAATTGTGCACATATCCAAATGCCAGAAACTAGCTTTTTTTTCTTTTTCCCCATTTTACAATATTAACAGTACTTTTTGTATTTATTATAGTTAAATGTGGTATAAATGTAACAGTTCAAAACTGTAGAAATTGTTAAGAAATTAATAAAGTGATAAATTTGAAGATTTAAAAAAGTCAGTCATGGCAGATTTTCACTTTTTAGGGGAAGCTATTTTGATAGTCATAACTTTTATTTTCTATTTTTTATATTATTGCATATATGTTATTCATTGAAGTTTATTTAGCCAATACATAAAATATCAAAAATAACGCAAAATAACAAAACACACCAATCTTCCATGTCTGACTTTTTATATTTCCAAATATTAGTATTTATTCCATTTTTTTTTCTTTCTGTTATAATATGTTTATTTAGGCTCCTTTAAACATATCCTTATCAAACATTTTAAATTGTTTAATAATCCATTTAGTTCTGAACTGTTTATTTATACAACATTTAACAGCAATATTTTTGAAAATGCAAAAAAAGCAACAGTTGTAATGGAAAATTGCAAAACTGAGAAATTCTTTGGGATCTGGATTTTTGATATCTGAAATTGCTACATTTATTAAATTTCTTAAAATATCTTTAGTTTTGAACTGTTTATTTATACCGCATTTAAGATAAATAATTTTTATAATACCAACAATATCAGTTGAATTAATGGAAAATTAAAAAAAAATAGGAAAACCTCAAATTCTGATTTTTGATATCTGATAATTACAACAGTTTTCAAATTTCTTAATAATATCTTTAGTTTTGAACTGTTTATTTACACTACATTTAATATAAATACAAACTATATCAATAGTACTGATGGAAAATAGCGCAATTGAGTAAATCTTCCTCTTCTCGGTTTTCGATATCTTCAAATTTCAATCGTTATTCTATTTGTTATTCATTTCTTTCATTATTAACTGTTTATTTGGCCTACAGTAGACAAATATCTCAGAAAATCAGAAATATTAACAATGAAAAATAGCAAAACGGAGTAAATATCACCTGACTTTTCAACATCTGCAAATTTCTACACTTATTCCATTTTTGCATTAATTTATTTTAGATTAAATCTGCTATGTGAATTTTTGGTACATACACATTTCAACCCTTTTTACATTTGTTTTCAATTTCTTTAGTTATAAACTTTTGTTGAAATTTATTTATCAAAAATAAATGTTAAAATATAAAAAATTAGTCAATAATAATGGAAATGGACAAAAGGTGTAAATCAGCCAATTTCATTTTTTTTTTTAGTACGAAAAGTGTATTTATGCTACATTTAACAAAACATATAAATTACAAGAATTATCATTATCAATGGAAAAATACAAAAAGGTGCCAATCTGGCTTGTTTGACTTTCTGATATCTGCAATTCTCTGTTTGTTATGCCAAGTAGTTCATTTTTGTGTTCGTTCATCATCAGTGATGATGTTCATCGCTGTGAAGGTGGCAATCGTAAGTAGAGCGACGAAAAAAGAATCCCGCGGTGGTGGGAAAAAAGCCATTGTCTAAAGAGCTCTTGACAACCCTGAAAAATCCATAGTGAGTCATGTTTGACACAAAAGCCTGTCGAGAATTAGCGAGCACTAATCACGGGGCCGTCTTCTCGAGAGGGCTCTTTGTCGTGGGGGTTCTTTTATATTTGAGGGAGTCCTTTAAAAAAAGAAAAAAAATGCTTCACCCGTGTCTTAACCCGAGGAAACTAAACCAAAGGGGGTTTGGCAGCTGGCCATCTGCTCTCTTGAGAAATCGCGAAATCCGGTTTTCAAAACTCCTTGAATAGTTCCAACTGGCTCTTCGACGACCTCCGGCTCTACGGTACTGATTTCTTATGGTGCTAGGATATCTCGGATTTAAAACCCAGGCTCCGAAAGAAATCAGTGCCGAATCGGCACGGCGGAAGACTCCTTGAAGACTGCGGGTCACCGGTGGCACCCTCGCCTTGATAAAGGGCCGACGATCTGCTCCAGGACGCCTGGACAAGAGAGCGTCTCGTGTTACCGGGAAAGGAAGTCACGCTCCGAAGAACTTTTGGACAAAAACATATATTATTTTTTATTAACAAGAAGAAAATACGTTAAAGAGCAAAGCGAACATGTTTTTTGCGATATCCCGCCTTACGTGATAGGAAGAGGTGAAATCATTTGGTTGATGACCAATTTACAACTGGATTCTACAAGAACTATTTTGCATCACAAGAAATTGGGTGTACGACATACACCCTTTACAGTTTCACAGCCTTAAGTTGGAAAAAGAAATGGTTAGAAATCAAAAGTTGTGAGGTGAAGACTATTTTTTCGTAGGATACATCTGTAAATTGTAAAAGGATTGTTATCGCCCTACGGAAAACATTCTATCTTTTTTTTGTGGCTGCAAAAAAATAATCCATTTTTCCTAGGACCGGCTGTAAAGTTGGATATCGTCTCAGTCCAGGTAATCATGACGTCTTGAAA